CAACGTCGTCACCAACGCGTTTGCACGGCTCGCTGCCGACGAGATCGTCATCCCTGAGTTACTCAAGGCGATGATTCTCTTGCATGTCGCTGGTATACAGTCCATCACCGAGTCTATCCTTCAGCGATACGACAAGAGTGATCTCACTGTTGCTGTGGTTCGAGAGGCGCTTCTTACGCACTACTCCCACAAGCAGACGATGTCTGGCTCTCACGTCCAGAAGTTCTCGAACGTCAAGCGCAAGCGTGATGATCCGAAGTATTCTAATCAGCAACAGAGTGGAAACTCTGCGCCCAATGGTGGCGATAAGGCTGAGAAGAAGAAGAAGGACAAACGCGGCCAGCGCGGCGGGAAGAACAAGAAGGACAAGGGGAAAGGGAAGCAGCCTGCGCACGCGCATGCGCATGCCACGATCTCTGAGGTCGTTGGATCCGCTCGCATCTCGGCGCTCACTCCATCTGTCGAGAACGTCAAGACGTCTCACGTCGCCCTCATCACTCCCGCCGGGACTAAGGTCCGTCAGGTGGTTGAGAAGCCAGCTGTCGCCGCCGATAAGGCGATCGCCGACACCCCCATCGCGGAAGGCGCGAAGAACGTCTTCGCCACCGCCAAGGAGCTCGACCTTCAGGTCACTCCTGAGATCTATCGCGAGATCGACTCCGTCGTCAACGTTGGCGGCTTCCCCGTCAACATGGACTGTACCGACGATTTCCCCACTCCGCGCGCGTCTTCTTCGAAGATGCAGATCGATGACGAGCCGCTCGTCAAGCGTGCTCGCGTCGACGATCACACGCTCAACTCGTTCCTCTTCGACGGGACAATCGATGAGCAGATCAGCTGGGATCTCTCTCCTCTGGAGGAGTACCTGCGCGAGGAGAATATGTTCGGGGACGTCGAGGTCAACGTCGATGATGCCATCGCCCAGGCTGCCGGTCTCACTGGCGCCGACAGGCAAGTACCCTCTCACGAGGATCTTCTGCGCAATACTGATTGCGGCACACAGCGCTTGATCTTATCGCGCGATTCTGTACTATATTGTATGCTGACTGGTTCGCATCATTTTTGTACGAATATATTTTGTGCCTGCAACGACATTGCTGCGTGTCCTAAGTGTAAGGGAAAAGCACCGCTTCACGGAGACGAATTGGGTTTCCCGCCTTCTTGGCTCGTCGACTCTGGTGCATCTCTCCACGTGACGTCGGAAGAGAGTGATCTGGCTGGCTATGAGAAACTCTCTGAGCCAATTGTCGCGCAGACCGCATCCAAAGACACTACGCTTGCATTGGTTGGTCGCGGGACAGCCTTTGTTGATCACTGCGTCACGAGGCATGGAAGGAAAGTTGTCACGACTTCGCAGCTATATCCAGTGTACCACGTGCCTGGATTGCATGGTTGTCTACTTTCCTTGGGCTCCTTACTTCAAGGAGGATTATCTGTGCGTGGAAACAGCACGATGATCAGCTTACATCGGAAGAACTCTCCTCTTTCGGTACTTGAGTTTTACAAGCTCAACGAAGTGCATACCCTGTACTTCCTCTGGTCGACGCCTTCCACGGCGAAGACTGTGCAGTCTGTGTCTACCGTATACAAGGTCGACTATGACATCATGCACCGGCGATTCGCACATCCGTCAAAAGACGTTCTACGTCAGGCGAAGAAACACACCAAGGGCTTTCCCCAAGACCTTGTTTTTCCCGAGGAAACTCGCCCCTGCAAAGGTTGCGCGCAAGGGAAAATGCACCAACGTGCCTTCCCGCCTTCTGAGCATCGTGCGAAAAATCCCTTTGATGTTATCCATTCGGATCTCAAAGAATTCCCGACGATATCTTATCACAAGTATCGTTACTTTATTGGCTTCTTTGATGAGGCACTCTCCTTTGGCTGGACGGTATGCATATCGCAGAAGTCCGATGCCAAGCAGGCTACGCGCAACTTTATTGCGATGGTCAAAAACCAGTTCGGTGCTACGATTAAAAAGTGGCATATCGATAATGGGGGAGAGTTTAAAGGCATGGGAATGGAGGAATTCCTTGCGGAGAACGGGATTCTGGTGGAGAAAGGCGCACCTTACGCTCATCAGCAGAACGGTCGCGCCGAACGCTTCAACCGGACGATTATGGACAAGGCCGAAGCCATGCGCTTCACGGCATGTCTACCTAACTCGTTCTGGGAGTTCGCGATTGCACTCGCGACACGGATCTACAATTGGACGCCCATCCGGCGTTTGAAGTGGAAAACTCCGTACGAAGCACTCCACAAGGAGAAACCGGATATTTCACATCTCCGGGTCTTTGGTTGCGCTGCTTATGTCTTTATCCCCGAGGAGAAACGCCAGAACAAGTTATCGCCCAAATCGGAGCTGATGACGTACCTGGGTATTCCCGATGGTGTGAAGGGATATTTGTTCATGCGCTCTAACACATCTCTCTTCGTTGCCACTCAGGCGATGTTTGATGAAGAAGTGTTTCCCCGCTGCCCTGACAGCGATTCGAATCGTCGTCAACATGTCCCTGTTGGTGATGAACCACAGCGTGACGATGATCCAGCGGATCCACAAGATCTGCAGGGACCAGGAGATCTGCCAGGTGATGATGACGATGCTCCGTCTCCACCGGCACCTCCGGCTCCTCCTCTACCCCCAAGAGGAAATGATGATGATGATGACGATCAAAATCATCAGGACCCGCCGCCTGATCGTCGGGATAAGACTCCAGAGGCAGCCCCGCCCGCTCCTAAGCGAGGCAGAGGGCGTAAGCAAGCAGGACCACCTCCTGAACCTACTCGGAAGTCTACGCGATTGCGGTCGAAGCTTGCACGTCCGAATAATGTCTATGGAGATCGCGCTCCAGCGGAAATTGAACGCGATGTCTCGAGCGAGACGAAGTGGAGAGAGATGGTTGGCGATGATGAACCGCGTAGCTCGCGTTCGAAAGCCACATCCGGTGCTGAGAAAGGGGTTCCCGACCCTAGCTCACAGCCATCTTCGCGCGCAGACGCTCCTGAGCATCTAGACGACGACGAAGCTCGCATACAAAAGCTATGCCGGGAAGGGGGAGTAGGACTCATCACGGAGCTGCTTTCAAAGGCGATTCCGAATGAGACCGTCCCAGACACGTCCAATATTCGCAATTGGACATTTCGCGACATTTACAAGCTGCCGAAGGCGCTACAGAAGGAGTGGTTTGACGCTTGCCGCGAGGAGCTTGAGGCGCTCCGTCAGCGCAAGGTTTACTCCCTTGTGGACCGTCCGAAAGGACGGAAGGTCATCAAATGCCGCTGGGTCTTTGATCAGAAATCTGATGGCCGTAAACGAGCCCGGCTTGTAGCCAAGGGGTTCAGTCAAGTCGAGGGCATCGACTATGACGAAATCTTCTCACCTGTTGTCAGGTACGAGACGTTCCGACTGGTCATCGCGCTTGCAGCGCTTGAAGGCTGGCATATGTCAGGTCTTGATGTCAGGAAAGCCTTTCTATATGGCGATCTAGACGAAGAGATCTACATGGAACAACCCGAAGGCTTTATTGCCAAAGGGAAGCAGGGCAAAGTCATGCTCCTGCACAAGGCGATCTACGGACTGAAGCAAGCTGCTCTCGCATGGTGGAAAGCGCTGACGAAGTCCACGAAAGCCATGGGCTGGGTCCGACTCACATCGGATGCCGGTGTCTTCTTCTACGAGGACTCGAACGGTCACTTCTGTGTGATCATCGTCTACGTAGATGATGCGATGTTCTTCTCGAAGGACAAGAAGCTCATTGCCTTTCTCAAGGCTGAGTTCAACAAGCGATGGGAATGCCGCAATCAGGAAATCACTGAGGAGTTCCTGCGCATGCGCATCACACGAGACGGATCTAAGATCAAGCTCGATCAGATTCCGTACCTCGATAAGGTGCTGCAACGCTTTGGGATGCAGAACTGCAAGTTCGCAGCGACACCTCTACCGGCCGGCTACGTTCCGATGCCAAATGAGGATGAAGTCGATCCCGCACTCCGTCAGAAATTCCAGTCGGTCATTGGATCGCTTCTCTTCATCATGTTGGGCACACGCTCCGACATTGCGTTCGCAGTAACCAAGTTGTCACAGTTCGCCGCCAACCCGTCTCAGGATCACCTCCATAAAGCGCTGTATATCTGCCGCTATTTGGCTGGTACCAGGGATTACGCACTTGTCTTTGATGGCAAATCCAATGGCGGACTTATTGCGTACACTGATTCAGATTGGGCCTCCGATCCAATCAAGAGGAGATCGACCACCGGCTTCTTCATGAAGTTGGCCAACGGGAACATCTGCTGGCAGTCACGTTTGCAGCGCACAGTCGCAGCCTCGTCGACAGAAGCAGAATACATGGCGCACTCTGACTGTAGCCGCCAAGTGATGTGGCTGAAGAGTCTCTTAGGAGAACTCAGACGCAAAATCACTGTTCCTGTCCCCATCTGCGGTGACAACCAGGGCTCCATCTTCACAGGCTCTAACGCCTACCGAGACCGTCGGATGAAACACATCGACATCCGTTACCACTACATCCATGAGCTGGTCGAGGAGAAGGAGGTCGAGTTGTTCTTTATAGACGGCTCTGACAACCCTGCGGATTTGTTCACCAAGAACTTAGGGCGCACTCTGTTCTTGAAGTTCAGATCGCAACTGGGACTTGAGTTCTACTCGTCCTAGACGGCCGTGTTATGACCCGTCCTTTCCTCCCTACTATCTCACCCTTACCTATCTTATCTCCATTACCTCTTACCACACATGGCCCTTGGTACTTAAGGCAGGCCTGGCCATGAGGCCTCCTTAGACTTGGTATTTTCGTTACTCGACTCTATTGTGATTGATCTGTTCTCTACATCTTCTCTCGAATCTTAGCTTTCTTATTTCTTGCCTGCGTATCGACCCGCCCGTGCCTCCGCCGAGTATCCTCTCGTCGTCCCACGTCGTGCCGACTACGCTAGCCCTTGAGCCGGGCCTAACATAATACCAAGTCTCACCGACGAGGTTTATTAGGCAGATGGCTTCACCCACCTTCTCCGAGGAGGGGGAACTAAGGGTCGAATACGAGCGCCGCAACACGCCGCGACTCTCCGACCACATAACACGCCGAGGCCACGTGGGACCGGTACCGCTCCCGTCCGAGTCCGTCTTCATTCCGGTACCACCCTCGCACGCGAGCCCACCACGTGTCGCTTCACACCAAGCATACTCTCGTCAACCGTCCATGGAAAGCCACTACCAGACCCCGGGAAACGCGCCCATACCTGGTATGTGGCCAACAACAGTCTCCGCCAGCCCGGGACAGCGTCCCCCTCCTTGGCAACACGAACCTCGTTCAGGGATCGAGAGTCCGACCTCTCTCCCCAACATCCGCGCATATGATGAGCCAACATCTCAACGATCGACTGCCCCTCTACCGACGTATCCGACGCAACCGTCCATTCACATGAGTCAAGCCGATTACGCGTCCACTCCAGCGCGACAACAACCCCATACGGCAACAATGGCTGGCTCGCTGCACCCGGACCCCCTCGCCACTCCCGAGGACTGCGCGCGAGAGGCATGGAGGATCTTCGTCGAGCTCGGAGAGCAGGAGGGCGCGATCGTACCGGATGACCCCATGGACGCTGCTGATGCCGTCATCGGCTGGCTACGCTATTTCGCGTCCTCCCTCAAGACGGGGCGAATTTGGACGAGACATACTCGATTCTACAACGACACCCAGCGTATGCGAGCACTGGCAGACCTCTTGCGCGCCTCGAGGGAGATGGGGGACAACAATTATCTCGAGTACGATTACGATCTCACGGACCTGGTCGATCGAGCGGAACGTACTGGGCAAACACCCCTGCACCAGATTATGAGCGAAGGGGTCCCAATCACGACACTCGACCACGCGCCGGTTATCCTCCACACCCTGGCGGAGCTACAGCACTCCCAGACGCGAGCCCGCCCCTACGTCAAACAACGTCAATTCGAGCCAACGACCACAACCGAACCAGCGCCACCCGAGACGCATGAGTCGAGCGACGGAACGCGGGTGCCAACGCCTTCAGACTCCTCGAGAGGGCGCGCGAGTCGAGTCGGAGAAGTTGACACCTCGCACATCCGACTCGGCCACATACCCACGAGGGACCGGAGACAATCGACGCGCTGGACGGCAGACCGGATTCGTCAGACCAACGAACGCCCGACGCGAGCGCCGCCCATGGCGTCGTACCACTCAGACGTTACGGAACTCGACTACGCCAGCGACCACCAACCTCAGCGTCCTACCTCGCGCACGTCCGCCCCAGGTCAAATCGCTACATCACCCGCGTCCAGCCACACCCGACACCTTCAAACGGCTCAAGACATTGAACTCACGCGTCTTGACACGCCCTCGGAAACTGCCCGTCTAACGGCCGAGATCCGCGAGCGCGAGGACCGCCTGCGAACTCTTCTCGAGAGGGAAGCTCACCAGCGCGCCGAGAGGGAACGGCGCGACCAGGAGAACTGGCAACCTCGAGTCTCCACTACGAACGTCCGCACGCCAGGACGGACGAGCGTGTCGTTCCAAGACCCATCACGCGGCATGAACACGCAGACGGTCGCGGTCGACTCGAGCCCGATCTTCTCACCTCGTGATGCACCGACGGTCAATTTACCCGCGACTACGAGGAACGTAGGAGGAGGTGCGCCAGGGGGCTACAGCGAAGGGGACTCGTCACACGACAGCAGTCGAGGGAGGAATAGGCAACCCGAGTCGCCCACGCCGCAACGTATCCCCACCTTCGAAGGTGTGGGACGAGGACCACCCCCGCCGATACCGGCGCGATCGCCGCTCAGGAATGCGAGGACATACCCAGTCACGCCACAGGCCGCATCGGGAAGACCACCGCCTCCGCCGCCACCAGGCCCTCTTCCACCCCTTCGTGCTATACCGCCGCATATGCAGCAAGCAACGTGGGGAGGGGGTACGGCACGATATGCGCAAGGGCAAGCAGTCTACGGAGGAGCACTAGGAGGGTACGGGGGCTCAGGCTCGGGAGGCTCGCCAGGAGGACCGCCAGGATGGCCCGGAGGGCGGGGAGGACCGACAGGACCGCCAGCGCCAACACCCGCGGGGAGGGGTAACGACCAGCGACCCGAGTGGGTGGATCAGCTCGCGCAGGCATTGCAACGGAGTCAACAACCTGTCGAGCCACGCGACCCGCGCAAGCAGCAGCAAGAGCAGGAACGACGCCGCATCCAAGAGGAGCTGGCACGAGAGAAGCAGCGCGAAGTCGCCCGCCCCGAGAAGTTCACAGGTCGCGACCCTACGCTCTGGCGCAAATGGATCGACTCCGTCAACCTACATTTCCGGGCGAAACCTCTCACTTACTCCGACCATCGCGCACGAATCCTCTTCGCAGTCTCCTACATGACCGATCTCGCACAAGATCACTGGCAGAACTTGGAGAAACATAGGCCAAACAGCGCCGCCCTCACCGACTACGACGCCTTCCTCGAGACCTTCGCCCAACAGTTCGATCTTGCCGACCCCGAAGCCGACGCGAGAGCCCAATACAGCGCATTGACGATGGACAATGACGAGCGCTTCACCTCGTATATCGTCGAGTTCGAAGGCCTCGCGCAGCGCACCGGCTACAACGAGGCTCACTGGATGACGCGTCTCGAGGACAGCGTGCCCGACCGTATCACCAACGTTGCACAGCTTGCACCGGCATCAGTCGACTTTGAGGACATGAAGAATCTCTTCACCTCCATCGACAATCGCTACTGGAAGGAACGGCACCGCAAGGAGGCGTACAAGAAGCAACTCCAGCAGCTTGAACGACGCTCCTCGGCTCAGACACGCCCCGCACGGCGCCCCGACACGCGCTACAGCGCTCCGCCAGTGACGATGGACTCCAACAAACCTCCTGCGTTCAGCTCGAATCCACAGCGCAACGCAACCTCGTCTCCGACACCTGCTCGACCGAATCCCGCCGCCGACAACGCCGGCGCGAACGATCGACGTGCGGCGACAAACACGGGACGTGTTACGATGCGTCAGCTGGTGCAAGGAGTGGACAAGAACGAGCTCGACAGGTTGAGGAGAGAGAGGCGATGCTTCGGCTGCAAACAGGTAGGGCATATGTGGGGCGACCCCGTCTGCCCGGTACCGAAGCCAGCCTTGGGCAGGTCGAACTACGTGCTTGCGAACGACCAGTTGGCGATTCAGTGGGAGGAAGAAGCAGGCGAAAATCCGTTCGGGACGATGAAGCTCGACAACGACACGGAGGAGGAGGGGGAGGAGGAGACCGAGGAGGAAGATGGGAACGAGCAGGCGGAGGGACAGTATATATACGACCACAGTGCTTCGGGAAATGTACATCGGGACTAGGAAATGGCAAGAGCTCACTAGTTCCCGATTCTTCTGCCCGAGCTCTTCCAGACTGTGACGACGAGGACCCACAACTCCTAAATGCGGTCGCCACGCTACCCTCTCACTCTTCCCAATCCTTCGTGCTCGAAGTCGATGTTCTCGAGACTGGAGCAACGGCCCAAAGGGGACTCATCGACACCGGTGCATCAAACAACTTCGTCGACTACGACCTCTGCACACAAGTCCCTCAGCTTCGACAAAAGCTCCCTCGAGAAATCCCGCTCACGCTCTTCGACGGCGCCCCTTCGTCAGCGGGAAATCTCAAACATCGCATAGCCCTCTCGCTCCGCTTCAAGGACGGCACTATCCATAAGGAAAACTTCCTGATTACGCGGCTACACCCCTCAACACCCATCGTCCTCGGCATGCCGTGGCTACGAAAACACAACCCGAATATAGACTGGAATGGCCTGACAATCCAACTAGAGCCCACCCTTCGCGCCGTGGTCTTCGAACCCGAACCGCGTATGCGGAGTGTCACTCTCATCGAGGAGCTACCGCGAGACGAGCCGGACTGGGTGGGAGAGGCACCGCAGGACCCCCGTGTGATACTCGAGGAGGTGGCGCCGCCAACAGCTACGGCACCCCGACCGGAACCGGTCTGGAACGAACCCAGCGCTCCGCGGCTGCTGAACTCAAAACAACGCAAACGCCAGACGAGCAAGAGAAAGCGGTCTCCGACGCCAACGCCAGTGCGGCCACCCAGTACAGGCAAGCTCGTGAGGAACTCGAAATACACGGGTAGACGCGACCCACCGAGAGGAAGGCCGCCCCGCGCGCGGGCGACGAGATCGACACCGTCCCAACAGGCGACAACCGGCGAGGATCCACACTCATCGGAGAAGCCCAAACAAGGGCTCGATCCCTCTTCACGCGTTGAGGCAGACCACGCCGGGTTCACGCTCATCGGGGCTACGCCCATGTCCCATCTCATTGATAGGGGAGAGCCGGTGTACCTTCTCTACCTGAGGCCAAATGTCGAGGAACCCCAGGAAGGAGAGGGAAATGAAGCTCCGACCCCGCCCGAGCACGTCCGAGGGGAGATTTCCGATAACTTGGACGAAGACCTGAAAAGACACGTCCCCGAGCAATACCATACGTTTCGACAGGTCTTCTCAGAAGAGACGGCGCGAGAGCTACCACCACATCGCGAACACGACCATAAGATAGAACTGGAGGAGGGCACGACACCCCCGTTCGGCAAAATCTACAACATGTCGGAGCGTGAGCTAGGCGCATTAAAGGAATATCTGGACGAGATGCTGGGAAAGGGTTTCATAAGATCCTCGACTTCGCCAGCGGGGGCACCCGTGCTGTTCGCGCCGAAGAAAGATGGGAAACTGAGGCTCTGCGTCGACTATCGAGGACTTAATCGCATTACCAGAAAAAACCACTACCCACTTCCGCTCATCGGCACTCTCGTGGACAGACTACGCGACGCAAAGATCTACACGAAGCTCGACCTTCGATGGGGATACAACAACATCCGCATAGCGGAGGGGGACGAGTGGAAGACGGCCTTCCGAACAAGATACGGGTCCTTCGAGTATCTGGTAATGCCGTTCGGTATGACGAATTCGCCGTCCACCTTCCAGCGCTTTGTCAACGATATCTTCCACGACATGCTCGACGTATTTGTCGTAGTCTATCTTGACGACATTCTCATATACTCGAGGAATGAGCAGGAACACGAGCAACACGTCCGACAAGTACTCCAGCGACTGGCCGACCACGATCTACACGCAAGACCAGAGAAGTGCGAATTCCACGTACAGGAGATCGAGTACCTGGGCATGATCATCACGCCCGGCGGCGTGAAGATGGACCCACGGAAAGTGAAGACGGTGCTAGACTGGCCGCGCCCTTCGAACATCAAGGATCTACAAGCCTTCCTCGGGTTCGCCAATTTCTACAGGCGTTTCATTGATAACTATTCGGGCATAGTGCATCCCCTTACCCAGCTCCTTAAGAAGAACCACGAATGGGCCTGGACGGATAGGTGTGAGGAGGTCTTCAACCTACTCAAGGCGGCCTTCACCGAGGCCCCCGTCCTGCAACACTTCAACCCCGCGCTGCCTATAGTCGTCGAGAGCGATGCCTCCGACTGGGCAATCGCCGCCATCCTCTCGCAGTTCGATCCAGCCGACAACGAGCTACACCCGGTCGCCTTCCACGCACGCACCTGCACGCCCGCCGAATGCAACTATGACGTCTTCGACCGCGAGCTCCTAGCGATAGTCGAGGCGTTCAAAGTGTGGCGACCCTACCTTGAAGGCGCGCGACACCGCGTAGAAGTTTACTCAGACCATCATAACCTCCAACACTTTACGACGTCGAAGGAGCTCAAACCACGACAGGTGCGATGGTCAGAATACTTATCAACGTTCGACTTTGTCATCCACTACCGACCCGGTCGACTAGGGGGAAAACCGGACGCCTTGACCCGACGACCCGACGTATACCCCCGAGAGGCGTTCAAGACGAAGGCAAAAGCCTTCAACGAACGGGTAGCGATTCCGGCAGAACGACTATGCGCGCTACATCTACTCGATGTCGAGTCCGAGCTCGAACGCATCCGAGCGGCACCAACAGACGAGCACGCGAGCAAGGGGAGGAGGGAAGCGAGCAAGGACCCAGGGGGAGCTTTCTCGACGACCGAAGACGGCCTACTACTCCGCGACGGACGAATCTACGTGCCGGACCATGAGAAGCTGCGCCTCGATATCGTACGCAGCCGACACGACCACCAGCTGAGCGGACATCCGGGAGTTCGACGTACACTCAAGCGTGTTATGCTCGAGTACTACTGGCCCGGCATGCGAAAAGACATACACAATTACTGCGTCACTTGCACGACTTGTCTACGGTCTAAGACGGCGAGACACGCGAAGTATGGCGCCCTCAAGCCGCTGCCAGTAGGAGAGCGCCCTTGGTCGTCCATATCTATCGACCACATCGTGGAGCTACCCTTGTCAGAGGGGTTCGACGCCGTATTAGTCGTGGTATGTCGACTCACTAAGCAGTCCATATTCATCCCATGCCACACGACCGACGACGCAGAAGAATTCGCTCGCCTCTTCATACGCGAAGTCTTCAGCCGACATGGGCTGCCAGCCGACATCGTATCCGACAGGGGAGCGCTGTTCGTATCCGCATTCTGGAAGGAGCTATGCAAGGCTTTAGGAGTGAGATCCAACCTCTCGACAGCGTACCATCCTCAGACGGACGGCCAAACAGAACGAGTCAACCAAACCCTCGAGCAATACCTCCGCGCCTTCGTCAGTTATGACCAGGACGACTGGGTACCCCAACTGCCCATCGCCGAATTCGTATACAACAACACCACCCACTCGGCGACGGGAATGACACCTTTCTTCGCGAACAAGGGCTATCATCCACGCCTCTCGATCGCCTTCGACAATATCCTGAACCATCAGGTCAACCTCGTAGCGAAGGACTTGAAATCGCTCCAGGAGCACCTCAGGGAAGAGGTACAGAAAGCCGCGGAGGCGATGAAGAAGCACGCGGACGTCCACAGGGGTCCTACACCCGACTGGAGCAAGGGGACGAAGGTGATGCTCGACCTACGCAATATAAAAACCAAGAGACCTACCAAAAAACTGGACTACAAGCGCCTTGGGCCATTCACCATCGAACGGAAGGTGGGAACGCACGCCTACCGCCTCAAGCTGCCGAAAACAATGTCAAGAATCCATCCCGTGTTCCACGTCTCGCTGCTGCACGAGATCCCCGCCGACACATTCGCGCAACGACCGCCGGAGAAGGCCCCGCCAGTGGAAATAGATGAAGAGGGATACGAGCAGTACGAAGTCAGGGATATATTGGACTGTAAGGTAGTGGGAAGGAAGGGCACTAAGCGCAAGGTCAAATACCTGGTCGATTGGGAGGGATTCGGGCCCGAAGCGCGTACATGGGAGCCGGCAGACGGCCTCGCAAAAGCTGGAAAAAAGGTCGACGCGTTTCACGCGAGCCACCCTGAAAAACCACGTACAGTCGAGGAATGGGACGCTCTCCCCAAGGCGCCAGGAAGGAAGGGGAAAGGGGGGAGAAAATAGGAGGGAAATACGACCTAACTTATACGGACGACGACAACGGAAAAAACTCAGAAATTCAGACAAGAACACCACGAGCAAGACATACAACACATACGAGTACAACAAACACGCACATACACCAAGCTACGATACAGCCACGGCCCTCAAAGAGGAAAACCAACACGCCCTCAGTCGACGTCGCTCATATCCGCATCCTGCACAACCGCCGCCACCGACTCGCCCCGCTCGACGCTGCTAAGCACATCCCCACCCTCGACGTCACGACCACCCGATTCGCCTTCGCCTCCAGCCTGCTCGACATGCTCCTCGCCGGCATCATCACTGAGAATGTCGTCGGCTTCCCCCTCGCCAAAAAGGGCGCTCTCGAGAGGACCGAACCGCGCAGTGTACGCACGAACACGATCAAGAAGGCGTCGATAAAGGTCACTCGGGACACGCGAGCTATGAGCATCGAGGAGATCGCCGAGCCGACTACGAAGGCGTTCCAGAGCGCGAGCGGACTCATGGCGCAGTCGAGCAAGGTCGCGGCGGGCCTCGCGCGCGTCATCCTCCGCCTCCCGCCGAGCGACATTGGCGAAGCGCAACTCCTCCAGGTGACCCTTCAGGCGGGAATCGAGGTTGTCGACGTCTTGAAGAACGCGATGGTAGCGACCGTGAAAGAATCGAGAGCGGCGAGAGGCCTTACCGCGCTCCGACTCGGCCGTCGCCAGAGACGCCTTGACCTCAACAAGCTCGCGGCCCGTGCCGGCGAGTTGGGCGGTCAAGGAGGCGACGTGAGCCTCGAGCTGCGCGATACGATCGAGGTGACGCGAGGAGTCGGCCATGACGCGGCGAAGTTCTTGATCCTGCGTCATCAGGCGAGAACGCACGCCAGCCAGAGTGCGATCAGTGCGCTCGAGGGAGGCGCGGAGACCCGCGGACTCGCCACGCGCATGCTGCAAAGCACGCTCGAGGGAAACCTGAACGACGTTCGCGATCAGAAACCCCGGACACGACACGATCGCACCCACCTCATCAGAACCGGAGCCCACGTCGGGGGACACCTGATCACCGCCTCCCGAGGAACCCATACGGGCGTTGAGGACAGCTGCAGAACGATGAGTGGCGAACAGGAAGGGGGACCCAGCAAGCACCTAGCATGGCCGCCGTCGGCGGGGGGACAGACGACTCGGAAAAAGCGGGCTGCAGTTGAGGCACCGCGACGCCCGCGCCGAGGAGTAGAGAACGGGGAACGGGTTGAGGAGAAGAGATCTTGGAGGGGAAAACCATGTCGGAGACGAAGTGGCTGAGGAAGGCGAGCAGCCCGACACTGGTATAAAAGAGAGTCGCCGAAACGCCTTGAACGACAGGGCTGGTAAGCGCACGGAGTCCACGAGAAGAAGGAGGGGAAAGCACGAAATTCATTCCGTCAGCGAACCGACCATCGATAGGCCATCCCGGGCTCGACCGACGCAGGGAACGCTAGGCGAGCAGGGGGAGACACTGCTCCCCCACCCTAGGAAGGGTCTAGCGGAATCGGCGGCACTCCTCGTCGTGGGGAAGCTCAAGCTCGCCCTTGACGCGGGGCCCACACGAGCCGATCGCCACCTCGGCACCCTCCGACCCACGTGACAGACCTAGGTTCGAACCTGTCTACCGGACCTCGGCGTCCACCTACCTACTCGACTCGGGGAGTCTCGCTTGAGGAGGGGGTACTGTTATGACCCGTCCTTTCCTCCCTACTATCTCACCCTTACCTATCTTATCTCCATTACCTCTTACCACACATGGCCCTTGGTACTTAAGGCAGGCCTGGCCATGAGGCCTCCTTAGACTTGGTATTTTCGTTACTCGACTCTATTGTGATTGATCTGTTCTCTACATCTTCTCTCGAATCTTAGCTTTCTTATTTCTTGCCTGCGTATCGACCCGCCCGTGCCTCCGCCGAGTATCCTCTCGTCGTCCCACGTCGTGCCGACTACGCTAGCCCTTGAGCCGGGCCTAACAGGCCGATGAAGATATGCGCTTGCATGCGCTGGCGCGCACTTAGCGAGGGGGAGTGTTGAACATTCGGCCTGTCACGACATGTCACGTGTGCATCACATGCACCTACACGCGAGTATCATATGACTCAGATGGACACATATGGACACATAGGTTGGACTTGTCACATGTACGCTTTACTCAGCGTGTTCTGTCCTCTTGACTCATTCTCTATTACTACGTATGACATCGTTGCCTCTCCTGTAGTATATAAGGAGGGCTCCTCTGGCCCTGTAATAACAGGTCTTCACCTACTCTGCGCATAGCCTCTAGCTAAGCTCTCTTATATTCAGGTAAGCTGAGTGGTGTGCTTCCCAGCATGCTCAACACTTCCTCCTCCGCGACCGTCGCCCCCTAAGAACATCGCCCAACCTCCTCCTGACCCACACCCGTACGTATTCTCTTTCTCACCGCGTTTACACTGACACACCCACAGCCCTCCTCCTTCGACCTCTCCCTCCTTCGCTTCTGTCACGAGTTGGTTATTGTCCTGTACAGCTCGACTCTAGCAGTCACTCGGTCACGTCACGCGTTCACGCCTTATATACCGAGTAGTCACACTTATACACTCTTTAGTCCGTGCGTTGTCGCCTTCGGTCCGTGTCTGTGTTCGGCGTTGCCGCTGGGCGCGCCAGCCCCTCCAGCTTGCCGCTGAGGGGGGCCTCTGAGGCCCTGCCCGGGGCTTTGTACCGGGTCTGTCGCTTGCCTTCCCTCCTTGCTGCTGCCATCCGACCGCTGGGTCGTATTCGATCATCTACCGCCGACGCTCCTGCTATCCGCAACCTCCCTACCCGTCGGTCACTCTTTGCATCCACTTCTGATAGGTTATGAGCCCCGGATGCGCACTCTCTGTGCTCTGGCAGCCCTGCCTCGTTTTTCCACCTCCTCCAGCCAATCACATCCCTTGTCCTGTCACGCATCACACCACAGTCACCCCACATGTGATCAGCCACCTGCCATGTGATCAGCCACTCACCATGTGACTTGCAACTGCCAAGGTCACCCCCTCTGTCACCTGACCCTCATGTGATGTTCATGTTCATCTATCACATGACCCACCTGCCGCTGCTCACCTTCGCCGTTCATCGCCACATGCAGTCGCCCGGCACCGCCTTCTTGCCTGCACTCCGGCGCTCCAGGACTAACCCTCCGCTCTGCGCCTTGCGACTTGATTGTTGCGGCTTGTCGCTGCTGTATGCGCGCCCTCATCGACATGCCACCACCTCGCATATCCGGTGTTGAGTATCATCTCCACCTTGCGTCTGGTGCTCCAGGACTAGCCCTCCACTCTGCGCCTCCTTAGCCAGCTAATGCTGTAAGCCGGGTTTAAACCCCCTTGACACTTGTCATACCTCGGGTTGAAATCCCACGATGCGGTTGTCGAGCCCGGCAAATGCCGAGCTCCCAGCCGCTAGAGACGCCGGCGCCGCCGTTCTCCTGCCTTATACGGCGCCGCAGCCGTGATGCGCACGTCGCGTGCCCTTCCCGACGTCGGGGGCGGCGCGTGATGGCGTGATCGGGCGGCGGGACAACCACGCACGCGCCCTCGACGCGTCGGAACGTGCCGCGCGCGCGTTCTTGCCGCGTCTGTTGCCTCTGCTGTCTGCAATAGAGTGTATACGACTATATATTATGTTACACAAAGTCCTATACATGTATATATAATACATGAAATGAAAAGAGCGCGCGCGCGAAAATTTTCGCCGCCGCCGCTGCCGCACGTGGCGTGGATAACGTAGGGGAAAGAGGTGGGGGAAATCAAGGAGGGGGAGTAGAGGGAGGGGGAGTAGAGGGAGGGGGAGTAGAGGGAGGGGGAGTAGAGGGAGGGGGAGTAGATGGAGGGGGAGTAGACGGCGAGGGCGGATAAGGAGCGAGGGGGTGTGGCCTTGCACTGGGAGCGGGAGGGGTGGTATAGGGGGCAGGTTCCCGATCGGGCGCGCTAGGAGGAAGGGGCGAATGCGCTTAGCGCGGGTGGGGAAGAGCTGTTGAGCTTGGGAGGAAGCTCGTGGGGTAGGTCGAAGTTGGAGGGTGAGGGGGGTAGGGCGCGGGAAGCGCACCTCCTGCACCACATCTGCATGCTGAGCCATTGGCGGGCTTGGTCGCGTGCGTGTGTAGGGGCGGGGCGGGGCGGAGCGCAGCGCGGTTAATAGAAAGAGATGCCGCGCACTTCCGGCTGGAAGTGCGCGCTGCATCGCGTGGGGAAGAGGGGGGGAAGGGGGAAGGGGGCGGGGCGTGTTGTTGTTGTCGCCGTTGCTAGGGCACAGCCATCGTCCGGGGTCGTGAAGCGGGGTGGAAAGAGGTGAGAGGAGGTGGGGAAAGGAGGGGGGTTTGCTTTCTTGGGGCGCGGGGGGTTAGGGGGCGAAGCGCCGCTCCCTAGCGCTTGCTTGCGGAGCAGCAAATTATAACATTATTAGCTGTGTTTCATGCGGTTTTAATACTGGGACGTACCTTGAGGGACTCTTATGAGTCCCTTCTCCTTTGTCCTTCTCTCTACGTATCCGAAGAGGCCGTTGGGCCGTTGATCGAGGGGCGGGGTGGGGGAAGAATGTGAGATCAGCGGCGCGATCGCCACGATCGCCGCCGGAATTTATTGCCACGTGGAAGGAAAAGGGCAACGAGGAAGGGATGAAGGCAAGGGGGGAGCTGAGAGGGGGAGCGAGCAGTGGTGAGGGAAGGTGGGAGGAGGAGAAGCGGTGGCGCGGGCAAAGTCACAATTTGGGACCGATAAGTAGCGATTTGGGACCGGACCGCGCCGCCACCGCCACTCTCGGCGATACCCGCAGCTCGAACAAGGGGACTTCAGGTTCGTAAAGCTCGCGGAATGTAGACCGCAGAGGTATACTCAGGGCTCTCTAAAGTCAAACCAATATTTGCGATTTACTGTGATTTTATATGCGCTGATTTCATCCTGAAGACCACTCCTTCGAGTGGGATCTACATAAAGCAACTCAATGCCCATTGCCAGGGATACAGACATCCGCGCTCCTCCAAAACTTCTGTAGACGGTGTAGAACGTACTACTAGCTACTTTTATGCTGCTATACTCTGAGGGAACTGCTTGAGAGAAGTGCAAACTGGCAAAGAGTGTCATTTTGACGCATTTGGCGCTTTCTTTGCGCATTTAGTACACTTTCCAGGTTTCCCATTGCTACCAAACTTTATGCCATTCTTTGTATACTATTAAAGTATGCTACCCTAAGTTTTCAGGGCGTGAGACCGGGTGGATGACTCGCAGATGGCGAGGGACCGCGCGCGAACGCGTCCCCTTCGACGCGACGCGTGACGTGACATGACGCGTTCCGCCTTTCCTCCCACAACCATCGCCGCCTCCGACCACCCTCGCCCGCGGCCTCCTGGCTGCCCGACAACGCGCGGAGAAGAGAAGGAAGGGCAGGGGGGCTCTTATGAACCCCCCTAAGGTGCGTTCTCGTATCTAAAAGCTGAGTAACCCTGCTAATGAAAATTTTCGGCGCCGTTCGCGACTGCGAGCGGGGCTGGACCGCGCCGCCACCCACTATGCCCGCCGACGCTGGACAGCGCCGCCCCCATCCTACGCCTCGCCACCGCCGCCAGCAGCGCCGCCTACCCCCTGTCACACGACGACGGCAGCAACGACCTACCCCCTCTCCTCCCTCCCTACCCCCCTCACGACGTCACATGGCGTACTGCCTAACGGCAGTGCGCTCAGTGCGCTGTAGCGTTGCATAGCGCGCGCCGAGCGACATCCCGCGCTTCTCGCCGCCATCGCCCTCTAGCGAAACAGCGTGCGCGCGGGATCGCATAATCGCGCGCGCTCCCCTCCCCTTGCCTCCCCTTCGTCCTCCCCCTCGTCCTCCCTCACCCCACATCCCATGCTCTCGCAGAGCGAGGCTGGGGAGGGGTGAGTGGGGGAGGGGGAGGACGGAGGGGAAACAAGGGGAGGGAGGCGGAGTGCTGCGTGTCCCCAACCCGGGCTCCCGCGCTCCCCCTCTGGCGCCGTCGTGTCGCGCAAGCGTATGACTGCGCACCGAGGGGAGGGGGGCGGCGAGAGATGACCTGCCGTCGCGGGAAGGGCAACGCCGACTGCCCGCGCTAGCGCCGCCACCCCCACCGATTTGCATGCCCACCCCCTCCTTTCTCCCCTCCCCCTCTCTCCGAGTGGATAGGGGCAGGTTCTACAGCCCGCCATCGCCACCCCAGCCCCCCACTCCCAGAGTCCAGCCGCATACACGCGTATTGCGCACCCACCACCGCCGCGCACGCGCGGCGGCGATATATCCATACATTCTATTTATATATATGTATACTACATATATAATATATCATGTTTATGTGCTTTTGCCAGGCTGAGTACACAGGAGGGGCGAGAACGAGCAAAACGTGCCGCCGCGACGGCGGCGGGCGCGCGGACACCCTGCCGCGTCATCACGTCATCACGTGCCGTCCCCGACGTCGGGAAGGGCACGCGACGTGCGCATCACGGCCGCGGCGCCGTATAAGGCAGGAGAACGGCGGCGCCGGCGTCTCTAGCGGCTGGGAGCTCGGCATTTGCCGGGCTCGACAACCGCATCGTGGGATTTCAACCCGGGGTATGACAATTGTCAAGCGGGTTTAAACCCGGCCTACTGCACAAGGTGCCTTAGCGAGCTACGTTGCTGATGCACGATGCCGCTTTGTGTGTAGTGGTCGCTGTCGTCCCCTTGCCACCGCCGCCGCTTGCCAACATGCGGCCCTCCTGCGCGGTAGCTCCCCTCGTCGGTTGAGCAACCGCTAGTGGATTGTCAAGTTGGGTGGGAGCCCACTTGCATCTCACTTGCGCGGTCACCTGGCGGCGTGCCTGCTTTGCCCCTCGGGGATATTTCCTTTTGTGTAAATCATCCGTGATTTACCAAAAAGGCAAGTGTCCGTTTCCGGAAGGAGTTTCCCATACTCCACCGGGTGGCTTGGCATGGCACGCCCCCTGGCTGCTGCCCCTACGTCGGGTTCGGTGGGAGCTGTGTGGCATCTCTGCCGGATCGTTGGAAGGATTTGTTTGGTAACGTCTTTCTTTGGGCTGTGAGGACATCTTCTTTGTTTTTCTCCTTTTGCTTGCAGGACCTTTATACCGTTCTTCCTTCGGGTGGGAGCTTTTGTTTCTTTTGCCCCTTTTCCAGCACGGTTACTTACTTATGTATTGTTCCTGCTTGCCGTCCTCGCTGGGTGGGAGTGTCACGAGTTGGTTATTGTCCTGTACAGCTCGACTCTAGCAGTCACTCGGTCACGTCACGCGTTCACGCCTTATATACCGAGTAGTCACACTTATACACTCTTTAGTCCGTGCGTTGTCGCCTTCGGTCCGTGTCTGTGTTCGGCGTTGCCGCTGGGCGCGCCAGCCCCTCCAGCTTGCCGCTGAGGGGGGCCTCTGAGGCCCTGCCCGGGGCTTTGTACCGGGTCTGTCGCTTGCCTTCCCTCCTTGCTGCTGCCATCCGACCGCTGGGTCGTATTCGATCATCTACCGCCGACGCTCCTGCTATCCGCAACCTCCCTACCCGTCGGTCACTCTTTGCATCCACTTCTGATAGCTTCTTTCCCGCCTTTCCCGCCTTTACCGCCTTTACCGCCTTTACCTCCTTTACCTCCTACTCTTAGCCCAGACACGCATACACCCACATCCCTACGCATATACCCCACCCAGCACCCGACTTTCGCCTCACGCCCTCCACCTACACGCGCTACAACCCCCACTACACCTATCCACACAGCTCAGCCACCACTTACGCACGACACGCCCTCCGATCGCCTCACCGCCGTTCGTCTCAACGTCCTCGCCTTCTTTCCCACCATCCGCCCACGCCGCAACCAGCTATCCGCTCGTTTACTACCTAGCCCCTACCGCCCCCACTGTGCCGCCCGCGACCGGGTCCTGCTCTGGACCTCGCCCTTCGCGCTCTCCATGCAGTCGCAGTTGGACTCGTACCTACCTCTGCAGTCGCAGAGCGAGATGCTGAAGCAGGCCCTCTGCGGCCTCGAAGACAGCACGCGAGAGGGCTACGGCTCCGGCCTCCTGCACTTCCACGTCCTATGCGACTCGTTTGGCGTCCCCGAAGAGGCGCGCATGCCCGCCTCACAGGCCCTCATCTCGTCCTTCACGGCACAATTCCCTGGGATGGTCACCGACTCCGCAGTCAAGAACTTCCACTGCGGCCTCGAGCTATGGCATACGATCAACCATGCGCCGTGGCACGGCAACTCGCACCTGGTCCGCCTTGTCAAGCGCGCAGTCACCAAGGCGGGTGTCGCTCTCAAGCGACCCCCACGTCCACCCGTCTTACTTGCCCACCTCGACGCGCTACGCGACTCCCTCAACCTGGACCTCCCACGCGACGCAGCGATCTTCGCACTCGCGCTCGCTACCTTCTGGGGCTGCCGCCGCCTAGGCGAGCTCGTGCCCGAATCAGCAAAGCAGTACGACCCTACCCGCCACCTCCCGTGCGGCACCGCACGCGAGCATACGACCTTCCGCGGTTCCGACGCGCTCACCTTCCACATCCCCTGGACGAAGACCACGGGTGTCGCCGGCGGCACGCTCATACTCACCGCCTTACCCGACGATGACCCGTTATGCCCTCTCAAGGCCTACTACAACCACCTGCGCCTGTCGGTGGGCATGCCGCGCTCCGAGTCCTTCTTCGCCTACTTCCTTAACGACGGCTCGATCCGCCGCCTCACGAAGTCTGACGTCGTCGACGCTGTCAGGCAGGAGAATGGTTTGCACGACTGAAAGGGAAAATCTCGCCTTCGCGCCGCTGGAAAGCCCGGCGGTGCCGACCAGTCACGTGACACTCGGCCCGGTGCCCCCGGCCTCGGGATCTTGCGAGGAAGGACGAGTGTGTTCCCTGACGTTCGGAGAGGTTCCCAGGAGACCCCGGTACGTCCCGTAGCCACTAGATATACTGAGAAGGTTCGGTAGATAGGGTATATAAGCGCTTGAAAAAGCCAAACAATAGTAACTTGCACCTTGACCTTAGATTTACTACTTTGTGACTCATACCAAGCTTCTGAAAAGCTTGGACCCCCGTAAGACCTCAAATCAGACCCATTCCTGAGCTCCCAAGCACCGGGAAGTCTCACTTAAGCCGCCGACTCGCCGAACGCCCAAATTCCCTCGGTCACGTGCCCCTCTGCCGCCGCCGCCGCCGCCGCCGTCTCCTGCCTGCCGAACAACACGCGTGCCGTCGCGCCCCGTTCTTCTCTCTTTCCCGTCGCCGCCGCCGTCAAACGATAAGGTCGTCGCCGCGGATCGACCTTACGCCTCGCCTCCGTCCAACCGGCAAACACCGAGACGCACGAGAGTCCCTCGTGCTCAGTTTGCATTTCTTCGCCGTCATCGACCCCGCCGTTCCCCGACCCCCTCCGCTCATCGTCACCGACGACGAGCTCATTTCTCGGCGGAATACCTCCCGCGCGCACCCTATCTTGCCGGAGATTCCAAGCTCTCCCTGCCTTTCGCCCCGACTACTGATTTCCCGTCGTTCTCCTACCGCTACGTGGGTTTCAGAAATTTGAATAATCACCTTAAATTCGAATTTTGCTTTTAATCCTATCTTCCTTTTCCTCCCCCTTTTCCCCACCTCTTGCAAAACCTTACCTTGCAAGGAACCTGCGAGATCGCCCACTCTTAAGGCTTTCTCAGGGCTTTTTCTATCAAACATAGGATAGCTCGACATCAGTGGTGACCACCGCAGGGGGCTTATAAAGGTATAATCTTCAATCTATACCCCAGAACTCCTGCCTTCCCAGTCAGAAAGGTCACGTCTCCCTCCTCAGCTTCCATCTCTTGCCTCCCCCCAGATGTCCTCCCCCGAAAGTGCAAGCTATAGCCTCATCGGCGTGGATGACCCCGGCCCAAGACTAGACCCATCGAACAACCTACCCCTAACCGAAATGCACACGTATCGCGAATCGCGCGCTGACGAATCATCAGAATCCGACAACGACCTGCAGCCCTCTCTGTTCAACACGTCCCGCCTTCCGGCTGCGCCAATCGCCGAACGCGGGGAGGCGCCGCGCGTGTATGTGGCGCTGCACCCTAAGGAACAAGGTGAGCAGGATACGAGATTCCTCGCTAACCTTCCAGATAACCGACGAACGCCGGGGCGCTTCCCCTCAATGAGCGACCTCAGACGAGCTCTGCCTGGCGAAGCTACGAAGCGCGGGCAGTCTTTCGACAACCTTCCCGACCCTGTCGCCACAGCGCACGCAAATGGGGGGACCGCGGGACCGCGGCGTCTTACGGCTTTGGACCTACCCGCGCCGGGCGCACGAAATGCACCAAAAACATTTCATGGCGACTGCGAAGAAGTGGAAGGCTTTATTGACCATTACGAGAAGCTCATAAAGCTCTGCAACCTCGCTACCGGTCGCGAACGATGCCACAACATCCTGCTGTACTGTGCCCCTAGTGTATCCGAATTTATTCGTGTAACTACCAGCTACCTACGAAGCGACTGGGAAGGACTTAAGGGTGAGATATACAAGTGGTACAATGCGGAAGTCGCGCGCAAAAGGTATAAGCCTATCCACGTCGCGGAATATGTCAAGAAGCACGGTCGAGAACCCATCTACAACCTGACCCAATGGAACAAGTACTACGTAGGTTTCAAAAAGCGGTCCGGCAGGCTTGTGAGCGAAAAACTCATGTCCCCCGCAAAGGAGGCCTGGTACTTTAAGAACGGGATACACGCAGACCTCTGGGAGAAGATCTACGCGACGCTGTCCTCCTTAGACCCTCTACACGATCCCGCCGTCCCGTATTCCGTCGCCGACATTTGCGCAGCTGCCGATGTCAGACTCAAGCGAGAGAACTTCGATGACATGCAAGAAGATGCTGACCGTTTTGGTATCGCCCCCGAAGACCTGCCTAGTGACTCAGAGGAAGGATCCGAACCGGACAGCGAGTCTGACTACTCAGAGCGTGAATACCGACGACGGAGGCGTGAGAAGAGACGCAAAGCGGAGCGAAAGCATCGAAAGCACCGGAGTGAACCGACGCGAAAAGACAGGGTCACGGGCCCACCCGAGGAAGTCTCTACTCTCGTCCGGCAGCTCAACCGCCTTCGCACTGAGGAACCATCGTATCCTGTCATAGTACTACGCGATGGTCAGCGTGCGGAAGGAAGAGAAAGTCACGCATACGCACCGGCTTTGGCCTCCCAAGTCCGATTTGCCAACACCGACTCTCTGATGCGCCCCCCGTATTCCTTACCACCCGCAATATCGCGCGCCCCGCCACCCCACATGAACGGGGAATATCAACCCAGACCACCACCAATGCCTCTCGAGCAGACCTGCTTTGGTTGCCGAAGGCCGGGGCATCGAGTGCGAGAATGCGAGGACTTGAATCGTTTAATTCGGGAAAATCGAGCGAAGCGAGACCCAAATACTAATCGGATAGTCCTTGCGAACGACGCACCAGTACGCACGTATCAGGGAGAAAGTCTCGTGCAGGCTATCACCCGGATGACGGGCAGCGAACCCCCGAGGCCGACAAGCCTGTACGCGGAAGCGCACGAGCGAATGGGAAACGGCGCGCGGGCCTACTATGCGACGGTGAGAAAAACGGAAGAAGACGTGTCAGAAGACGAAGCCCGGTACTCACGAGACATCAATGCTCAAGCCCTCCTGTCCGCATACGATTTGGCCGCGGAAACAGACGAAGAGTTGGAAAGCAGCGAAGAGGAGGATAACCGCGAGGAGGAAGGGGAGGCTGAAGAAGAGGGAAAATGGATAGAGGACGAGAAAGGTCAGGTATACCGCGTCATCAGGGCGAGCATGCCGGCAACAAGGAACGACAGGTCAGCAGTAGGTCATCGAAAAGAGTTCATGAACGAACCCGTGAGACGGCCAGGACTCCGAGCACCTGCGCCGCGGCAGACGGTTCCCAGCAAGTATCGCGAGTTCAAGAAAAGTGACGCCAATCGAGCCGCCCCACCGGGAAATGAGCGGAAGGAGCGAGACGCGGGATGGCCGACGCGTCAGTCGAGGGCTTCCATTATTCCTGGGCTAAAGGAAGGAGATAAGCAGGTCCGCCTGGGAAACGAGGAACTGGGGGTAAATGATGAAGGGGTAACGCGGTTACCTGCGCCACAAAACGCTCCCCCTCCGCCTGAATCCCTGCATGAGAAGCCCCCGCGAGGCACCCTACCGGGCCCGAATCCATTTGAACTCCTTCCACCTCTCCATCCCGTAAATGCCCGTCGTCCGCGAGTACGCCCCGAGGAGGGAGGCGTCACAATAAAGAACAGTCAAGACCTACCCGCTCGTTCGCACGCGCAAACAGACGGTGCCTTCGAGCCAAGTGAGGATGCGGCTGCGCGTGGACGTGGGCCGGCTCGAATCGCCCCCATTACGCACGAAACGAACCCAAAGGAGGTAGTGGACAAGGTATTAGGACAGCCCATAACGCTCACCCTAAGAGAAGTGATAGGCGTATCGTCTAAGCAGGTCCAGCGGGAATTTCAGGAGGTAATGCGCCCGAAAAGTCTAGTGCGCTTGCCGACCGGAGGAGCCGCGGCCGTGAACATAGCAGGCACAAGCCTAGAGACCCCCAGCGGTCCAGAAGTGTACGCGGCGCAGATTGACGAGGACAACCTCATCCGGTTGGACTTGTTATGTGAAGGGACTCCTGTCAAAGCCATCATCGACACGGGTTCTCAGCTCAATGTGATGCGGGAAAGTCTGGCTCAGAAGATATTGGCAGGCATGCCTCTGGACACAGCGGGGGCATTGACAATGAACGACGCGAATGGGGGTGAAGGATATATTTCAGGAGTAATGAGCCAGATAAGCCTCGAACTAGGACCCATACGTACCAAGACCGATATATATCTGGGCGCCAAAGTACCCTTTGATCTGCTTCTTGGACGCCCGTGGCAACGCGGAAACAAAATCTCCATCGACGAGAGGGATGAGGGAACCTACCTTATCTTCCGTGACCAAGAAACCGGCGCGAAAAGGTACGAGCTTCGGGTTCCCAGACATCCCAAGGTCCGAAAAGGGGACAAGAAACCCCCAGCCGCCATGCTATTGGCGCGTGCGCCGCCCTATAAGGAAGAAGGCAGCATGGGGAAGGACGATAAGCAGGCGTTGATGGGCAGAGATGCATTCTACGTCACGTCACATCAGATCACACCCGCGTGTTCGGAAGCAAACTGACATCCCCAAAAAGAGGATAAGGTTCAATCAGAGCGTGCTAGTACTCAATGGCATGAAGGGCGGCCGCAAGGCGTCTTTCCCTCCACCACGAACCGAGCCTCTCTCCCTCTGCTCATCCTCTTTTCCCTGCTCCTGGTTTATTTGAATGCCTACTCCCTCTGTGCTATCTCGAGCAACGCGTCATCCCTCCGAAATGCGGGTTTCGTGGACTATAAAAGCAAGGACGAGAGGCTCGACAAAAGCATCTTCCCCGCTTCTCCAACTTGCTCGCTGAGTCCTACGCTTAACACGAACAAGACTTCCCACCTGTTGTCGTTCCCAGCACGACTGATGACCCCCTCGAGCGCTCCTCCGGAGGCGCCATCCCCATCCTTCCCGCACCTACCCCCAATTCTTTCCATATCCGCCACTGTCATTCCCGCGAACGAGTTCCCGGACGCGCAGGGGCAAGCACCTGCACATCTCGAGCCTCCCATCAATGGAACGCTGGACGCCCCCACCCAGATCGGAGAGACCACCCGAAGGCTCGACGAAGCTGCTGCCCGGGGCGAATTTCCCGGCAGGCTATTCGTCTTTTCAGGGAGAGGAGCCTCGCTGGGCGGTGGACGGGACCGTCACGGGCGCTACGCGCATGATGTGGCCATTCCAAGTGGTGAGTTCTGCTCTCCAGTCCTTCTCAACGCGAACCTGAACGGGCTTCAAGCCACCTGCATGTCGTCGGATCCAAACGGGCGTCACTCCACCACCATGGAGGACGTCTTCATTCGTTGTTTCACGCAGACCGCGCCCTCCGTCTCCAACGATCCTCTACTCGAGCCCGGATCCAATGGGATCAACAGCCACCCACCCACTGTGGAGGAACTCCAGCGGATCCTTCCCCAGCGCGACGACTCTAACGACCCCTCCCTCATTCACTGCAACGTGCCGGTGGTCACAGACACCGGTCGTGTACCAGCCCGTCCCTTCACCCCTATATACGGCGCCAGTTCCCTTCCTCCCTACTACGCGCCCAGGATGTGGTCGGGAGCCGACGCACAGCGCCCCGGCGCCATGGGCGATGTCAATGGTTACACCGCCATCGAGCAGAGCGTCCTCAACCACCGCCTCGTCCAGGGCATTGACCCCGCACGTACGATGGGCACCCAACCTGACGATCGTTCCGCCGCCGACGCCTTCCAGCCCGCCGTGCTCGCTGCCTTCGCCGATACGTTCGAGCTTGGGGGATCTTCTCCGGCTCGATCTACGCCCGTGCTTCCCTACCTCTCGCGAGAGGACGACCGCTATGAGCCCCTCCCCCCCCAGCTACCAGGGGACGGACGCAACCAGCACGACGTCCGGTCCGTATCACCGGTTGAGCACCGCGCCCCCGACGCCATGGTCGTCGACAGTCCCCGCTGGATACCCGGGTCGCCCGCCGACTCTGACTTCCAACGTCTCTACGAAGGACGGGTCGCGGAGGACACGCCTCCTTGGGAATGCTTTCTGCAATACCCAGAGCCGTCTCCCACGCCCGATGGTAAGTCATCCTTGATCAGCCAACTGGCGCCCCGGCTCACGAGCGTTCCAGCCGGCCCCTCAGCTCAGGTGCTCGCCGCCGTCGAGACCCCACACGGCGCGCAGGCCAATTCGGGACCAGGGGAAGTCAAGGACTCCCTCGAGGATGTCCCCCTCGCAACCAACAACTCTGACGCGCCCTACGGTCCCGCCGCCTGTGCTCGAGGCATCTCGCTCTTTGCGCCGGATGCCGGGGGTGCTGCCGGACAGCCGCAAGGCGACCTGGAGCTCTCCCCCGAGCAGCGACTCGTGCTGTTCATGCGGGCCATGCCTTCGCAGTCGTCATCGGGAGGCCTTTTGTTTAAGTCCCCTCCCACGACCAGCGTCACAACCGCGCACGTTGCACCCTCTGTATCCGCCACAGCAGATCTTCTCGCGCCCCTCCAGCTCAGCGACGCGCTTAACGCCGCCGCGGCCGCGCTCGCCGCCTCCGCGCAACCCGCCTCCGATGTCTCGAAGGGACTCGAGGAGGCCGCGGCAGGAAACGAGGAGGGCGTCGGGTCAACAGCAGCGCTGGATTCCGAGCCGCTTCCCTGCGCCGACACCCCGCATCCCAGCACGGGAATCTACCATCGACCCGCCAAACGGTCGAGGGGGAGTCACAATGCCGCCGATCCGGGGGCGCGGCATGGTAGCCGCTTTCGAGGAAAGGAGCGCGCCGACGCGGGAGAGCGGCTCGTTCCGTCAATCACCAACCCCTCTCCACAGAACGTCGTTCCGGTCCGCCCCCCCATCGTTCTCGACTCCGGGAAGATCCACGCCGGCAACGACGTCGAGAGCGACACAGACAACCGGAGGCGTATGGGATTCTCGCAATACTCGGGGGCTCCTCGACGGTATGTGCTTCGCACCTACGCGCTCCTCCGTCAGACCCTGATGCCCCTTAGTATACGCATCCCGACCGAACGCGGCAGGACCAGAGTGTGGACGTCGCCGGGGCCGTCGCCGCTGGGAGAACCCTCTGGATCGAAAGCCACCCCGGGGGCACTGAACGGCGATGACGGATCGACGGCCACTGAATCTGGCTCGGCGCCGCGTGATGTGGAGATGCGAGAGCTTCCCTCCTCACCGCTAGCGTCTCCTCCCATGTTCTCCGAGCTCGATCGCGCGGAATGGTCGAGCCACGAAGCCGCGCCACACCCTTTCTCCTTCGCCCTCAGCCATCCTCCACTTCCGCAAGAGGCCCGCCTGAAGGAAGAATTAGCTCCCTCTTCCCCAGATGCAGCTCCCGTGTTGTCGAGCGCCGTATATCCTGGGCTCTCGGACTACAAGGCGGAGGTCCATACTCCATCTCCCGACGACGGTATGGGTGGGGCGACAGGATCGGGGCCCGCCCCTCCTTCATGGACAGCCCGTGAGCACCATCTAGATTCCAGTCGCATCACGCATGCTGATCAGCCCGCAGAGGACGGAGACGCTGAACTCGACGCCCCTCAACCGGGACCAAGCCGTGTAGCTACCTGTGCACCCCCGCCCCCTTGGAGAGTCGTCGCCGAAGACGATGGGCGCGCGATGCCTGCGGAGGACCCAGAGGACGACGGCCTGACCGATCGGGACGCGGAGGGAGACACCGACGAGGAGACAGTTGACCGATGGGCAAGTGAGAGCGACACCAACGAGCGCGCGTCAGACATGGATGTCGACGAGAGGCGGGACCCAGACGATAGCCCTCCCCACCTAGCTCCCGAATCCAACACCGCGGAGATCAATGCGACAGCGCGGCGGCTGCGCGCCCTAGCTCGCCGCCTTCACGCGAGCGCGGCCAGAACGTTCGACGCTGCGGGCGTGGTGTACGAGGCGGCGTCCAGCCAGCTGGAACACGTGCGGATTGCAAGGGCCGTCGACGAGATGCGTGAGACCATCGCGTCCCTATTGGACGAAGAAGTTCCTGCCGCAGGAATTAACAAGAACAATCTCCTAGAGCGTCTTGAGGAGTCGGGAGCGTTCTCGGCAGCGAGCACCTCCAGTTCCAGCGACGACCATCCGCGAGGGGAGGGCGAAGTGCGGGGCGACATTACGAGCCCCTTACCAGCAACGCCCCCGCCTTCGCCATCCGATGGGTCGATGCCCGAGCTGCAGTCGCAAGAAGGCGAGCCACTGCTACCGCTGCGAGAGACGCAGGGGTGCGCTGACGAGACCCCCGCTGACCTCGCCCGCCTTCCCCATACTCCCTTTGATCCTGAGCCAGATCCAAACGACCTCGGCAGCGACAGGATTCCGGAAGGGTCGCCCCCTGACTACTCGCGTGTACAGCACGACGGAGGCTTCTCGGAAGCTCTGCATCGTACTCCCCCTCCCTCTAGTGTGCTCCTACCCGAGCCAGAGGCCATCACGGTAGGCTTCCTCCCTCGAAGAGATGAATTTATGCTCAATCACCTTCAGCTGACGCGCATCTTCCACAAAGCGCTCACGCAGGCACTCACGGCTCACAACGTCCTACACGAAGGCGAAGTCGACAGCGAGGAGGTGGAGGTCATACTCCGCGAGATCACCCGACAACTGCAAGAGGAGGCTAGTCCCATCCTACAGCTCGGGCGCCGGCGCCTCACCTACACCCCGCCGGACCTCGATCCAGCGCTGCTAGTCCAGCAATTGCAACGACACCTGGCGTCGGCAGAGGGCCAAGTCGACAGTCTCGAGGACTTCATTGTACGACGCCTCTCTCAAGTCCTGGAAGACCCCGGCTTCGACGTCGCTCTGGAGGCGGCTTCGCTCAAGACTCTCTTTCGATGCGTTGGGCTCGACGCTAGCAGTGCCGCCCTGCTCGAATGGTGGGGAAGCATCTTTCCGCAGAGCGTCTATCGCGCACCCGCCAACCTTCTCAGCGTCACTCGCGGCTCCGTCCTCCACATGCACCCGCCCCGAGACCTCACGCGTCCGAGCGTCCCCTTCGGCCTCATTGCCCCCAACAGCCCGGGACACTTGATGCACCTGCCGGACTGGGGCTTCTTCGTACGGCACGGGTGGCCGCAGATCAACGCTGCGAGAGGTTTTTTTCTCTCAATCATCGAGGTCGCGAAGACTCTAGTCTCCGCGAGGGACTGGAAGGAAGGCGTCCGCCAGCACATGCTTAACCGCACCGTGCTAGAGCCGCCGGCCAGCCCCTTCTTGTTCGTCGAAGAAGCCCAATACCTCGAGGGCGTCGCCAAGATGCTCTATCGCTACGACGAGGACCGGCTTGCAATGTTGCTGCAATGCGCCATTCGGCGGAACCTCCCCCACCTCGACGGGTATCTGCGCGGGCTCATGCGATGCGGGTATCTGGGGGGACCCGTGGAAGAGGTCTGCCGGGCGGCCAGTCAGCGGCAGGAGGAGATGGAGGAAGAGTGGAAGCGCTGGAGGCGCAGTTCGTGGGTACGGCGCTGGGCACCGCTGTGCCCAGAGAGCTCCCGCCTTCAAGAAGAGCTCGCGGACGTGATGATCGCTCTCGAGCGCGATGGGGGCGTTCCTCCTGAGTACGTGACCAGTCTGACCAGTAAAGCTCACGACTCACGCCTTGCAGGGACCCCAACGACCTCGACTTGGCTCCTCTGGAGTAGGGAAAGAACTACGAAAGATAGATCTCAATGTGTAAGTTCCGCGCTTCTGGATTTTCGACAGCTACCCTCTAACGAACCTCGCAGACTTATATTGCCGTACGACTCCCGAACGACTTTTCCTCATTCTCCGACGTTTCTATCCTTTCTTTTTCGCGTTCCCCGCGGCGCGTTTTTCCTCATCACTCGCCTTCACGGACCTTATCATTTCTTTCGCGTTCCCCGCGAGCGCAGGACGTTCGCAAGGGGCGCGCTCGCCTCCGGCACCCTTGGATTCGGTCTCCTCCTCACCCATGCCCCCTCCATTACCGTACCCGCCGTCGCCTTCAAGGGAAGCGGCACTTGTTCGTTTCGACCCATCCCCTTATGACCTCCTTTACCTCTTTATGCTTGGCGCGCTAGTCATGCTAGCGCTTCGGACTTATACGACTCAATATTGGACACGCTTGAAAGACGAAGGAAGACGTAGTGTAGATTGTACTTGCGCACAATGCCATCATTGTTATGCTGCCTCATGCGCCCGAGCACGCTCGACCCTTGACCGAATGGGCAGAACGCACGAAGAAGCAGTCGCCCGCTCACACACAGAGGAACCAGAGACTCACGAGCGACGGGAAAAGTTAGAGGAGCGGAAAGAATCCAAGGCGGTCTATTTCTTCTCCGTACAGCCTCCCGCGCAGCCTCTCACTGCGCGCATGAGGGTCGAAGAGCAGAGCGGAAGGAAGGTTCGCGAGCTAACACCTAACGACATTGCATACCTACTTTTGAACGAGGACGACGACATCATATTCTGCACTGATGAGTTCGCACAACAACCATTAGACTGCGGGAAAGCGGCTGTCCTGACCGCCTATAAGCGCGTAGACAAGAAAATCCGGCCAGTGGGAGGGGCTATTCCGGTCTCGCATCAAGTACAGCGCACTCGTCCTCCGGACGAGGAGCTATTTGCAGACCTAGAGCCCCTTCCGCGTCACCCGCCACCTTTCGAGCCAAAAGGACGGCTGACTCAAGAAAGACTTGAGAGCATGAACATTAACTCAGAAGGGTATTTACAGCCGGAGGAGGAGCGCTTGTTCGAGCAGATCCTGCAAATGAACGAGACCTCGCTAGCATTCGAGGAAAGTCAGCGGGGCACGTTGAAGGAATCGTACTTCACGCCGTACAAGTTTGCCACTATACCGCATAAAGCCTGGGAGTACAAGAATATTCCGATTCCCCCAGGGATTCACGACAAGGTAATAGAGCTACTCAAGGAGAAGATGAAAGCAGGTGTCTACGAACCAAGTCAATCGTCGTATCGATCTCGTTGGTTTTGCGTACTGAAAAAGAACGGTAAGCTGCGCCTTGTTCACGACCTACAGCCGCTTAACGCGGTATCCCTGCGCGACGCCGGGACACTTCCTATTCTTGATGACTTTGTAGAGAAATTTGCGGGGGCTGAGTGCTACTCGGTTTTTGATCTGTTCTGGGGGTTCGATGCCCGGAAAACCGACCCCAGCTGCCGACATCTCACAGCCTTCCAGTCCCCCCTAGGGTTATTGCAGCTTACCTCGATGCCCATGGGCTACACAAATTCGCCTGCCGAGTTCCAGAATAGCATGGTACACATCATAGAACCGGAAATCCCTGACAAAGCGAATATCTTCATCGACGATCTAGCGATCAAAGGCCCAACCTCGACGTACCCCGATAAGGAAGGAAATCCAGAGGTGCTAGCGGATAACCCCGGAATCAGGCGTTATGTGTGGGAACACGCGACGGACGTACACCGGATCATGCACCGAATCAAGAGCGCGGGAGCCACGTTCGCACCCAATAAGGCGCAAATCTGCCGCCCTCGGGTGATGATAGTCGGGCAAATGTGCTGCCGGGAGGGGAGACTACCTGATCAAGGGAAGCTCGACAAGATACGGAGTTGGCCGCCGCTGCGCAACCCCAAGGAGGTACGCCAGTTTCTAGGGTTATGTGGCGCCGTCCGCGTATGGATCCCGAACTACTCGTTGCTTATTCGGCCCCTAACAGAGCTCTACCGACGAGACGAGGAATTCGTATGGAACAAACGACGCCACCAAGCCTTCGAAGAAATCAAGCGGCGGGTGTCTAGCCCTCCCGCGCTGAGGCCTATCGATTACCGGTCGGATCAGCCAGTCATACTTTCAGTGGACTCCAGTAAAGAAGCGGTGGGAATGATCCTATCGCAGATCGATGAGCGTGGCAAGGAACACCCCGCCAGGTATGGGTCAATCCCGATGAGTGAGCGAGAATCCCGATATTCGCAACCGAAACTCGAGCTATTCGGACTCTATCGTGCGCTTCGACACTGGCGGATGTACCTCATAGGGGTGAAGAATTTAACGGTCAAGGTGGATGCCCAGTACATAAAAGGCATGCTCAACGACCCCGACCTACAGCCCAACGCCACTATCAACCGCTGGATTCAGGGGATCCTTCTCTTTGACTTTCGCCTAGTTCACGTCCCCGCCATCCGTTTCCGCGCTCCCGACGCCCTTTCACGCCGACCTCTGGGGGTGGGAGAAGAAGCCGTAAGCGATGATGATACCTGGCTCGATGACATAGCCCTCATTGCGACAACAGCACCCTTCCACCGATCAGTACTCTATAGTGAGGGCAGACATAAGCAACGAGGGACCGAAGCTCCGCTTTGTCTAGTAGGAACCCGTGCAGAGGACACATTACTTCACCAATACAGTGAGTTTCTCGACACGCTCGAGGCCCCACATTTTGAATCGGTCCAGAAGAAACGGCGTTTTCTCAGCAAGGCCATGGAGTTCTTCAAGCAAGGCTCCATCATGTACCGCAAGCGGAAGACCGATCCCCCTCAGCGCGTGGTGCTAGACCTGCCAGAACGAGGCACCACCATATGCCGCGCCCACGACGAACTAGGACACAAGGGGATACAGGCTACCTTTGAGCTGCTGCGGCGGCGAGTCTATTGGCCCCACTTGTACGCAGACGTAAAGCATCACGTACGGTCCTGCCACGAGTGCCAGGTGCGCAGTCTGAAACGTCTAGAACACCCTCTCACTGTTTCCATCCCAGCCACTCTATTCAGCAAAATCTACCTAGACTCAATGCACATGCCCGAGACCAAAAAGGGGCTTCGCTATATCATTGCGGCGCGGGACGACCTGTCAGGTTTCTGTGAGGCAAAGGCCCTACGGAAGCTCACATCCCGTGCAGTGGCTCATTTCCTGTGGACCCAGATTATCTGTAGATATGGTATTCCTCAGACAATCGTCTCAGACAATGGGAAGGAATTTCAAGGAGCGTTTGATAGGCTTACCACCCGCATGAATCTTCCGCTACGCCGCATCTCCCCATACAATCATCATGCCAATGGAGTAGTGGAGCGAGGTCATTTCACCCTGAGGGAAGCTATGGCTAAGTATTGCCGAGGACAGGGGGACAAGTGGCCGCAAAGTCTACCGCTAGCACTTTTTGCCGACCGAATTACCGTGAGCCGGGTTACAGGGTTCTCCCCGTATCAGCTTCTACATGGATGCGACCCTGTCCTTTCCCTGGATTTGGCAGAGGCCACGTTTCTGGTGCAAGACTTCCGCGCAGGCATGACCACCTCTGAATTGCTGGCAGCCAGAATGAGGCAGCTAGAACGCCGCCCAGAAGACCTTGCGCGCGCGGCAGCGGCCTTGCGGAAGGCACGCTTTCGATCAAAAACGCAGTTCGAGCGACGGTTCACCAAGCGATTAAGGAGAGAGGATTACCGTGAAGGGGAACTGGTACTCTTGAAGAATTCGGCAAATGAGCGACGAGTAGGGGCAGACGTAAAGATAGCAGCCCGCTACCTGGGGCCCTTCATGATAGTTAGGAAGAATCGAGGCGGGGCCTACATACTACAAGAACTGGACGGCACGGTAATAGCGGGCGGCGTGGCCCCCAGGCGACTCCTGCCATACGTGAGAAGACAGCACGGAATATTCCGAGCCAACCGTAACGGGTATCTCTCGGGATCTAGCTCCGAGAGCGACGGATCTGCCGAGGGAAAGGAAACGGATGACGAAAGCGACTAGGCCAGCAGACAAGCGCGTATATAAAGGAGGCGGAGGAGGAACGAACATGAAAAGCACCCTGCCGCCCTCGCCAACCGCGTACGGGGAACGCCGATGGAGCACGGCCCGCCTCCCGAGTTTCCTCTTGATCATTGCCGTTCCGCCATAATTCCCGAACCATCATCCCCCTCCACTCTGCTTGGCTGGCTTAGGGACGCCCCTCGTCGCGCTCGGGATCTCGGAAAAGCGGCAATGCGCAGATTTCAAGAGGTGGGATTCGCGCGGCGGACAGGAGGAGCCACGGCGGAACTGAGTACGTCCCCGAACCATAGACGTGAAAAGCCTCTTGACCCCATCCCTCAGAGGCGGCCATTGAAAGGACGCACAACCCCAATACCGGCATTCCGCCCCCGGAAGCGTTTTGCTTCCGACCCTCCATCGCCACCGAGTACCAGGACCTCTTCACTCGCGCTCCCGCCGGTCGCACGGATTTCCCGCCTCCCGATCTCTCACTCCCCGCTCCCGTCCTTGTGCGCGAAGAACCCCGCACTGAGCATCGCCTGCCCATCGACGAGCACATGCGTCTGGCCACCCCGCGTCCTACTCTCCAGCACTCTTCGTTCCACATTCCTCCCCCGCCTGGCGCGCATCACATTCCACCCTCTTGTCCGCCGACCCCGCCGGCGTCGCAGGATCACGGAAGCTCTGGAGAACGCGAGCCCGTCCCAGTATGCCGCCTAGTCCCCGCCAACTTCCTCATGCGGTTCGACGGCTTCCCGGTGCCCGAAATGCTCTTCCTATTGCAGAGTGTCGACGGCGGGCCCCCTCCTCACTTCAAGCCCCAGTACGGCACCCCTATCCCCATCCTCAGTCTCACCGACGACCCCGGCCTGCAAGAGCTCTGGCCTGTCGAGGCGATACGATTCGACCCCGCTACCCAGAGGGCTATCATCCTCGCCGCCTACGACGGCTGCGCCGTCCCGGTCCTAGTACCTTACCTTATGGCGGAAGCGCTCCCGACCCGCATGAAGGTTTGGCAAATGTTTCGGGACGAGCTAGCTGAGCTTGCGATGGCGCCGCGGCGCTACGCGCTGACCAAAGCTCAGCTCAGCCGCATGCACGAGGAGGCGCGCGCCCGGGTCATCTGGGAGGTCACGAAGCTCGTGTCCCACAAGACGGTGCCTCCGTACCAGCACCCGGCGCCAAATGACTTAGGGCTGCATGCCATTCGCCTGCTGGGGATGCATGCGCTACCCGGACCGCAGTAGGTGTCGGTCGAGCCGGAGGACGGCGCGGGAAGCCAGTAGCGCATGCCTTTTTCTGAGGATCCGTACGCGAGCTCTTGAAGATTCCCGGTACCTACTTATCCGCCTTTTGTTGACTCATCTATCCTTCTTGTCTGGACTTTCCCTGCTCCCTTATCACATCGCAGCCATACCCTCGCCTCCCTTACGCCCGTACTAGCACTAACAATCAATATATAATTCTTGGGATCTAAAGGCGTAGCGGGCGAAGATCCGATTTTCCCTTCAGGCGGCTAGCAGCGAGGACGCTGTATTGTCACGTTCCCCGCGTATGTCAGGCAGGAGAATGGTTTGCACGACTGAAAGGGAAAATCTCGCCTTCGCGCCGCTGGAAAGCCCGGCGGTGCCGACCAGTCACGTGACACTCGGCCCGGTGCCCCCGGCCTCGGGATCTTGCGAGGAAGGACGAGTGTGTTCCCTGACGTTCGGAGAGGTTCCCAGGAGACCCCGGTACGTCCCGTAGCCACTAGATATACTGAGAAGGTTCGGTAGATAGGGTATATAAGCGCTTGAAAAAGCCAAACAATAGTAACTTGCACCTTGACCTTAGATTTACTACTTTGTGACTCATACCAAGCTTCTGAAAAGCTTGGACCCCCGTAAGACCTCAAATCAGACCCATTCCTGAGCTCCCAAGCACCGGGAAGTCTCACTTAAGCCGCCGACTCGCCGAACGCCCAAATTCCCTCGGTCACGTGCCCCTCTGCCGCCGCCGCCGCCGCCGCCGTCTCCTGCCTGCCGAACAACACGCGTGCCGTCGCGCCCCGTTCTTCTCTCTTTCCCGTCGCCGCCGCCGTCAAACGATAAGGTCGTCGCCGCGGATCGACCTTACGCCTCGCCTCCGTCCAACCGGCAAACACCGAGACGCACGAGAGTCCCTCGTGCTCAGTTTGCATTTCTTCGCCGTCATCGACCCCGCCGTTCCCCGACCCCCTCCGCTCATCGTCACCGACGACGAGCTCATTTCTCGGCGGAATACCTCCCGCGCGCACCCTATCTTGCCGGAGATTCCAAGCTCTCCCTGCCTTTCGCCCCGACTACTGATTTCCCGTCGTTCTCCTACCGCTACGTGGGTTTCAGAAATTTGAATAATCACCTTAAATTCGAATTTTGCTTTTAATCCTATCTTCCTTTTCCTCCCCCTTTTCCCCACCTCTTGCAAAACCTTACCTTGCAAGGAACCTGCGAGATCGCCCACTCTTAAGGCTTTCTCAGGGCTTTTTCTATCAAACATAGGATAGCTCGACAACGCCTTCAACGGTCAGTCCCCGCACCCGCCTTCCCTCCTGCCCTCTCCCTTACCCTCTCCTCCTGCAGCGGCGGCCGCTCACGCGGGTCTAACCCTGATCCTGGGTCACAGCCTACGTATTGGTGGTAGCCTCGAATACCTCCTCGAGGGTGTTCAGATTGAGATTGTCATGCAATTAGGTGGTTGGACTTCTTCTTGTTTCCTTATTTATTGGCGCCGTCTCGACCTCGTTATCCCACAAGGCATCATTACTGCACGCGCACGCGCGCGAGTCGACGAATTCGCACGTTGTCATCCTGTAAACCCAAACGACTCCATCCTTCCCTCTTACAGACAGCATTAATACCATTCGCCTGCCCTTCCTAGCCTGAGTACATGCACAAGAGCCTTCGCACAGCTCGGTTTTGGGGCCGAAGGCCTCTGCCCACCTCGGCCTCGCGCGGCTTCGCCTTGGAGCTGCGCTCTGGCTTGGGCAGCTTCGGCCTTGGCCAATGGCGGCATTCGGCCATCGGTCTGGCTGGGGCCGCCCCGCAGTGTACTGTCGGTGAGGCCCAGCGCCGCGCGGAATCTGCCGGCCCACGCGTCACGTGCCAGTTGATCTTCCGCTCGGAGCCGGTCGGGCTTCGCCGACCCGCAACCCCCGGTTCGCAGAAACGGGGTTTCCTCGCATATCGCGCCTCCTCAGTCTCAGCCTCTGCGTACGTCCTATCTACGTACAGCAGACCTAGCGACCTCCTTCCTCTCCTCGAGGCAGACCACAGGTCTGCCCGAAGCCCCTTAGCTTGCCCGGTGATACATTGACCAAAGCACTGTTGAACAATTCGGCATGTGCCGAGGTTGTTGTTCGATCCCGACACATCCAGCGTCCATCGCCACTGGCGCGCACCTATCGAGAAACGCACTGACCTTGCCGTCATTGACGTCCCCGTACTTCAGACACTTCATGCGATGAGCTGTAGTAAGAATATATTTCCGAGTCAATAAGTATAGCTCTCCTCGTCCTCCGACAGCCTCGTTCCAAAACAAAATAAAGCCCAATCGTTACTTGTGAACTGATGGCTCGGAAATCGACCATTCTGCCGCATCCATCCCGGTTCCGCTATACGCGCTGAGCCCTGGCTCGAATCTGCCCACTTCGATGATTTGACCTTGCGGCCACGGGTGTCATGAAAGCTTGGGATAATCGACTTGGTCGTATGTCGCTCGCTCGGCTTTCGCTCCACCGTCTTGTGTTGCGGCACGCCCTTCGCCCACTCCAGGATGTGACTGCTGCTCTGCGAGGAGCAGGCGCCGGACGACGACGTGTATCCGGAGACGCGGTCCGACGAATCGGCGCCGGAGCCGATGAGTGGCCAGTAGCCGGTGGCCTCAGAACCACTCAGGCTCTCGTCGTCGTCTTCTTTCTCGGGAGAGTCGACGAACCATTGCGGGGGTTGGACATGACTGCCGGGGAGGCCCATACCCCACCCGTGTTCAAAACTCACGAGGCCAGACTCGTATGGCCCTATGTCGATAGTCGCCCAGTCGTAGCCCACGATATCCAAGACGCGTCTCGCGAAGTAGCAGATAGAAACAGGGTGGCAGTGAGTCTCCACCACCGGCCAGTCCCTATGCCACGACGGCACAGGCTTCCCGGTAACCGGGTGCATCCCGCCGTTCCAATCCTCGTCGGTTTGACTTTGCATAGGGACCTGAGCGAGTAGCTCTCGGGCACGATCCACGAGGGGGACGACGACGTAGCGGAAGGTCTTCCCGAGCTATAGGAAGATAAGAAGGCCGGCCAGACCATGACGAGCGTGTCACTCACTGCAGTCAGAGGGCGCCTTGGGGAGTCGTCTTCCTCGTCACGATCGCGATAGCCCGCTCTTTGGATGAACTCCTTGGCGTCCGCGTAGGTCTTGAGAGAGGGAAGGAGTATAAAGTCTCCGCATTCGTACAACTTCCCGAGATCCATGCGAACTTGAAGCGAAGGGTTAGCGTGCTGCTCTCGCATAGAAAAGGAGGCGCACAATAGATGTCGTTCGCAGGCTGTTCCAGATAATAGTAAAGCCCTCCTCTTTCCAAACCCCATGCCCATTCCATTCGAGCGACCTGAGGAGCCAGTAAGTTGAAGGTGTTCGGATACGAGCATCTTCGCATACCTCGATGTCAGTAGCGTCCGCCAGGTTTGTGTTCATATCGATCAGACGGAAAGCACCCAGGTTCTGGGTGACACCAGTGATAGCGCACTTTTTTCGAAAGTGGGTGTATTCGGAGGTCATGATCATGTGAGAAGTGAGGCTGGCGAGGGGAGGATGAAAGGATACTGAAGGGTCGAAGCGACACCTTTGCGCGCAGGCGCGAGGCACTGGGCTGGTTGACTACCTCGAATGAATACGCAGCTGTCGGTTGACGCTCACTATTCACCGAAGCAGATGCAGCCAAAGTTTGTGACTCTGCTACTGTTTTTGTCGTCCAACGCTGTTCGAGGAGAAAGCGAAGTGGCGAGGTTGTGGCAAAATCAAAGCCGGTCGGGACGCGGATGGCTCCGTGTTGAAGTCTTCGGCTTACGCCGAGGTTCTTGTTCGAACCGCGCCCTGGGACACTCAGCATCCACTGCCACCCGTGCGGGCATATCGACAAGCGCACTAACCTTGGCATTGTCGACGTCCCTACATTTCGCACTCTTCACACAATGATTTGGAGTAGTAAGAGTATATTTCTGAGTCAAAAAGTAAAACTCTCCTCGTCCTCTGACAGCCGTGTACCATAACAAAATAAAGCCCAGTCATTGCTCGTAAACTGACGAGTCGGAAAGCGACCCTTCTGCCGCGTCCAGTCCGGCTCTCTCTCCATTGCCCGGCCCTGGCCAGACTTGGCAAGCCTAAGCTTGCGAGCAGGGGAGGTCCGAAAGCTGGGTATGATCGGATTCGACGTTGATCGCTCGGACCACCGCACTGCCGCATGCTGCGGCAAGTCCTTCCTCCACTCTGAGATGCGGCTGCTGCTCTGCGAGACGCCGGTGCCACCTGACGACGCGTATCCGGGGACGCGACCCAACGGATCGGCGCGAGAGCGGATGAGTGGCCAGTATCCAGTTTGTTGAGACTCGGGAAGACTCTCGTCGTCATCCTCGCGCGTGGGCGAGTCGACGAACCATTGCGGAGCCGGAGGAGCCCTGCTACGCCGGCCAATACCCCACTGTTCTTCAAGGACGGTCAGGCAGGACATCCACGGCCAGATACTGATCTCCCAGCCGCGGGAAGTTGCGACGTCAAGCACCATCCTGGCGTACCAGCAAATCGACACAGGGTGACAGTGAGTTTCCACCACAGAATACTGTCTCCAATACGGGTCCATGACGGTCCCAGAGTATGGGTGGACCCCTCCGTTCCAGTCTTCGTCGGTTTGACGATGTAAGGGCAATCGGCGTGCGAGCTCCTCGGCAGCGTCGGTGATGGATATGAAGACGTAGCGAAAGACACGACCCAGCTGTGTCAAGCGTAAGCAGCGTCATAGGAGATGTCTAGGCACACACTCACCGCGGTCATGGGCCGCAGTGGAAAGCGGTCTGCTTCGTCGCGATCACTGTAGCCAGCCCGTTCTCTGAACTCCATGGCGTCTTGGAAGGTCTTGTGTGTGGGGAGAAGAACAAATTCCGCGTTGGAAAACATTTCCGCGATATCGTCTCGGACTGCGATGAGATGAGCGCCGGTCAATCCATGCAAACAAAGCAGCACGCACGAATTATATCATTGGGAGCACTGGACAGGTAATAGTCGAGACCACCTCTTTCCATGCCCCAAGACCACTCCATCCGAGCCATCTATGAGCAGGGTTGTCAATAACGCGTAGGAGGTGAAGCTTTGTCGCCCACCTCCTCGTCAGTGGCGTTGAGTAATTTATAAGGGCTAATGAGGCGAATGACACTCAGACCGGTTTTGGCTCCGGAGATAGAGCACTTCTTGTCGATGCAGACGTATTCGGAGGACATCGTGACGAGTTGCTGTTGCGTGTACCGTTGAGCGTCGCAAGTCAACATGAGGGTAAGATCACAGGAGAGGCTCCCGCTTTGACTTCATGCTGAAGTCTTCGGCATACGCCGATGTGTTGTTCGAACCGCGGCCGTTCGACATTTGTTGCCACAGCCGAACAAAATCGTACGCAGATCGGAGAGCATTGTGACCTTGAGATTGAACATCGGATCCGTGACTCAGACGCGTTTGTGGTGCAGAAGTATATTTCAATAAGTATAACTGTCCTCGTCCTCCGACAGCCTCGTTCCATAACAAAATAAAGCCCAATCGTTGCTCGTAAACTGACGGGTCGGAAATCGACCATTCTGCCGCATCCAACGCGGTTCCCTCCCCTTCGCCCACCCTTCGTGCGACTTGATCAATCTGACCTTGCGAACAGGGCCGGAGGCCCAAAAGCCAGGTATGGTGGCCTTCGATGCGGAGCAAACAGACGACTTCCTTGTCACTCTGCGCTGCGGCAGGTCCTTCATCCACTCCTGAACCCGGCTGCTGCTCTGCGAAACGCTGGTGCCACCGGACGACGCGTATCCGAGGATGCGGTTCGCCGAGGGGGTGTCGAAGCCGAGGAATGGCCAGTAGCCGGTAGCCTCCGAGCCGCTCAGGCTCTCGTCGTCGTTTTCGGGAGTGTCGATGAACCATTGAGGAACTTTTAGACACGCCCCGAAGCGGCCGATACCCCATTGCTTTTCAAGTTTGTACAGGCACAACGTCCAAGGGCAGAGAGTGAGACCCGGTCGCCGAGACGAGACGTCAAGCACTTGGCGGGCGGCATAGCAGACGGAGACGAGATGGGAATGGGTCTCTACCACTCGGAATTCCTTGACCCACGGCTCCATAGGCTCTCCGGTAACTGGGTTGACTCCACCGTTCCAGTCTTCGTCGGTCTGCTGTTGCATGGGGATTTCTTCGGCAATCTTCTGCGCCGCGTCAGAGAAGGGTATGAAGACGTAGCGGAAGACGCGACCGAGCTGAGCTTGCAGTCAGCGTCAGACTTCGGTGAAGAAGAGAGGGGCACGCACCGCCGTCAAGGGCCGCCGGGGTGAATAGTCATCCTCCTCACGATCGCAAAACCCGATGCGTCGACTGAACTCCATCGCGTCTTTGTATGTCTTGTGGGTAGGTAGGAGAATGAATTCTTCGTTTGCGAACATGTCTGCGATATTGCGCCGAACTGTAAGGAGATGAGTGCGCGTGCCGCCTCGATTACACTGTCACGTACAATAGATATCGTTGGCAGGACTACCGACATAGTAGTCGAAGCCGCCTCTTTCCAGTCCCCAGGCCCATTCCATACGGGCCATCTTCACAATGGTTTGTCAACAGATATGCTAGTTTGAGCTCATCGTCACTCACCTCTTCGTTACTGAGGTCGGCGAGATGGGTGGTAGGTTCCATGAGGTGACAGACGCCCAAGCCTGATGTGTCTCCAGTGATGGGGCACTGCCGATGAAAGTAAATGTATTCTTCAGAGGACATGATGAGCGTGTATTGTTGAGCGTTCCCTTGGCTGCGGTGGGTGATGATGGTGGCAAGATTAGAGGGAAGTCCAAGCGTCAACGACGTGACTGTGACAAACCACGCCGCAGTCACTTGATCTGTTCACACGGATATGTCATTGTCACGCGTTTGTTCTCGACCAAACGCGTGTCAACAGTTCAATTTGGCCCGATTGCACTTTGGCCAGCCTCGTGCATTCTTTCATTCTTCCTTTGTCAAGGTCGGTATCTATGCAAGTTCTCTACATCTGATCAGGTTTCAGTCATGAAAGCTAGGCACATATGGCCACAATGAGCACCTTTATAACGAGGGTGAGCGTTCCTTCAAGCCTCTGCCAATGGCCCTTCACTCCTGCGCTCAGCAGTCATCTTCGTCAAAGCCGCGCAGAGAACCAGATTGCCGGCACCCTCAGAGCGCAGTTGCCATGCGGACTGGCGCTGTAAAAACTCCGTATGCTGAAATCCGTCCAAACAGATCGCCCGAGGCCGGTAGTTCGCATGCTTGAGAATACCAAGAAATCATCGGGTAGCGGCGAGGGCCTGCACCGAGAGACAACAGCATCTTTCGATACTCAAGTAAGGGCGTGAAGCTGAGTTTTGGGACGTCATGTCCACGAAGAGATCCGAGGCGACGAGAATGAGAGCGGGCTAGCTTTGCCATTGTATGCATAGCTCAGAAAGTATAGCCATCGCCGTCCTCCGACAGCCACGTTCCAAAGCAAAACAGCGCCCAGTCGTTGCTCGTGAATTGGCGGGTCGGCAAAGGACCCTTCTGCCGCGACCACTCCGGTTCCTCCCTCGGCACGAATCCTTTGCAAACATTCGTCGACTCGATCTTGCGCGCAGGAGAGGCATAAGAGCTAGGGATAGTCGGCGTCGACGCGAGCCGAGCAGAGTGTCGCAGTAGCACCTTGCGCTGCGGTAGATCCTTAAGCCACTCCAGAACGCGACTACTTTTCTCGGAGTCGGTGATGCTGGGCAAAGATGCGCGACCAGGAATATGCTGCAAGGAGTTGGGCTTAGAGCCCAAGAGCGGCCAGTACCCACTTTGTTGAGACTCGGGGAGACTCTCGTCGTCGTCCTCTCGCATGGGTGAGTCGACGAACCATTGGGGAGCAGGAGGAGATCTGCTCCGCCGGCCGATACCCCACTTCTCTTCGAGATCGCTTAGGCAGGATGTGAAATCCCAAATATCCACAGTCCAGCCGTGCAGCATCGCTAGCCCAAATGCTATCCTCGCGAAGTAGCACATCGAGACAAGATGGCAATGGCTTTCCACCACCGGATACCGTCTGAGATGCGGGTTCATCGGCCTCCCAGTGCGTGGGTGGATTCCTCCGTTCCAGTCTTCGTCAGTTAAACTTTGCATAGGGATTCGGCGCGCAAGTTCTTCGGCAGCGTCCGTAGTTGGGATAAAGACGTAGCGAAAAACGCGACCAAGCTGTGTTAGGCGTTAGCATCAATGGGTAACGTGGGAGAGCGCACTGACCGCGGTCATGGGCCGCAGTGGCGAGCTGTCTTCGCCGCGATCACAGTAGCCTGCCTTTTCTCTGAACACCAAAGCGTCTTTGTAGGTCTTGTGTGTGGGGAGAAGAAGGAAATCTCCGTTGAGGAACATCTCCGCAATATCGTCTCGAACTAGAACGAGATAAGCAGATGTCGCTGGGTTCGTCATAATAAGACTTACGATACATATCATTGGGAGCACTGGCTAGGTAGTAGTCGAGGCCGCCTCTTTCCATACCCCAAGCCCACTCCATCCGAGCCATCTATGTGAAGGATTGTCAATAACGGGAAAAGCCAACGCGTCGACACCTACCTCTTCGTCAGTGGCATCGGCCAAGTCAGTTGAGGGGTCCATGAGGCGAATGACACTCAGGCCGGATTTGGTTCCGGAAATTGAGCATTTCCTTTCGAAGTAAACGAAATCAGGCATTGTGGTGAAGTGTCGTATTTCGGATGAGGGCCTGAGCGAACATACAGTAAGAACAAAACGAGTGACCGTGATTGTCACAATTCAAATAAGAGCTTTCGGTATAAGCCGAAGCACGTGTCCGGAACCTTTTTGGCCAATCCGTCGAACCTAAGTATCTGCGCTGTCTCATGCTCTGTCGTCGAGAAGGGAGACATGCCATTGAGTAGAGGGGGATATAAAAATACAGTGAATGTACAGTACCGATGAGATACAGTCCCAGAAATTTCGAATGTTATAGAGGAGTGGGCGGGCTAGGTGAGCGTATGTACCAGTGTGCATACAATCATGCCTCGTTCATTGCCTTCGTCTCCTCCGAAGCGTTCCTGTTAGCCGCAGTCGGGTCGGCTTCGTGGTTGTCCTGGATGTCCAGGGTTTCACCATCTTCGCTCACCCGAATCTTCACCTCGTCGCCGTCCCTGAGATTAGTAGTCAGCAACAGTGCGGCCTTGAAGAACATCTCCGTTGCTCACCTAATGGTCCCGCGCAGCAGCTTCTGCGCGAGCGGGAAGAGCACCTCCGTGCGCACGACACGCGCAATCGCACGCGCACCGTACACGTCCGAGTACCCCTTGCTTGCTAGCCAGTCCCGGGCGCCCTGGTCGACGTCGATGCGAATGCGCCTATGCGCCAACCGCTCGGACACATCCTTCAAACGCAGATCGACAACCTGCAATACGCTCTCCCTCGACAGCTTGTTGAACACCAGCATCGCGTCAAGACGGTTGAGCAGCTCCGGCGGGAAATACTCGCTTGTGCGCTCGAGCACCTCGTCGCGCGCGGCCGCGGTGACCACACCCTGCTCGTCCGACGCCGTCTTGTGCGCGAGGATGTCGCTGCCGAGGTTCGACGTCAGGCAGATGATGGTGTTCTTGAAGTCGACCTTGCGGCCCTGGCTGTCGGTAATGCTGCCCTCGTCGAGGATCTGAAGGAGGATCATTGCGACGTCCTTGTGCGCCTTCTCAAGCTCGTCGAGTAGGACGACGGCGTAGGGCTTGCGGCGGACGGCTTCGGTGAGCTGGCCGCCCTCCTCGAAGCCGACGTAACCGGGCGCGGCGCCGATGAGGCGAGAGATGGTGTGTCGGTCGTGGTACTCGGACATGTTGATGTTGATCAGGCCGCGGGACTCGTCGTTGAAGAGGAAGCCGGCAAGAGCCTTGCAGAGCTCAGTCTTGCCAACACCGGTAGGGCCGAGGAAGAGGAACGATGCGACGGGCCGGTTCGGTGGTGCGAGACCTGCGCGACTGATGCGCACAGCGTCTGAGATAGCGCGAACGACGTGGTCTTGACCAACGACACGCTGCCGAAGTGCATCCTCCATCTACGAGACTGTGAGCACGACGACGACACTACTACCGTGGACTGAGCGCTTACATGGACAAGCTTATCCCTCTCGCCCTTGAGGAGATTCTGCACTGGGATACCAGTGGCCTTCGCGACGACACGAGCGATATCATTGGAGGTGACGCGGTCGTGCAACATCTCGAAGCCTTCCTCGCTCTCCGTCGCCGAAGACTTCGCAGCCTCCTCTTCCCTCGGAAGCTGCTTCTCCAACTCGGGGATGGTAACGTAGCGCAGGCGAGATGCCTTTGGTCCAGGTAAGTGGCGGCTCTCTCCAATGTACGCGCTAACTCACCTTCTCGAACTCTCCCTGCCGCTGCGCGACCTCGAGCTGGTACTTCGCATCTTCAAGCTGCTCCTTCAAGCCCTTGATGCGCTCCAATCTGGCGCGCTCCCGCTGCCAGATATCCGTCAACCGCTCCGCCTCCGCCTTCTTCTCCTTCAGCTCCGCCTCGACCTTCAGCCTTCTTTCCGCACTGAACACATCCGACTCGTTCTTCAAGCTCTCCAACTCGATCTGCAGCGTGACGATCTGCCGGTCAAGCGCCTCGAGGGCATCGGGCTTGCTCTCCTGCGCAAGGCGCAGCGAGCTTGCGGCCTCGTCAACAAGGTCGATGGCTTTGTCAGGGAGGTAGCGGTCGGAAATGTAGCGGGCGGAGTAGACGGCGGCGGTGACAAGGGCGGCATCCGAGATCTCGACTCCGTGATGGACTTCGTAGCGGGGCTTGAGGCCGCGCAGGATAGAAATGGTAGACTCGACGGAGGGCTCGTCGATGGTAACGGGTTGGAAGCGGCGCTCGAGGGCGGCGTCTTTGCCAATGGTCTTGCGGTACTCGTCGGCTAGAAGGAGGTCAGTACTGTGAATAGGCATGTCCAAATTGGTACGCACGGGTAGTCGCGCCGACGAGCTGCAGTCCGCGCGCAAGTGCAGGCTTGATCATCTGGCCTGCGTCGATGCTGCCTTCCGCCTTGCCCAGTTGAAAGAGTGTGTGCACTTCGTCAATAAAGCAGATGACATTGCGCGCCTAGTTCCTCGTCAGTCAGAGGGTTGGTTCGTATGCATATACGCCACGCACCTCGTCCTCAATGTCCTTGATCAAAGCCTTGAACTTCTCTTCAAACTGGCCGCGGATGCCGGAACCAGCCATGATGGCCGAGAGGTCGATGGACAGGACGCGCTTGCCCTGCAGCGACTCGGGGACCTCCTTTGCGACGATGCGGCTTGCGAGGCCCTCCAGGATGGCTGTCTTGCCCACACCAGGAGGTCCGATGAGCTGAAGGGCGGTTGAGCTTAGGTTCACGAGGATGCGGTATGCTACGCACCACTGGATTAGACTTCGTTCTCCGAGATAGAACTGGGGGATTAATTTGAGTTCATGGTGACCAACTTCTAGAAGACAGAAACGCACTTTGGATGGTTCGCCGAATTTCTGCAAGCAAGTCAGTATATATACGCGCCGAGCAGCGAGCAGAACGCACCTTCGTCACGTCCAATAGTAGGGTCCAGCTTTCCATCCTTCGCCATTTGTGTGAGGTCCACGCTCTGAACTTCCGTTAGCGCCCATTCACGTCAGTGCAATCTATTTCACGCACGTATTCCTTCAGCGCCTCCCCCTTCTGCTGCGGCCCCATCTTGAAGCCCGGGAAGCCTCCCATGCCTCCCTGCCCTCCTCCAGGGGGACCTTGCGCATAATGTCGCACGGAAATGGCCGGGAAGCCATGGAAGTTCGGTGCAGTTCTTGAAAACCGCGGGGCCAAGCGGACGGTGGAGGGAAGGGCGGACGCAACGCGTCCGGGCGTCGTCCTCGCGGTAAGTCTCGGGATATTCCTCGCAACAAGAGCACGCGACATGAGGGTAGGAGAAGAAAAGTGAGAGAACACCGGCGACCAGCGCGTTAAGTATGCGGGGAAGGACCGCGACAGAATAATCCGGAAGGTCCTTGATCCGTCATAGGGTATCGTGGAAAGAACATACCCGTTTTGGAAACGGGCGCCTACGCCTGTGACGATTCGGAACTCTGTGAAGACAGACTGAGGCAGGAGTCAGCTAGTATTACAGAGCACTGGTATGTTGTGCTCGATGGAAATGTACTGGACTCAAATCCGATGCTCCGTTGACTTCAGGACTCAGCCATCAGCCTCGGTGCTGCCTACCTATCTATACTGAAGGAACCTGAAAACAGTACATAAATCTGTAACGATATAGCCAGACTTCGAGATATCACCAGCGAATTATTCGCCTCCGTACTCGAAAATACCGGAGGCCTGACACTGCTTCAGGCTCGAGATGTCGCTCCGTAAAGCCAAGAGAGGCTGTAGCTCTAAGTCGTCATATTCCATAACATTCACTCTTGACCAAAGCATTTCCAGGGCAGGCTCGTTGATTTCAGGAGAGTAGCGTCCTCTGGCATACAAAGCCAGGGCTTTAAGACGGGGAAGGAGTGTGAGAGACGCTGGTGAGCTCTGAGCACGCGTCAGGCGCTTCACGAGCAAGGGAGTTATGAGGTCAGAATATGGATCGTCAGCACAAGTATACCTAGCGCTGATCCAGAGGCATGTGAGCGTCGGCAGAGCCGGTAAAAGCGACACAAGCCTGTCTACATTTCCGGTGATATTGCTCAGCTTGAGATGAGTGAGACTGAAATGGCTGTCGAGGGCTAGGAAGGCCGCAAGATGATACAAATCATCTGCACCTAGTAGAGGCCAGATGCCGTCGCTCAGAACCAGTCGTTTCAGGGCCGGGGCCTGCAAGCGTATGGCGGGCATCGCGCTTCCAGATATCTCCAAGGTATGGAGCTTGGGCAAAGTTGAGAACGGACAGGCCGTGCGTGAGGTGCTGGATGAGGCATTATTCCGAACCTCAACATCCTCTAGATGAGGTGCGAACGCGGCCAATGCCTCGACGATGTGGCAAGTAGAGACATCAGCAAGATGCAGGTGGGATAACCGCCATGCAGTGGGCCATTGCACGGATCGCTGAGGCGGCAAAATGTTTCCTCGTACGGTGAGGCGACGCAGCGGTGCATCGCTGAAGAAACTGATCAGATTGTACCCATCCACCGAGTCCTCGACTGCTCCGAAATTCAGAGACTCCAGGCCAGGGAATGGCACCCTGGTCCAGCAATCAAAGCATTCCATCGAGCACTCCAATTTCACCGCCTTCCATCTAGCCGATTCTTGAAGTAAGCGTTTGCAGACATTGAGGCGTTGCTGATGGTCAATGACTCTACGTTGGTAACAAAGATCCACCCAGTGCGTAGCGTAGACGACCGTAAGAGGTGCACCTGCGGACCGAGCAATGTACGCATTCGCGATGCTCATCAGAGTGTCGCTATCCTGTCGCGATCGTATAGTAGTGCGACGTTCTTCGTCCCAAGGCTGCCGAGACGAGATGGCGATGTGACTCCAGAGCTGAGGCGTAGAAAGTGCTATCGCGCGCCACCTGGAGCACACCAAGGCGAATGGAAGCGCCATTCCTCCACTAGGAGCCCTGAGCCACAGGTCGGGAACGGCGAGAACAAAAATATATGACAGAAGCTCTGACGGCAGCCATTGGACGGGGCTGAGCAATGTCTTGTTCTCCTGCGCGCGGCGGATGAACGGGATACGGGATGAAAGCCGCTTAATGGCATGCTTGGAGGCGTGGGTATGCTGGCGCAGAGTCAACGCCGTCACGCTCGCAAACGTGTCCTGCTGCTCTCGTGTGATGGTGTCGACGAGATCAGTTACCTGCTCAAGCAAACCTTCGATGAATCGATCGAGCTGCGAGCAAGCGGTCTCGATAGAGTCGCTTCCCTGCGCGTCTGCAATCAGACAAGGCCCGGCGTAGCTACAGCAGATACTTACAGCAGTATAAGATCGCTGGGTAGGCATAGTTGCCAAGGAAAGCGAGCTGATAATCGGTTGGGACTGGTGGTCGAGGACGAGTCCAAGACGCGCACCTGATCGACTGAGTGTTAAGCGCTGGGTAAAGGCGAGTCTCACGAGTCAACCCCTTACAAGAGTAGCACTGGGGAAGGTCGAGCGACAGGCACTTTGAGAGAGAATGAGTGATGAGTGCCAAAGCTGGCAACCACGCAGACTTGGAAATCCGAGAGCGGTTCGAGGCAAGCTGTAGTTGATAGACGCCGTCACTGCTGGGCACGGTCACACGCATCGGCAGTTGCCGGTGGATAAGTTCAACATCTCACCGACAATGCAGGTCGTGCTTCGAAGTTCCCTCATGAGCATGTGTGTAGAAGGCAGGCAAGACGAGAACATTTGCATTCGAAGTACACTACAGTACTCGTACTACGCATGTGGACCATACACAGAAAAGAAAAGATAAAATTGTACACACATTCGATGGCTCTCACGTCTCAGCACCACATCGTTTACTTACCCAGCGGGGTCTTGGCCATCGCGCTGACGACCTCGTAGAGAACCTGAATAACATATTCAGCAAGAGTACGACGGGAGAGCATGGGTAGGCTCACGTCAGCCGCTGCCATAGTCGTGAGTTCGGCATTCGTGTCGTACGCAGGCGCGACCTCAACGACATCGGCAGAGACGATCTTCAGACCGTCAAGACCACGGATGATAGTGCGCAGCTCGCGCGTCGACCAGCCGCCAGTCTCAGGCGTGCCGGTACCAGGCGCGAAAGCCGGGTCAATGGAGTCAATGTCGATGGACAGGTAGACGGGGTTGTCGCCGACGGTGTCACGGATTTTCTTCACGATGCCGTCGATGCCTGCAGGAAGTCATCGGATCGGGGGTCAGCAGAAGGCAAAAGACAATACGCGCCGAGGGTATCGATCTCGCGAGCCTCGATGCGGTGGAAGCCGACAGCGTCGTCGACTTCGTAGTCCTCGAGGCCGGAGAGGGTCGTGCGGATGGCGCCGTGCTGCAAATATCATCAACTAGGATCACAGAGGTCGCGCTGGTGGATGGTCGGTATGAAAGGAAGGGGGGACGGGTGTCGTACGCCCAGGCGAAGGGAAGGGGGAGCGGAAAAAGATACTTGCAATTGACGTGCCGTTCTTGATAAGACCCTCCTGCGCGGCGTGCCAGAAATATGTGCCGTGGTTGATAGCAGCTACTTCGGACGGTGCACCGCCGAAGACCTGCGGCTTCCAACTGTTCGGAATCAGAAAGGGATTTCGGGTGAAATTGCCACAAAACGCACGTATCTGCGGAGCGTCAGTGAAAGGGCCAAAGATGAAACACGGAAGAGCGGACTCACCAAGATGTGAGTCGAAGTGAACGACGCTGATAGCGCCGTAGACGGAGTTAATCGAGCGCAGGAGCGGCAGGACGATGGTGTGGTCGCCACCCAACTGGAGGAAGGGTCAGCAAAGATGCGAGGCTAGGATAGCCTATTCACTCACTGTGATGATGCGAGGGTGCGATTTCCCATCGCGGGAAAAGGGCTCGAGCGCCATGCCCGTCACCGAGTCATTGCCCAGAGGAGAGAAGGCCTCGCGCTTGAGGATGGCCTTGTGGCCTTCTTCGATCTGCTTGATCGCGTATGTGTTATCGTACGGCCTGTTGACATCGTCGGTCAGCCATTCAACTGATCGGAGGCCAATGAGGGTGCTCACGTCACTGGGATGTCGCCGCAGTCAACCATGCGCAGGCTCGTGAAGGGGTTGACCTCCATGGGGACGTTGTAGCCTATACGAAGCGAAGGTCAGCCGCCAGCAATGAGGCAGGCTAGAGAAACGGGTACGAACCTCCGTACAAATTGAGGCGACGCGAACCCGCACGAATGCCCGCTATGTTGAGAGTCAGGTAAATTCGACTAACGCGAAGGATCCGAGGCTCGACATACAAGGTCCAAAGCGCGCGCCCGGACGGTATGAGGTGCCGGTGTCCTGGAGCAGGATCTTAGCAAGGCAAACTAAGGCGGCAGATTAAGTTGACGTACAAAGGGCGCACCCAAGAAGGCGATGTCGAACTTCTCGTGAGCATCCTTCCCGAGGCATTGCACCCAAGGTAGGCGGGCGAAGGTAGTGATACCGGAAAAGCTGTCAAACCGATCAGTAGGATGGACAGATGTACTGAAGGGGCGGCGCGCGTACATGGAGTCGGCGGTAACTGTGTAAGGGTCAGAATGAAATCGCAACGAGAATATACAAGGGGAAACGCACCTTCACCATTCGCCGCGCGGTACGCGGGCATCTGGTAAGGGAAGAGGTTGTAGTCGAAGGGGACCTGGTCGTGCGAGGCGCCCTCATGCGCGAACGCGACATGCGACGAGATAGCAGCAGAGACGAGGACGAGGAGGAGCTTCATGATGACTGCGTATGAATGCCGACGTTGTGAACTTCAAAATCGGGGGACTGAGGCTTTTATACCTCCACACCTCCTCTTCGCCGTCGCCGTCGCCCATCGCGGACAGAGGCGATAAGGCAAAAATGACGCCGAAATGCTGTCAGCCGTCCAAGACAGCTCCGCTCAAGCGCAGACGGTATTCAGAATTTTCGGCCGAGATAACGAAGGAAGGGTTTTTCCTTGAGATGGAAGACGGCGTGGCCTGACTCGAGGCGGACTCGAAGCCTGTCCGAGGGTGGCCGGCGAGCAATCGCAGATAAGGGCATCGTCTGGAGCGATAACTCACTCGGAGAGGCCATAAGTAGGGGGGATACGCTTAGTCCTTCGCTCGGCCGCGCTCTATCACTCACCCAACGAGCTCGCCGCACTCGAATCGCACAAAGTTCAAACAAAAAAGCGCAGAATATGTCGGAGTCTCGTCAACCGCTTCTCGCTGAAGCAGCACTCCGGAGGGCGTACGGTACAGCTAACGATGGACCGACGGAGACGGTGTCGACCATCTCGGACGACGTGGACGTTGGGGACGAGTTTGACTCGGCGATTGCCGACGCCCCCTCCCGCGTCACGTTGTTCCTGTCGTTAGTCCGCGATTCGATTCCCGGTGAGTGCTTGCTTCCTACCCTCACCTTCTTAAACGCTTTCTCACAATCTATGCAGTTATCCTCTCCTACGTACTCCAAAACTCCCTTCAGACCATCTCGGTACTCATAGTCGGCCGCCTGGGCCCCGAGGAGCTCTCCGCGGCGGCGTTCAGCCTCATGTTGGCTTTCGTTACCGGCGAGTGTCTTCCCCTCGTCCCGAGGAGCATCTGATCCCACGCAGCGCCTCTTCGACCTTCTAGGCTGGTGCGTTGCTCTGGGCGGCACGACTGCGCTCGATACGCTCGGTTCGCAAGCCTTCACGGGCGGGGCGCGCCGCACGGACCTTTCCGTGCACCTCCAGCGCTGTGTTGTGCTTCTCTGGCTGCTTTTCGTACCCGTAGCGGTACTTTGGTTCTGGATAGAGCCAGTCTTACTTTCTCTCGGTCAACCGGTCGCGATCTGTAGGGATACACAGCGCTTCCTGCGTGTCCTCATCGTTGGCGGGCCGGGGTATATCGCTTTCGAGTCTTTGAAGAAGTACCTGCAGTGCCAAGGTAAGCGTCCCTTAGAAAGCGGCACTGGCTCACATTTTCACTAACGATTCTCTAGGTATTATGTCGTTGTCTACTATTGTGCTCGTTATCATGTGCCCGGTGAACATCGCCCTGAACATTGCCTTCGTCCACTACACCTCACTCGGGCTCCTCGGCTCGGCGGTCGCCCTCTGCGCGACTTACTGGCTCTGCTTCCTCCTCCTATGCATTTTCACGTATTTCTCGCCTACCCACGACAAGAACGGCACCTGGGGCGGACTTCAGCCCTCCCTCTTCTTTGAAGCGCGTAGCTGCGCCATCTTCCTCCGGCTGGCTCTGCCTGGCATCCTCATGGTTGGCACGGAGTGGGCCGCCTTTGAGATTGTCGCGCTCGCTGCCGGTCGACTGGGAGAAATTCCGCTCGCCGCGCAGTCGGTCATCATGACCACTGATCAAGGTATGTGCAGGTTACGTCTACCTGCGAGCGTCTTGCTGAGGGCTTCCCAAGTCTTGAACACCCTTCCCTTCGGAATTGGTGTCGCCGCTTCCGCACGCGTGGGCAATCTCATTGGTGCCCGGTCTGCGTCTGGTGCGAAGCACGCCGCCCATGCATCAGCGCTTCTGAGCGTGATGGTCGGCGTTGTGGTCATGGTCACTATGATAGCAGCGAAGGATGTGAGTACCTTAGCCTTGAGCCAAAAAGACAGACCTAACGCGTCTCAGGTCTTCGGTTACCTCTTCAGCGACGATGAGGCTGTCGTGAAGCTCGTGAGCAAGGTTATGCCGCTCGTTGCCTCCTTTCAGGTCGCCGACGGTCTCGCTGGCTCCTGCGGAGGCGTGCTTCGTGGTCAAGGTCAGTTGGCGCACACAATGAAACTTCATCTTTCTAAACTCCATCCAGGTCGTCAGCACCTGGGCGCCGTCTTCAACCTTGTCGCGTACTACGTCCTCGCTCTCCCTATGGGCGTCAGCCTGGCTTTCAAGACTTCCCTTGGCCTACAGGGTCTCTGGGTTGGTCAGGTCGTCGCTCTCTTCATCGTCGGGATCGGAGAGTATCTCACGGTCTGGCTGTGGACGGACTGGGACAAGGAGGTTCGCAAGGGGATCGAGCGTAACGAGGCAGAGGCGAAGGCGCGCGCTGCGGCGCTGGAAGCAGACGAGATGTAGTGATAGATTAAAAGTAGTTTCTCCAACAATGTAAGGCCTCTGTTTCTCTCTAAGATATACTCTACGTATGGACAGACGTATGCGAAGGTCGACGAAGTTCAACCGTGACGAGTCACAAAATAGGCGCTATCAGGAGATATGTGACGTTGCCGATTGTTGAGCTCGCCGCTGCCTGCCGCCGGACCGTCTTGAGCAGAACGTCGACGATGAACTCCTACATGTCCCGCCGTACCTTCACCTCTCTCCGGGCTGCTGCGCGCCCCGGGATGGCCCCGCAGCGGTCTGCGGCGCCCGTCTTCAGGCGCTTCCTCCAGGTGCCTGCTGAGCAGCCACGCCTGCGCCTTGGGTCCATCGGTACGCGACATGCTATGCTGAAGTGAACGTCGTGTCTGACCCCGACGCAGCCCCCAACTTCCAGGCGAAGACGAACCAGGGGGACATCGACTTCCACCAGTGGCTCGGGAACAGCTGGGCGATCCTCTTCTCGCACCCCGCGGACTTCACGCCCGTGTGCACGACCGAGCTCGGCGCGTTCGCGAAGCTGAAGCCCGAGTTCGACAAGCGTGGGGTCAAGATGCTCGGTCTGGTGCGTCTACCCTGCCCCTCCAGCGTGAATCGTCACTAATTAGACGCGCTCACAGTCCGCGGACGACCTTAGCTCGCACGACGAGTGGATCAAGGACATCAACGAGGTCGCGAACACGAACGTCACCTTCCCCATCATCGCCGACGCGGACCGCAAGGTCGCCTTCCTCTACGACATGGTCACCGAGGACGACCTGCGCGACATCGAGAAGAAGGGCCTCCCGTTCACCATCCGCTCCGTCTTCGTCATCGACCCGGCGAAGAAGATTCGGCTGATGATGATCTACCCTGCGTCGACGGGGCGCAACACCGCGGAGGTCCTGCGCGTCATCGACTCGCTGCAGACGGGCGACAAGAACGGCGTCGTGACGCCCATTGACTGGAACGCGGGCGACGATGTGATTGTTCCTCCGAGCGTCAGCACGGCGGACGCGCAGAAGAAGTTCGGCGAGGTCAAGGAGGTGAAGCCGTACTTGCGCTTCACCAACGTTGGCAAGTAGATGTACACCCTCGAAAGTCGCGAATAGAAATCTAGAAGTTTCATTCTGACCGGCTGTGTCCCGCACACATCTTCATCGCGTCAAGCCTCAACAACGAACGCAAGAGACCCGATAACAATTGCTCGATATGATACATACAGTATATAAGTTAGCGTTGCTCAGTGTGGTCGGAGATGGTAGCGCGATATCTATCTGGCCCCGGACGCGCGACCAACGAGGACACGACCTCGTCGTAGCTATCATCCGGGTCGGAAGTGATGTTCAGAACATTTGAGTTTATACGCATGGGCCGTCGTCGCCTCGTAAAGCGAAGACGGGAAAGCAGCAAGGTACCGATGGTATGCGAGGGGCAGGCTTGAGCGGTCGAGGATATGACGATGATGAGGGGATATATAGCCTGATTGAGAAGTCAGTCGCGCGGGGAATAATATGGAAGGTGAGTGCGTACCGCGATAGAAGGTAAGATGTTGGACATGACCGCGCCAGGGGCATATGGATTAGTCAATCCATATGCAGCTGGTAAGTCGGCAACTCCAACAAGAAAGGTGGTGATCTATTTGTAAGCTGTAGCAAGCTGAAGGTTATAGCCAGGACGCGTTCTTACCCAGAAAGTAGCATACAGAAGTCCCGATTCAACGGACAGCAATAGGATCTTCATCACCCGGACAGGCGCGCTCTTCTGTGGCAAAGAAGACTTGACATTGGTCCGGTAGTCCCTGCAACTCTACGTCAGCTAGTGTCTCTGGCACCCGCGATACCAACGTACCAGACTTTGGCCGCGGTTATGCCAGTAGCGATGATGTTCGTTATGATGATAGGCAGCGTGGAGAGCAGAAAGCGCGGCCAGAGGACTGATCCTGGCGGCGTCACTGTGGTAACGGTCTCTTTCGAGCTGATGCTGATCAGGACAGCTTCAGCAATACTACCCGCTGGAGCGGCGTGAGCTACCGCCTGTCTCATGACATGGAAGAGATGTACTCACCTATGGTCCCCAGCATAGACAGCGAGAGAATTGCCTTTATCATCCTGCTCCCCGGCCACAGGACCCATGCGCGCCACACCACGACGGCGTCAGAAAGCACGTACTACAGGGTGATTCTCTGAGTCAATATGCGCCTGACCGACCGACAGGACCTGCGACGTTGCAACGTACGGTTATTCGGAAGAATACGACATAGGCAATGTTGAGCCTCGCGACTCGCGACATAATGCTCGGCGTCTCCCCCAGGCATGTGAGGACAGCAACCCGAAAGTTAAGAGCAAGCCAGATCGTCGACGAGAGAAATATGGCGGCGGTGGCTATGGGGAGAAAGCATCCTGTCGACGTGCGACGTCTGTCTGTTCATTAATACTGCCTGTAACTCCCAGCGCTGGAGGTACTACTCACGCAAACATGGAAAGAGCGACGATGCATAAAGTGAGCAAAATCCCTGACGAATATCGTCAACGCACGACAACGTCAATAGTTCCCTCCAGATACACACCATAGCCTACGGCATACCCAGCCACTTTCGATGCCAACGCCTTGCAAGTGCCCAGGCGGGCGGACATGGGGGCAGACGCATGCGAGCGGGCTCACACACTGTCTCAGTCAGCACCTATATATGCGCTGCGTCACCGTAGATCAGCCATCGTCGAAGCTGATGCACCGCGCCCAGGTCGCGCACGCAAAGTCCGCACCCATCACCTTCTTCCGCACGGATGGGAGGGCCCGTCTGCCGTCCCGTCATGATTCATCGCGTGATCCTTCCCACCTAGGCTGAAGGGCCTTCATGCAGACTCGGGGTAGCGCCGGCGCCGCGCATAGCCGCGCATCGGGTCTTGCGATGGATGAATGCGGGTAATGCATCTCACCTCGGGAAAGTAGCACGCGGAGGGAGCTTCGTACCTGTGCTTTGAGCCTTACTTGTATCAAGGACCGCCGCTGCGGGCACTGAAGGCAAAGGCACTGAACAATGGGCTTCGACGAACCAAAACCCTACTCATCGGCACGGGTTAGGCATATGTACGACGGGATCATGCAGCATCTCGGTTGTTTCATGGGCGTTGGAGCGCAGTTCTGTTGCCTCGCCCCGAGGACAAGCGAGGCCTCGCCGCCCATACTCGGTGAAGGACAAGCGACGGAAGTAAGCGGCGACTTTCTTTTGTTTGGCTATGTTGATTGTTAAGCGGAAATCATCACGTGGCTAGGACCCACAACTCATCTGCATCCACCATCAGGGACTGGCGCTCATAACGCCCTGTCCCGTAGGCTGCGAAATCACCAGCTTGTGCGCCTCTTCTCCTACTTTGACCCGATCCCCACACATACAAAGCCCTGAGAGTATGAGATCAGCACCCTTCGCCAGTCAAGGTGCACGAACATGGTCCCCAACATATAGCATCGCACCCTGCGAGATACGTCAGCGATAGCAAGCGTTTTTGGACACGAAATACATACACCAAGTATCGTAACGGCAATCAGTGCATGTGCTGAAGTCGCAGTCGGAACAGTCAAAGCAGTCCAAGTCTCCTGGATCGCACATCTTCTCGAATGCGTGTGAGCGGGAAGAAAAAGCAACGGAAAAGAAAAAGGATATGACTAGAGGTAGGCTGAAGGATAGCACGGTAGTCGGCTTTTTGAAGGTCGGCGGACTCACACCTGTATGGCACCAGTGTTGACAGCGCCTGTTCAAACGTGATGGTATCGGTCTACTTGATGCCCGACGTCGTCGAGGAGCGTAGAGCGGATTTCATAGACTAGAGAAAAACTCCGCGGACTAGACAGCATCAAGGAGGAGCATGAAGACTGATGAGGGTTCATCGAAGGCTGCTGAGGCGGCACGTGCCACTGTCGACTGGGCCGCGTGACTGAGGCGCGAGATGTGTGCGCGAGAACCCGCGTTCTCATTGCGTTGTTCAGCTAATAAATACACTGATAGTCCTATCCCAGAGTACGTTAGCGATGGACACAGACCGGGAGGGGACGAGTAACGTACTCATTGGTTCTTTACCGGTACTAACTTCTCCAGCTGCAGCTCCTCGATGACCTCCTCGCAAACCTCCTTCACGCCCCATCCGACCTTCTCAAAGTCCTCCATCTGAAACATACGTTAGCAATCAACACATAGACCGCCAAGAAAAATCTCCACCCACCTCCAACCACACTTGCCCGCTCACCCTCAGCCACAACCGCCCATTATGATAGTACCTCGTCGGCCCCAAATTCCGTTCTTCCAACAGCTTGCGCTGGATCAGGCCCTGCACCTTCATCTGGAACGCGTACTCTTCCTTGCTGATCTCACCGCCAGCGCCAGGACCGATGACCTTCCCGCAGGCCGGCAGCGGCAACGCGACGTTGACCATCGAGAGCTCCATCCCGCTGTCCTCGTCGGGGTACATCATCTCGGTCTGGAGGATCTCCGCGATGCGCTTGCCGCCCTCGAGGGCGAGCTTGTGCGTGTAGGCGTTGATGGCGGCTTCGCCGCCGAGCCAGGCGCGGAATTGAAGGGCTGGCGAGGGGGTTATTAGTACGGGCGAGAGCGAGAGGGGAGAAGCGATGAGGAGAGGATGAAGTGAGTCAGAAGGCGATTAGTGTGCGTGGGTATGCCTTGGCCGCGACTTACCCGCAGGGATGGTGAAGAAGTTCGACCAGTCGATGGTGGCGGTCACTAGGGCAAGAAGGTCAGCCAATGCAAAGGGGTATGCAGAGACAGCGTAGCTCACTGTTGTGTTGTACGACGAAGTTGTCTGAGGGCGACTGCCTATCCTTCGGCGACACATAGTACGGCGAGACCGGGAAAGACGCCTTCACTATGCCTTGGTTCCTGTCGCGGTCACGGGATCAGCATAAGCGACGCGACAGCCGTAGCACAAGCGAGGTAGATCTAGTACTGAACCTCCACAAGCCACAACGCCACACCCACTCACCTCTCCGGCACATAAAACACCGCCGCGCCCCTCTTCGCATACAGCCACTTGTGCGCATTCGACACGAAGAAATCCGGATCCGCCTCCCTGAGTTTATCCTTCAGATCCACCTCCTGCCCGAGCGAGTGCGCGCCGTCGACGACGGCGAGGGCGCCATAGCGCTTCGCGATCTTGACCATGTTGACCCAAGGGTTGAGGATGCCCGGGTTGGAGGAGATGGTGTCGATGATAGCGACGATTTTGCCGGGAGTGGTGGATTTGGCGTTGGGATCAGAGTCGGACGACGCGCGTTTAGAGTTGGCGAGCGCCTGCATGTGGGCCTCCCAGGCGCGGAGGATGTCCTCCTTTGTAGTGGGGTGGAGGAGGGGGAAGTGGGAGATGCTGGGGTGCGGCGCTTTGTCGTGGATGAACTTCACGGCGGCGTCGACGGCGTAGTAGGTGGTGCTAGCTGGTTGATGGCGTCAGTACCGTATAGCAAAGTTGAGGAATGGGATAGGATTGAGATGCGACGGGACTCTTGACTCCATACGCACTGATCACGATGGTATCCTCCGGAGCCCACTCGATGTTCCATAGGACGGTGTTGACGCCATGCGATGCGTTGTGCACAATGACGACCTCGCTCGACTTCACGCCGATGAAGTCCGCGAGCTGCTCGCGGATCTTCGCAAGCATGGGCTTGACGGCGACGCGGTCGAAGTAGTCGGGGTTGCGCTCGATCTTGCGGCCGAGGTCGAAGGCGAACTCCATGACGGAGGAGGGGCACGAGCCGTAGGAGCCTATAGTAGTTGGTTAAGTGTTCTTAGTGATGCTCCATATGAAGGCGAGGGAAAGAGACGCACCATGGTTGAGGTTCACGTAGTCGGGATCGAGAGCGAAGTACTCCTTAAGTGCATGCCCGAACTTGGGAGGCTGCTTCTGGGTGAGAGTATGGATCTCCGCGTCAGGGACGAAGGTCTGAAGTTCGGGGAACATGATGGGTTAGAGAAAGAGCACTGCGCAAGTGCAGCGATTTATACGGTAGCAGTTGCTGAGGAATGACTCGGGCAAAGGCATCAGGAACCCCGATGAAGGAATAAGCAATCTCACGGTGTTCAGTCGCAATGACGGTCGTTAGATGGAAGAACGGAAGGTCTGATAGAGGACGGAAGATCAGTGGGACATGGGGCTGTGTACTGACCGTGATCCCAACCAAGGCCACCTCGCGACGATTCTGACAGATAGACCTCGCGAGCGGTGGACTGTGCGCAAGGAGGCATAGCTACTGCACAGATCATAACATGCGAGGGAAAAAGCGATGTGGATGCGTTACAGGGGACCGCGGAGTACTATTCAAGAATCGAGAGAAGGACTGCGAGCGCAGCGTCTTGCATGACGTCGAGGGCAGGGGAGAAGCATGCCTTCATTCTTATCGGAAGCATCAGTGAGAATGATGAGCAGCGAGGTCTGTATAGATTCGATATGCAGACATGGTGGTAGAAAGCAAGAAGTGCCAAATAGCAGACAACACATCTAAGCGCCCGTTCGGCTGTCGGCATCCCGGGAAAAGCCGCGCGAGTAACGTGACCCAGCGTGACGTCAGTTCAACCTTCCGAATTCCGAATCCGACATTTGATTCCGCCCCCCGCCTCGGCCCCCTCTTGCCCCGCTGACCGGCATGCGGCTTGCCCTGCCCGCCTCGGACGCGGCGTCAAGACAGCGGGCATGAGCTCTTCCCCTCTGGCCTATGGACGGACGTCCCGAGATCCTCCTTGCGCTGGGTCTACTGTGGACCATCCGTGTAGTCCTCCGAATCTTCCAGCCAGCTGGAATTACGAGGCCTCCGAGTCTCGAATATTACTCGACGTTCCGCGCTCATCCTCCGATGAGGACCTCTCCGTCCCTGGCCCCGAAGACAGCGGCGAACAGCCAATCTCAGTCAATGACCAGCTGACGGCCTCGGCCACGCAGGTTCCGATTCCATTGGCCTCGAAAATGCACTGGATGTCTCTTCCCCACATGCGCGTGAAACGCGTCCTCGCCCACGAGCTGCTTGATCGACGCCCTTGACAGGGTCGGTGCGGATGGAGGCCCGCCACGATCAGCCGTGGCGGCGGGTATATAAACCGCTAGGCGCAAGGTGGTACCCTTGCGGTTTCGCCTTTCGTACTTCCCTCACACCGATTTCACCCCACCCTATTCCTTCATCCACATTTACGACTTACGCCCACATCATGTTCAACCTCCGCAACATCCTCCTCGCCACCCTCTTCGCGGCCCCCGCGCTCGCGGCGTCTGTCGCCCCTCGCGCGGCTGCTGACAACATCGTTTACGTTACGGACAAGGACAACTTCTGGTATGTATACCGCCCTTCGCCAGTCCCTCCCCTCACTAACAGCTCACCCTTCCATCCAGCATGATCATGCCCCGTGACAAGCACACCAACATCGGTGACAGCGAGCACCCCGGCGGCATGAAGACCTTCTGCTCCCCGTCCGGCCGCTACGACAAATCCCAGGGCCCGCTGCCCGCCGACTTCTGGACGAACGTCAAGTTCAAGTCCGGCAACGGGCGCAACGGCGGGCGCTATGCTCAGCGTGCGTACTTTTCCTCAGTCAATGTGGCCGAAGGCGTGGTGCTGACGAGGATATGACAGTGACGGGCTGCATCGACCCGACGAAGCTGAAGCGCTTGAACCCTGACGACGCTGGCGGTCAGTACGACTCCAGCGGCGGCGTCAACGGCCAGGGGAACCCTCAAGGTAGCGTCTGCCTTGGGTGAGTCGCGTTGACCTTCGTCGAATTTCTGGCTGAAGCTAACATCTGCGCCAGCTACAACCACTACGTTGAGCTCGTCGAGCCCGCGGGCAACCGCGCCTGCATCAAGTGCTGCGACGACCCGGCAGACTGCCCGGTCGACAAAGGTACATCGCGTCGATCTCTTTGTATGAGCCCACCTTGCTGACCGAATTGCGCAGACACTCAGGGCTGCCCGAACGTCATCCCAGGAAACTACTTCTGGTGCAACTAACGAGTCAATCCTCATCATCTACGACCTGTAATGGACTTACCAACAAGGACTTTGATCGTGTACGGACCTTCATGACATCCTACTGTACACCTACTAGTAGCGCTACTCGAATTCACTGTGAATGTTCTTCGTAACAGCTGGCGTACTTTGCACAAGTCGCCGATGAGCTTAAGCGCCCGTCCGGCTCAACGGCCCGGCAAAGCCGCGGCGCTTATCTCGTTGACCACCTCATGGTCATGACCCGATTCTCCTCCATGAATAGTCCTCTCCCTCTCACCCCTCTCCCCAGCTTCCGCGACCTCCAGTCAGACCCGGGATGAAGATGGAGGTCACAAAGCTCTACACGAACGCCATCTTCGACTCAGTAGCCCGCAAGCTCGTTACCGACCAGGTCATCACGGTGTCGACGAAGTATGGGATCATCCTGGATGTCAAGCCGTACAATATCGTTCTCTTCAGTCACCTTACCAAGGAGGATGAGGCGCAGGGGATCAAGGTGTTAGACTTGAGGGACCTCACAATCCTCCCTGGGTTTGTGGACGTGCATGTTCATAGTGCGTCCCCTCCTTCACTCCTCTCTCTCTCCCTCGCGCTCACATATATACACCAGTGTTCCTCCACGCCTACAATGAGGTATCCTGGACGAACCAAAACACGCAGGAGAACGTGATAGAGCGCACGATCCGCGCCACCGTCGCCGCGAAGAAGACGCTGCTCTCCGGCTTCACCACTGTGCGCGACCTGGGCACTGAAGGCGCGGGCGACGCGGATATCTCGCTGAGGAAGTGTATCTCGGAGGGCATCATCCCAGGCCCAAGGTACTTCACCGCGAATCGCGCGATCGTGAGCACGGGCGCTTATGGTGCGCTATCTTCATTGACGCGAGGGGAGAGGTGGGGGACTGAAGGCACGGCGCAGGCCCGAAGAGCAATGTGCATCTCAATCAGGAGGGCGTGGAGGGTATCACAGGCGCGGAGGCAGCGAGCGGACCGCAGGCGTGCGTAGAGGTTGTACGCAGGCAGATAGGCGCTGGCGCGGACTGGATCAAGGTGCGTCTCTGGACTTCATAACGCGCATTCTGCTCACCTCCCCCAAAGCTCTACGCCGACTACCGACCCCTCGGGCGTCAAGCACCCGCTTTCCCCGGCCGCGCTACCTTGAATCTCCCCCTCTTCTCCCGCGAAGAGATGGCCGTCATCATCGACACAGCTCACGCGTACGGTGTCCGGGTCGCCGCGCACGCGTCGAACTACGCGTCTATCGCGACCCTTCTACCCCTCGGCGTCGACAGCGTCGAGCACGGGTACGGCATCTGTACACCAACCCCTTCCCCATTCCAAACTATACTCAGCGCGCCGGCGGGCTACCCCTCCCCGCTTGCAGCAGACCCGGAAGACCTCACCCTCTTTCGTGTCCTTCGCAACTCTACCACAACCTGGGTCCCGACGCTGTCCGTCATGTATACCCACTCGGAGACGGACAACATTTCCCGGCAGCGGTGGCGAACGCTCGTGCGCGCCTTCCAGGCTGCTTTGCGCGAGGGACTAGACGAACACATCGCATGCGGGGGCGATACGGGCCCATTCCCGCACGGAGACAATGCGCTAGAAATGCAACTCATGCGTCGTCTGGGCGCGTCGTGGGAGAAGGTGTTACAATGGGGGACCCTTGGAGGATACAGGTGTATAGCGGGCGGCAAAGTCGGTGAGTCTGGTCTTGTAGTATGGCTGGCCATGAATGACATTTGCTGACTCGCCTCTCAGATCCGGATGCGAAGTCGGGCGCCCAACTAGTGGACGAGGTCATCGCCGGCATCCGGCAGGGAACGCTGGGTCCGAATGAGATCCCTTTCGGCGTCCTTCGACCTGGATGGGCGGCGGACATCGTTGGCGTACGCGGCGTGCTAAATGGGTCTGTGGAAGAGTTTGAGAAGGCCGTGAGTAAGGAATCGGTATCCTTCGTCATGAAGGCCGGTGTGGTGTACAAGACCGAAGGCAAGGTGGCCGTTGTATGAATATATTTATCGGAGGTCTTCCAAAGCAGACGTGCACCTGAGTCATGAACGAAATATTCGACGACAACCTCAGTACATCCCGCGCCTGCACTCCAACGCCTCCGGCGCACTCCACGGATCCTCGTCCGGCCCCCAGTTTTCCAGACACGACTCACATCGTCTGCCCAGCGACTCCAATTGGTTGCACCTGGGAGGCCTGCTCTGCACGCGGGCCGCGCATGCTGCATGATTCTCGCACGTCCTGAAATGCTCCGCTCTGTCCCGCAGCTCCCACAATGTCAACACCATGACCTCGATAACAGGCGATGCCCGTTTGCCGCGCTGCGTCGCAGGCAGCCGCGCGGACACAGATATCATCGTGCTATCCTCGGCGGATAGGCTGGGGTCGCGGACGTCCTCGCCCGCTACCGGAGTCACCCCAATTTCGAGACGAGGTGCTTTCTCGTCGAAGAGGACGCAGACGGATGCGACGAGATCGTGTGCGCCGGTCGGAAGCTTTTCGCGTCGAACTTCGACGAGGTCATCTATTATCGTTTGGGCATACTCATGGACGTAATCTTTGGCGATCAACATAGCGAAGTGGGCATCTCGAGGCTTGGCGTAGCTTCTGTCTACAACATCGTCAGTTATCTGCTACTGCTGAGGTCGGGCCGCAGAAAGAGGAATTGTCAATCATTCTCGATCGAGACAATATGCTGCTCAGAGCTTCGAAGATGATCAACCTCTGCTTGAAGAGAAGGTGCGTACCGGTGAGCACAGGTTTGTCGATTCGCCTCATCCGACCATTGGGCGATTTGACAGACCAGATGGCAGAACAAAAGCGCTTGTGCATGCGCCAATGCTGCTTTTGGCAGGTCTCGGAGCAGTAATATGCGTCGAAGCACTTGCAGCATTTTACACGCGCGCCTTCCAGTCGGTCCTTCGCCGGGCATCGCTGAAGATAACATCGGATCATGACCTTCGTGCGGACGATGCAGAGACGTACCCAATTGAAGCACTTCGGGCGTAGGAGTTCCTCTACAGTCTCGTATCGAAGACGCATCTGCTGGTGAGCCGCAACCCAGCCTGAGGACACGTATGGCTCCTCGAGAACGCCCGCGGTCCTGAGAGTCTCTCCGCCATGATACGTGTGGTAAGCCACGGCTACAGGAAAATAGATGGTCCAGGAAGCGAGCATGCCGAATAACTTGGTGAGGGTCACTCTCCTTTCGCTGGATACCTTTGCTTCCGGTCGAAACAGAGAGGCGGCGAGGGGGCATATGCCTTCCTTGAGTGACCAGACGATAGAACGACGCTCCCATTCCCAGAAGGACACAAGGAGTGCCAGCGCGCTGCAAGCGACGTCGTTGCCGTCCGTAATGCTGTGAAGTTTCCGAGCGACGGCGACCAAGGCGGATACATCGCCTTCACGAACATGAGTTACATCCATCTCCCCGAATATGCGATCCAACTCGTACAGCTGCATCTGGATTACGTTGAGAGTGTCCCTCATGAAGGACTCCCGCGAGAACTCGGGGGAGCGCAACATGAAGTCCATGAAGTTCGTAATTCCCTTGATGACAAGCCTATGAATGCGATACGGCTTATGCCCGACCGCGGCTAAGGCCTCCCAGACGGCGTTGTGGTCGTAGTCGTCCCCGGCGCCTGTGGCTTCGACGGACTTGGTCATAAACGATATGGCATGGATCATATGGGCCATCCAATGTCCAATGCCCGTAATCCCAGGTCAATAGCAACTTCAGCGGCACCGTGAGCCACAGGCTGGTCCACAGCGTCATAGCCCAGGCGTGCACTTGCGTGCTCATCGTCAGAAGGTCTGACAGGTGCGTCTTCAGGCGAAAGATATGTCGGATGAGGTAGATGCAGATGCGAAAGTAAGCGCGATGGAAGGGGAGGGGACCCTTGGACGGAAGCGCGAATTCCAGCCAGTTGATGATGTCGAACCATTCGTTCCGCAGATCGTCTAGCACCAGGGAAAACGCCTGAGGGTTGTCGAACAGCTCAAGATATGACAGCAATGCCTCGAAGCTTACGAGGGCTGTCATCCCTCTTGCTATGGATGTATCGTCATGACGCCAGCGAGAAGGTGGGAGGGAGAACGGATCAGTGGATAGGGCGCTGAAGTCCCCTCCGCTCAATAGGGTGCCTGCGATTGCTTGGCAGATGATGTCCTGGTTTGGGCCATAGTTTATCGCGTCGGCTTCACGATGGTCGAGGACCTTTCGCAGCACCACTACCACCCTTCTGTCGAGCTTCCACATGGTCGAGCAACACCGCCAATTCGAGTAGAGCAGCGCGAGTGTGAGGTCCAAGTTCAAATCGCTGGGCTGATCAGCGTCCCCGCTTCCACGTGTTCTTTGTGGCGCGGTTTAGAAAGTAACATACTCCCTCACATCGACGTACCGAATTTCGCGGATCCGGCGACGAATATACAGGGTCAGTGGCATAGAGGTTGTGTAGTTCATTATTTATCTCCAACGGGCCTGTGTATGAACAGCGAACGGACTTGCCGACGCCAGCATCAGTACGTTGACCGCCTATACTCCAGTGTGTCCGGCGCCCCCCATGGATCCTCGTCAGGCCCCCAAACTTCGAGACACCGATCACATCGCCTGCCGAGCTTCTCCAGCTCCCTGCACTTCGGTGGCCTGCCCTGCACGCGGGCCACGCACATCGCATGGTCTTTGCACGACTTGAAGTGCTCCGCCCTATCTCGAAGCTCCCACATTGTGATCACCATCACCTCGACGAGAGGCGGAGGCCGCTCCTGACGGCGCGTGGGGGGCAGCTGTGCGGTGACGTATATTTTCGTGTTCTCCTCGTAGCTGCGGCTGGGATCATAGTCCTCCTTTCCGTGCCCGGGGTACAGCTGAATGCCAACCCCCGGGGGAACCTCGTCGAGACGGACGCAGAGCGCGACCACGCAGGTGGCATCGTCCGCAGGGAGCGTCTCGCGTTGGTGGTCGATGATGGTCTCAAGGATTTTCTGGCCGCACTCATGAATAAACTTCTTTGCGAGGACCTTGATAAAGTGCGCCTCCCTGGGCTTCACATATCCCCTGTCTACGATTTGGTCAGCCATGGCTCCGGGCGTCCTATCGCTCACTACTAACCAGTGCGTATCGCGGGCTCTATCCTCGTGAAACGACCGTCGGCGGTCCTTCTGATCAAGGAGCAGAAGCACCTGTGCATGCGCCAGTGCTGCTTCTGGCAAGCCTCCGAGCAGTAGTAAGCCTTGTAGCACCCGCAACACTTGACGCGCGTGCCCTCAAGCTGCCCATTGGCTGGGCATCGCTGACAGAGAATCAGTAGCGAGCTCGGCGCGAAAGGATCAGAACATACCCAGTTATGGCATTTGGGCTCGAAGATCTCCTCCACAAGTGCGCATCGCTTCATCATCTCCTCGTGAGCGCCAACCCATTGAGGAAATATCTTCACGTATTCCTCCTCTAGACAGCCAGCGGTCTCGAAAGACTGACCCGCGCGGTATCTCTGGAAAGCGATCGCGACGGGGAGATATGCGCTCCAAGTGGCAAGTGTGAAGAATAGCCTGATGAGTGTTCCCCGTTTATCGCACGATACCTTCGACTCTCGACGCCAGAGGGACGCAGCCAGAGGGAACACGCCAGCCTTCAGTGACCAGGCGATAGAGCGATGCTCCCAATCCCAGAAGGACGTGAGGAGGTCCAATGCGAAGCAGGCGACATCGTTGCCCCCGGGGAGGCTATGGAGTTTCTGGGCGACATCAACCACTGCGGCAACGTCACGTTCACGAACTCGTGTCACGCCCATACCCACGAAGAAGCGGTTGAGCTCCTCGAGCTGCGTCTGGATCCCGCTGAGAGTCTCCCGCATGAAGAACTCCCGGGTCCTGCGCGACACGTTCAGCGTGAAGTCGATGAACTGCGTGATACCGAGTATGATGAACCGATGCACGCGATCCGACCGGTGATTGACCGCAGCTAATGCCTCCCAGACGCATTCGTGGTCGTAATCGTCTTCTTTGCCCGTCGAGGCGATGGGCTTAGCCATGAACGAGATGGCCTCGTTTGCCCGCGCCATCCAGTAGCCGTAGTCCCATATCATCTCTTCGTCGTCCTTCTTCAGCCACAGGCAGCACCATAGCGTCATCGTCCACACATGCACCTGTGTGCTCCGCTCGAGCAGGTCCGCTAGATGCTTCTTCAAGCGAAATAGGTGACGCAGGAGATTTATGGAGACGCGAAAGTAGGCACGTTCAAGAGGTAGAGGACCTTTAGATGGAAGCGAGAACTCCAGCCAGTTTATGATGTCGAACCACCCTTCACGCAGAGGACCTAGCACCAAGTTCGTCGTCTGAGACGATTTAGAGTTCTCAGCCCATGTCAGGATGGCCTCGAGGCTCACAAGGGCCGACAGCCCCGCGCGTACGGTAGGATGGCTCGAGCGCCAGCAGGCAGCTGGAAGAGAGAAGGGATCGGTGGAGAGAGCGCTGAAGTCACCGCCGCTCGATACGGTGTCCGCCATTGCATCGTACAAGATGTGCCCGTTCGGACCCAGGGTTTCTGAGTTTCTGTGCTGCTCGAGCCCCTTCCGCAGCCCAGCTATCACCTTCTTGTCGAACTTGACCATGGTGTGGGTTATCCTTTGCAGCGAAAAATGTCAGATACAGGTGCAAGTTCAAGTCGAATGATAAGGATCGATAATCCCACAGCGACCATGTGCGATTTTGATAGGAGATAAATCCCACGGCAAGTGGCCATAAATCACTGTATAGCGACAAAGTATCGGGGGTAGCCGCAAACCCAGGCAAGACAGTGTGGCAGCCATCACAAAGTAAACTCCTGCGTGATTCCAATCCCATCAACCACGTCCCGCGAAAGCTGATGGAGACCTTCCCTATGCTCTTCCTCAGCCTCCACCCGCACCCTTTCCCTCAGCCACCTTCCCACATCCTTCGGAAGCTGCACGTCCTCCGCATGCCTTCGACTACCCAGCACCGTTAGAGGCGATGTTTCGATCTTGTCCCCGCGTCGTCGCAGGCTGCCCTCGAGGTGCCGCATCGCGGAGGAAGATAGCTGGACCGTGCGGATTCGCGGAGCGCGTACGGCGACGAGATTGCACAGCCAGGCGACATCGGAGGCTTTCAGTGTGTTGAGGGAGACGGTGTGCAGCTCGGGAAAGAGCAAGTCTTCCGCTGGTGTCGTCGTTCCTGTACAATATATATTAGTTGAAGAAAAAGTAGAAGAGACGTGCACGTACCGTTCAGGACATCTCTTACATCGGCCATGCTCATGTCCTGCAGCGCCGTTATAGACCGCCTTCGGCTCATGGGTGCCATATGTGCGCTCGATAGCGGCACGATGAAATCACCCGGTGAGTGCGTGAGGTGCAGATGCTCGACCGTCTTCAGGCCACGAAGGTACGCCTTGGTCGCCGCGTTGATAGGCCGCATGGAGAAGAACGTCAGGCAGAGCTTGCGCAAGCGCGGCATTGCGCCGGGGGCCGGGAGGACGTCCCACAGGTCGCTGCGGACCTCAGACGCGTACTCAAGGCACTCGAGGTTGGGCAGCTCGGCGAACTTCAGCGCTGAACTGCACGAGACCTGCGCGAAACTGACAGAAAGGAAGCGAAGGGACGCGATCGTGACCGTGGTTATGCCAGAGAGAATTGTCCCCAAGTTGGACATCATGCGCGCGGTGCAGTACCGTAGAACGAGCGTCTCGACATTTGGGAATTTGCGCGCAATTGCGGGCAGCGTCCTGTCGTAGGGACCCATGTGTTGTGTCCAGCCCTCGACATGGGCGACGTTGGGTAGGACGCCACCGACAGGGTTGTAGATAGGCCCGAGAACGATGCGCTGGAGCTTCGGTGCAGAAAAGCAGGGCCACGGCTGGTTTGGGGCGATCAGATTCTGGTCCGTGCCCCGAGGCAAGCGGCCAGGATCCCAGAAGCTTGTCGTGGGTTGAGCGCGTGGGACATAGACCTGCAACCCCGCGAGCGACGGCGCGTCAAGATCCGTCAGTTGGCTTATAACATAGTAAGGCGGCGACATGAGGGTATCTCGGAAGAGGAATATGAGTGAGCGCAGTCGGCATGCATGTTCGCGGAGGAGGTTCAAGGTCCTTGCGACGATCTGCGAAGCACAGGGAACAGTATCGTCGTCAGTGAAGTCGCACTTTACGTCGATGTAGACGTCTATTGGGGCGTTTTTCGAGCGGGTGAGCCATACCGTCACACGCGTGAGGACATGCTGAATGTACGCATCCATGCGGAATTTGATCCAGATTTTTGTCCACAGCAAAGGGTCGTTGAGTGCGATAGAGCGCCAGTGGGCGCATATATGGGAGAGGATGACAGCGGCGGGGATGGCGTGATGACTGTTGGGTGCGGGCGTGTGCGCGTCGACGAGCTCGAAGATGCGCACGACGAGTTCCGCAGGAAGGACTTCCACGATGTTCATGGTGGTCAGGAGCAAGGGTTAACTGAATGGGCGTGATGGCCATGATTGTTGTGACCAGGCGTGACCATTGACAGGCGAAGTCAGCACTCATCGTGCTGGCGCTCAATTGGGGCTAAACAGCGATCGCAGCGCGGTCAGATTTGAGTTGATGCTGCCACTCATAGCACTGAGATGATACGAGGGAAGAGCAAGCTAGCTATCATTCGTAGATAATATCTTACAAAGAAGGGTCGCCATTGTGCGATCTCTGCCTTTAACGACACGCCATATCATGGTCGTAGCGGAATCTATATGTAGTCGAGATTGTTGTCCGTGCTTTGCTTCACGACGCCCCGTCACACCTCACCAGGCGCCAAATCTGCGCCGATCATGACAGACATTCGAGGGGACGCGCGTCTTGAGTCCACGTTTGCGAGGGCTACAGAATAGTTACTTTGCGAGTGCCTTAACACCGCCGGTCACAAAGGCTGGCGGGAACGCGGTCGGCGCTATCGTCGTCCACGTCGATGGCTAATAGGCCGACCCGGGGAAGGAAGCATCGACACTTCCGTCAGATGAGTTCGCTGGCAAACGCTGCAGGCCAGCGAACGCAAGCGCAGTTCCCCCGTAATTCTGGGAGTCCGGGTGGTCCACTTGGACGCGCCTCTGACCGTAGGAGAATATGTCGAGGCCTCGTAGACGATGTTATGCATGCAGATGGAACGTGACTCGCCGTATTGACATTCAAAGAACATGGCAGCAATATGAGTACACTGACTAGCCGTGATACTATCGTGCGATGTAAATCGAAGCGCAGGTCCGTGACGTGTGGTAGCTCGGACGTAGATTGTAGTACGGCGACGAATAGATATTGTAGCTGCTCCCTAAAGACTCCAAAGGAATGAACGTGTGGATTAGAAGACCCCGATGGCCGGCATGTTTGTGCCTCTCTTCGTTGACCAGGTATAGTACCATAGACCCCGTGCGGTGGTGGTGGGTGTGCGGCGCTTAGAGCATGAAGGTGAAGGCGAGCGCGGAGGCGCCGAGGGCGCCGGCGGCCTGCCAGGCGCGCGCCTGGATGGGGAGCGCGTCGTTGCTCTGCGTGGAGGCCGCGGCGTCGGCCGTGCCGGTCGCTGCGCCAGACGTCGCCGCATTCAGCGCGGTGTTGGTGGCCGCCTGCTCCTCGGCAGGGGACACGCCGCCAGATGACGCAGCAGCGCCGCCCGTGCTGGACGCAGCGCCCGAGGCGGCCGCGGACGACGCCGCGCCAGACTCGGTCGCAGACGCGGCACCCGATGCGGCGCCAGAGGCCGGGGTGGTGGCGTTGCCCGCGTTGCCGTCGCAGGACGGGAGGGCGACGGCGGAGGCCTCGTCGACGAGCTTGCCGGTGCCCCAGGGGATCGCGGAGCCATCGTCTTGCGTGGCGTGCTCCGGGTCGGTCGTCTCGCCGGAGGGCGAGGTGATCGTGAAGCGCGTGGTCCACGTCTTGTTCTCCGAGTCGCAGGAGGAGAACTGGTAGAAGTAGATGGCGGAGTAGGGCTCGAGCTCCGGGCAGGTCCAGCTGTGCGTGCCCTTCTGGGTGCCGTCAAGATCCGTGGCGACGGCTGGGAAATACCATGAGCGCGTGTGCGGGGGATTGTTTATTAGCACTCACTGGTGATGTGGTTCATCGCCTGGTTGCCGCCGCTCATGAGCTCAACGGTGAAGGACTTCCACGCGCCCGCAGAATCGGTGTCCGGGTCCCAGTTGAACGTGCACTCCTTCCCCGCAGTGAACGAGCTACCAGGACCCGGGTCGGTGGGCGTGACGTCCGCACGGACGACAGAGGCTGCAGAAACGGCCAGCACAGCGGCGAGGTAGGATTGGAACATGGCGACCGCGGTGTAGGGCTAATCCTCGTCAGAAACGGCTCGAAAAAGCGGGGGAATCGCGCGTACGTGATGGTATATAGGCTGGCTCGGGTAGAGAGACAGATGAGGGGCCTAGAGGGAGCGGAAGGGGTTTTAAGCGAGTGGAGCTTGGGGGCAGGAAGCAAGAAGAAACCGCTGTCCAAACGGCGTGTCGTCGCCGAGACGGCGACACCGCGCCAGGTTCCATCACGCACGTGGAGAACCGCCGTAGCGCCGGGCGCGCATTCGTGCCCCTCTTGAAGTTGAACTTCATCCTTGTAGCAGATGACTTTCTCAGATGCCTCGCCTATGGGAGACCGCTTAGTTTTTCTGAAGAATATACACTTCGTACGGGATCTCTCTTGCCCTTGCAAGCCTCCCGAACTCCCTAGGGTTGCTTGCCGATACTCCAGATCACGCCTTGCGATTGTTTCACGGGCGCTTATAAGCGAGGGATGGCAGTGCTTATGGCTTCGAAGCTTCCCGTGTTCGCACAGAGCATGCAGTTCCCGATACACGGGCGAAGACTTCGCGATTCCCGCTCGACGGGATGACAAGATATTCCTGACCCGCTGTCTGCCTAGTAGGATGTTTCTGAGTCCTGGATGGACAGAACTGACCGCGCTTGACGCCATGATGCGCATGGAGTTGTCGCTTCAAAGAGTTGATTTCGAGGGAACAAACATGAGCAAGGCGAACAAACAAAGCCATTACCTTTTGTGGCGTAAAGTCGCTGGAGATGTTGCAACGCTGTCAATTCCTAGCAGTGCAACCACTCAGACAAGTGCAATCAAAGTCACTACAATCTGTATTTTAGAGCGCAGCGAAGGCTGCAAAGTCATCTAGACCGTCAGAGAGCCGCCAATTTTGCCACCGCCCGCTCACGCTGGTCCTCCTGGTGCCATGATCTCGCAGACTTCCCCATTCAATTAGTACCTGTTCAGACACAGCTCGTCCTATGTTTGGCACTGTCCAGCGCTCGTTGTGTGCGAAGGTTCCTTCTATTGAATCGATCCGTAGGTATAAGGGTGTATTGATACAGTGAGTTCCGTTGAAGACCGTAGTAGAGATCCAGAGCTGCGGCATTGGCCGAGGATTAGCGATGCATCTTGGCCTAGCAGCGCGGTACAAAAAGCATGTAGAATAAAAAGAGCGCAACGGCCGGACTGCACTGCCCCATAGCACATGCAGTCGCGCGCCTAACCCATCCAAGCAACGACGTCGAAAGCAAGCGCCAGAACGAGTCCGTCAAGGGGCGTGATAACCGGGAGACCGGACATAAGTAACTGAGGCATAAGGTAGTCCGTGGTGGTGCCCGGTATCATCTACAGGAAGAGGGTAACGAGCATCGCGGCGGCGACGCCGGCGAAGGAGGTGAGGGGAAGGGCGAGCGCGCGCGCGCCGTTCGAGCCTGAGCCAGACGTGCCCGACGCGTTGTTTTGCGCGGGCGAGCCGGTAGCGGAAGTCGAGTTGGCGCTCGCGTCACCGTGGTCCTTCTTAATGATCTGCGCAGCGAGCTCGGCGACGGTGTACGTCGGGGAGCCGATGTGGGACGACAGCTCGATAGGGATGACGGATGCGTCGACGACGCGGACGTTCGCGAGGCCGTAGACCTTGAGCGAGCCGTCGACGACACCGCCCTGCTCGAGCGGGAGCATGCTGCAGGAGCCGACCGGGTGGAACTCGGTGCCGGAGGACTGCTTGAGGAAGTTCTCCCAGTCCGCGTCCGTCTGGACTGACTCGCCGGGGTACTGCTCCTCCTTGATGTACTGCTTGAGCGGCTCGGTGTTGCCAATCTGGCGCGCCAGCTTGATACCCTCGCGCATGATGAACATGTCCGCCCAGTGGGCGAAGTAGCCCGGGTCGATGACCGGCTGCGTGAAGGGGTCCGCGCTCTCGAGGTAGAGGTGGCCCTGGCTGAGCGGGTGCTGGAGCGCGGCCTGGATGATGATAGAGCCCGGGGTCGTGATGGAGAAGAGGATCTCCAGCTGGCTGACCCAGCCCGCCATGAAGTCGAGCGTCACGTCGTGGACGGCCTTGTAGCCAGACTTGATGCCGTCGTCGGAGGTCGGGAGCGTCTGCATGTACGTGTCAACGTAGCCAGCCGCAGTGTCGGTCATGTTCTTGGCGGCGTCCGCGCCGGCAGCAAGAGTCAAGTTGACATAGGCGGTGGCGGAGTTGATGTACGACAGGAACTCGGCGGTCTTCGCGAAGTCGCTCGCGGCAGCGTTGACGGTACCGGCAGTCTCGATGTCAGTCGACCACTGGACCATGGAAGACTGTACTTGATCAGCACCATTGCTACACATGCGATGACACCCAGCTTACAACGTGGTCCTGGAGATGCTGGCCGACACCCGGGAGCTCGTGCTGGACCTGGATACCGACGCTCTCGATGACATCCTTCGGGCCAACACCGCTGAGAAGCAGGATGTGCGGGCTTCCGACGACACCGCCGGAGAGAATGACCTCCTTGTTAGCGTTGACCGTCTTCGCCTCAGCGCCAGCAGCGCTCTGGAAGGTGACACCAGACGCGGTCAAGCCATCGGCGGTCGTGCCGTTGAAGTTGATCTTCGTGACGTGCGCCTGGGGGAGAAGGTCGAGGTTCGCGCGGGGGCCGAAGGAGTCAATGTAACCGGAGCGAGAGTAGGAGCGAGTCCAACCGTCGGGGTTAATCGAAGACGTGGCGACGCCCGCACCGAGGTTGTCGCCGCCCATAGCGTCCTGGGTAGCGGGGATACCCGCACCCTGGCACGCCTCAGTCCAGTTACCGTTGAGACCGAAGGACACGGCGGGGAAGGTCGTGTGGATGGGGCCATCCGAGCCGTGCATGCTCTCGTCGTACGTGATGTGCGCGACGGCCTCGGCATCAGCAGTAGGAGGGTGGAAGTGCTCGCTCTTCTTCGACGCCGCGTAGTAGCTGTCCCACGTCCAATAGCTGGCGGCCGGGTCGTTTCCAAGGAGGGAGCCCCAGGCATCGATTTCCTCCTTGTTCGGGCGCGTCTGTATGATACGTTAGCATCGGCCTGAACAGGGCGGGGAAAAGAGAACTCACGAAGTACATGCCGTTGGTAGCACTGCTTCCGCCGAAGACCTGATGAGCGTTAGTACCGATGTATGTCCTGGACAACAGGCAGCCTCACCTTTCCACGCGGCCAGCTGCGAGCCTTGCCATCGAGGCTGCCCTGCGGAGCGGTCGTGTAACCCCAGTCGTACTCGGTACCGCCAAGGGAGCTCCAGTAGGTGTCTCCGGGGGTGTCTGAAGAGCGGAAGTTAGACTTGGCGAGAAGACTAGCAAAATGGCGTACTGATGGTGTTGATGACATCGTCACCGGAGAAGCCGGCTTCAAGAACCAGAACCGAGACGTTCTCATCCTCAGCAAGGCGGCTGGCGACAGCGAGACCTGACCAGGACTATCAGCAAATATTCAAAGTGTTCAGGCAAGAAAGCACTCACCGCCAACGCCACCTCCCGCAACGACGAAGTCGTAAGAGTCCTTCAACTGAGATGGGTCGATGACATTCGTGCCAGCGCGTTTCGCGACCTCGCGAGCCTGACGGCGGTGGTTGAAGGGAGAGGAAGTTGCAGAGACAGAGGCCACGGCCGAGGCCGCGACGAAGAGGTCGAGCGACCGCATAGCAAGTGAGTGAATGGGTGGGTTAACGAGCGGAAAGCCGGGAGATGGCGGGGAGGAAAGGGTGAGTTACGGCAGAAGCGGGCACGTATTTGAAGGGGATGTTGAGCGGGCAGATGCTACGCTGGTCAGAACTCGCTGATGGAGCGCTCGCGACCTTGGCGTGGACTGCCTCGACCTCCGTCGAGACCAGCCGCACGCTCGGCTCGGCCCATGTGTCATCTTGGGCTGATTTATCCCGAAAATGCTCCAAAAAACGTGGATTAGAAGTCTTCCTACCCTGACAAGATGCTTTCCTTGCTGACTTCTCCTGGAAGGGCTCGCATAAAAGAACGGGCTTCAGGGCTTGCCCGACCGTCTTCGTGGTGGCTGAACGGGAGACGTTCATGTTATTTTTGGTGACGCGCGCCTAATTCCCACACGTGACTGATGTTGCAACCCGGGCGTGACCGCGCTAAATGATTTCTGTGACTTGGCTGCAACCACCATCTCCTCCTCGAAGACGGCCCTGGAGACGCACAAGCGCCCGAGGACGCGGAGCACAGGACCCAGGAACAATCGCCATGACTTGGCTTCGTGCGCTCTCCAAGTGGGGGTCAGTGCGTTCGGTCTGAAGACGTGTACACGTCAGACTCAAGTTCAACTGCAGATTTATCCTCGTCTTGGCTTTGTCGCTGATTCCTCTCGTGAAAATACCCTCTTCATCGTCGGACTTGGTAGGAGTGCGAGCTGCGGATGCTTGCTCCGAACCTCCGCGCGACAACTGCTCCTTCTACCTCGACTGCCTTGAGTCGCGCTATCACTGCGGCTCAGAGGGATATCCCGTGGGCTACGGCTACAAATACTGCACTCAGTTCAGCTTGGAACGTCAAAAGCTCGGCGAGAAAGGGCAGACGTGGATGGTCGACACCATGCAATGTCTTCAGCGTACGCTGGTCCCTGAAGCGACTGGCGTCTCGAACACGACCTGCGCTCAGCTGGAGGATAAGGCCTTCGACTCACACTCGGTCTGCTACACGCAAGCCGGCCTCTGCACGCTCCCTCCTTCGGACTGGCTTGCCATCGTCAGCATAGTGCACCTGCCGACGCTCTTCCAAAGCTGGGACGCTTTCAAGGAGACACTGCAAGCCAGCGCTGACTGCCTCGAATTCTACGCCTTCCTCATCACTCACGGACTGTGAGTATGCTCTGTACACCATGGACAATGGATAACTATCTCTCTGCCCGCTTGTACTTTTGTGGCGTTATCAATGCGTTCGCCGGTCTCGAGAGATAGCCTTGCGAGGAGTTTATCGCCTGCGTGATATGTGATAAGGATAGACGCGGTTAATCCATTGAAATTATATACTCACAACGTCACTCACCACCTCAACACTCAGAGAAGCGCCTTATCGTATACGGCCGACCCGTCCGAGGGCATGCTTCCCACCATTCCGCGCGGCGAGAAGGATGGCTGGGCTTGTCAACGAGATAACCTTTATAGGGGAGGGCGATAAAGCGCTGAACTGCGCAGAGCATCCCTCTTCCCCTTTCTCTCCTCCTCTCTCCCCTGTCGCAACGTCCCCAGTTGACTTACAGGCGTTCACGATGTCGTTTAAAGAGAAGGAAGAGTCTGCGTCGGCTGCCGTGTCTGAGTCGAATGTTCGCCCCGAGAAACACGCCGCCGACAATGCCCTCCTCGCCGAGCTCGGGTACAAGAGCGAGTTCAAGCGCGAGTTCTCGGTGAGCAGTCGCCTGTCGCTCGACGTCACAATCATGCTGACCTCCCCTCGTAGCTCATCGAAACCGTCGCCTTCGCGTTCTCCATCATGGGCGTCGTCGCCTCCGTCTCTTCTACACTGTCCTTCGGCCTCGTCAGCGGTGCGCGTATCTCTCGCTCAGACGGGCTCAGACGGTCATGAATCTTATTTTGGTGTCCCTCAGGCGGCCACGTCGGTTGGGTCTTCGGCTGGCTCATCCCTTGCCTCTTCGTCGTCCCTATCGCCCTCTGCCTCGCTGAATTGACCTCCTCCATGCCGTAAGCTCCACCAATTCTTTCAACTCCTATTCATCCACCCGCTCACGTTCACCCCCAGCACCTCTGCCGGCCTCTACTACTTCTCCGCCAAGCTCGCGCCCGCCAAACACGCAGCCTTGGCGTCCTGGATCACAGGCGAGTGTGGTCCTCCCTCCTCCACCCACGACAAATGATCCCATAAAAGCTTTTTGAAGGATGGGCGAACATCACCGGCCAGGTCGCGCTTATCTGCTCCATCGACTTTACGTGCGCGCAGATGATCACGACGGCGATCTCGGTGAGCTCGGATGGGGAGACGAACCTGTCGAACGCAGCGACGTATGGAATTTTGTGGGTGATCTTGTTGTCGCATGTGAGAGCGTGATTACTCCTTTGGCGGTATGGGAGCTGACGCTAGCTTGTTGTAGGGCCTTGTATGCTCCTCGGCGACGTCCATCCTCGCGCGCCTCAACTTGGCATACGTGCTGATCAACAGTGAGTTGCAGCCGTATGACGAGGGGCTCAGCCACTGACGACGATCGTAGTTGGCACTACTGTGGCCGCCATCGTGGCGCTGCTGGTTGCCTCTGGTGATAACAAGGTCTCTACTCGCGATGCGTTCACGCTTTTTGAGAATAACAGTACGTCTCGGCCCCGTGTCTTTGTCGTCTTGGTGCTGATCACGAATTTCTAGCCGGCTGGGCCAACAGTGCGTCTGGCCTTGACGCGACGACTGGCTACTCAGAAGCTGATATTCTCTACAGACGGCTGGGCTTTCCTGCTCTCCTTCACCGCGCCGATGTGGACTCTGACCGGATGTAAGTACTGATGCCCTCATATTTGACCGTCGCTCACCTATTTTCAAGACGACTCCGCCGCACACATATCCGAGGAAATCGCTGGCGCTGCCTGGGCTGCGCCCATCGCTATTCTTGTCGGCGTCGGTGGGACGGCTGCCCTTGGGTGGTTGCTCCTCATCGCTACGTCCTTCGCTGTCGTGTCCATCCCTGCGCTGCTCGAGAGTGAGCTGCCGTTGCCCATGGGTCAGGTCTTCCTGGACGTCTTGGGGAAGAAGGGAATGCTGGCTATTTGGTCGTTCATCATCGTTGTTCAGTACGTGACTGGCGCGGCGCAAGTTGTCGACGCATCGCGGACGGTGTTCGCGTTCTCGAGGGACTACGCCCTTCCCGGCTCGCGCTGGTGGCGTCAAGTCAACAAGACGACGAGCACGCCCGTTAACGCCGTGTGGCTCTCCGTCATCCTCTCTGGCCTCATCGGTCTCGTGGGCTTCTCCGCCGCCGCCCTCTCGTCCATGGCTGGGTACGCTCTCCTCCCACCCTTCACACACCGCTTTGACTCACGCTTGCTTCAGCGCCGCCGTTATTGGCCTCTACACCAGTTATGCCACGCCTATCTTCATGCGCATCACCTCTGGGCGCAGCAAGTTCTCGCCAGGGCCCTTCAGCCTGGGACGATGGGCTGTGCCTGTGGGGACCGTGGCGGTTGCGTGGGTTGCCTTCATCGTCGTGCTGCTGCTGTTCCCAAGCGGCTCGACAGTGACAAGCGAGGATATGAGTGCGTATCTTCGGCTTCTTGGTAGTACTACCGCCTTACTAACTTGCTCTGCAGACTACGCGGTAGTCCTCATCATGGCGGTCTTCATCTTTGCTTCGTTGTCCTGGGTACTTTCGGCGCGGAAGTGGTTCCGGGGACCCGTGCGAACGGTTGAGGTTGAGGAGAAGTAGATGGTGACTCGTGCGCCCTGCGATCTGGCTGTATTTCCTCTCTCATCTTTTGTAGACCGACTTTGTAATTGAGTATCTGTTGTGTAATGAAGACTGACTGCGTTCGAATGTAGCTCTTTTATTTGTGCTCAGCTCGCAGAGAAGGGGGTGCATCGGTTAGGCCTCATATCGAGTGTCTGGTACTCTGGTCTTCGGTGCTTCCTTGCAGATATACACGAAGCAGAGAGACAATTACACAGTCACCTCATTTTAGTCTTTATGGCTCGCATACCGTCCGCCGCAAAAGACTTACACCAATGCCTGGAAATTGACAGCCATACAGTGATTTCACCAGGGTCTTGACGAGGGCGTGACAGTCTCACTTGAATGTCATGGCACTGGAACGCCAAAGTACATCCTTGATTCTTGAAGTCAGCATTGTTTAGTCTCCCCTCAAACTTTGAATGGGAATCCCCAAGTTGAACATGCACGTGTGCCACATGATCGTGCGACACGTCTTCTATCCGGATTCAAATGTCACTGTCACGCCTTGCCTCCGTCGTTCGACGTCCAAACGCCTGTTATTCGCGCCTAAACATTCAATTCGGAGACGCTGAAAAAATCAACCAATCGAGACGCAGATACTTCATGTTGGATTTCGCGAATTTCTTAGGGTGTTTCCCGCCGTTGGTATCGAATTTTCAGCTGATTTTATCGCAGTCTGGCGACTTCAAAGCCCAGCGCGTACCTTGCTTACCAGTGCGTTCCAGTCTCTGACTGTCTAATTCTAGCTGCATATTGATGAGTTTTTGATTTGTGTAGACAGCAAAGTCGATATAAGTTCGCTGCTCGCAGGCGGTACTGCGTCCTCCTCGTTATTCCGACCAGGCCGCTCGCAAAACAACGACTCGATAATACAGTATATGTGTCGCATTCATACAGCTCCTCCGCAAACCTCGACTGGTGCACGACAGTACAGGGTACCCGCTCCGCGATGTTTTTACATGAATGATTTACAAAGGAATATCGCTACATTTGTCCAATCAGCGTAAAGAAAGGAGCCACCCATCGTCCTCTCGCTTGTTTTGCTCGTTGATACCTCCCCAAAGCAGAGCTGCAGATCCCCCGCGTATTCCGCCCGCGCTCGCAAACCAACCTCGCTCACCCCAATCCTCCTCGGTATCCGGCTTCACCTCGCGCCAGCTGCCGGCACCATTCAACGCGTATGCCCACACGTCTCCCCAGAACTTCCCAGAGTCACTCCGGCCTTTCGCACAAGGACAGCGCTCCCCGCCGAATACGATCAGGAATTCCTTCCCGTCTGCCGTGATCATCGGCTGCATTCCCGCCATGCTGCGCGCGCCAGGGCCCTGCCCGTCGGGGATGGGAACACTGCCCCATTGGTGAGGCGCCCGCATGTCGAGGAACTCGAGCTGACCGCCGAGTTCAACAGCGCCGTCAAAGCCGCCAAACCTCCACAGCGTCCCCCGCGCGAACGCGAGCATCGCGCCGCTCCGGGGCGGGGGTGGGGCGTCGGCCAGCTTCGTCCATATACGCGATGCAAGATCAAAGGCCCAGGTGTCATTGAGGCGGCCTTTCACAGTGCAGCCGGCGTGTACGAAGATCGTACCTGCGCCCCCACCTGATGCGTCCTTAAAGGAGGCATCGGTGCCCACGGATGCGTGGTACGAACGCCCACATGGAAATGGTGAGGTGGGGGCGGGGTCGAGGTGCGTCCATTTACGGCTCTCTGTTTTGAAAACCCAGATACGACCGCGCTCCTCGAGAGGACCCGCGGCAGGCCCGCGTCCACCATAGACGTAGATGCAGCTACCTACAGTCGCCGCAGTGTGCCCGACGCGCTGTGGCGGGACGGGACCGCCGCCTTCGGCCTCCGCGACGATGTGGTCATAGTCCGAATGGAAGGCGGCAGAGAGCCGCTCCGAAGCGCTGGGCAGCGCGTACGCGTGCATAGAATTGTCCACAGCGCTACGGGCCTGCTGCTCGCCGCCGAACACGTAGGCATAATCGCCCACAATAGCCAAGGAGTGCGAAGAAAGAGCGCGCGGAATAGACGTGTGTACCTTCGTCAAGGTGCCTTTCAGAGGCGTCGTCTCTGCTGACATCGTGGCGGAGCGGCGAAGGGTACGACGAGAAGGAGAGGATCAGTGAGCCGATGTCGAGCGATGGCACCCAGAGTGGTAGGTGTGGCTGCCTTGATGGCGGTTTTAAGTAACTTGCAAAAATTACTGCTGTGGTCCGATTACATCACGCTTCGGCGTGAATGTCTCACAGCGGAGTACCGGCTGTGGCGGACAATAGAGGGTGACGCGCCTATCCGACAGAGCGAGGCAAAGGCCCAATTCGTGAAGGGATGAAAGCAGGGACGCGCCTTAAGCTAAAGGCCTGGCAAAGGGACCTTTCATGATTCAGAGAAAGGCTGAATAAGGTTAGGCAGTGTTGTTGATGTGTTTGCTGATGTTGAATGAAGTCCACATTTGTAAGGGTGTCCCAAAATTCGGGGCGAGGGAAGCCGGTGTACTTCGATGCGACTGTGCATGCTTGTGGTCGCTGAGCGCCTTCTGCGTCGGGAACGACCCACGGATATACAGCCGGTGCCTCAAAGTCAGCCACAACTAGGTGGCGGCAAGGACCAAAGCCTACCCATAAATCGGGAAGGCGGTGGACGAGGTAGGGATTCGAGTGGATAATTGAGAAGACACTGCTCCGCGTCGGTCCGTTGTATTGGCTTGTCCGACCCCGGTGGTCCCGAGAAGACGGATCATACATCACACATGTATTCCAGAAAGAAGCCCGCCGCTTACCCTGCGCCTCCCTGCGCTTACAAGACACCGTCCTGCAGCACGCTCGCCGCTACGCGCATACCAGTACAATTCCATTCCCTTCTATACGTACACGTTTGCTTCTGCCGAGGCGCGCGATGCCCTCATCTACTCGAGCGCCGCCTTTCAGCGGTGAGGTCGCAGCCAAGACCGCGCAGCCGTTCCCTCATGCCTCCACGAACGCCCTGAAGAGGACGAGGGAGTCGGACGCCTTGACCGACAGCTCCAGGCCGCTCCCAACGAAGAAGACGTCCCCTACGCTGACTGGAAGCTCGCCACTGCCCCAAGACACCGTAGCCGCACCCTCCGTTACGATCGCGATGCTGGGACCTTCCACGACGCGGTGCGTGTCCGATTGCCCCGCCTCCAGCGCCGTCATGACCACGGAAAATTCAGGGATCGGGGGGTCGTACAAGCGCGATGGCGGGGAGAAGGCGCTGGGCTGCACCGCGTGCTTCGTCCCAGGGCCCGGCACATACGTCAGGCCGTCGACGAGATTGGGGATATCGCGAAGCTTGGGCGTCAGCCCAGCACGGATGACGTTGTCCGAGTTCGCCATGCACTCCATGATGTCTGCCCGGAAGCTCGTCAGACGTCCGTCGCGTCGATAGAGGCAGGGATCGTTGACGTACCACCGTAAACGTAGGCATGCGGCTCGCCCGCGCCAAGGAAGATTGCCTCACCCTTCTCCAGGGTGAGGTAGTTGAGCAGGAAGGCACACCAGATACCGATGTCGCCCGGGAATTCCGCATCGAGCTTGAGCACGAGCTCAGCGACGTCCTTGAGCTCGCCATCCTTCAGGTTGCCAGACTTGTAGCGCGACACGAGCGCGGAGAGTTGCGGGCCGTGCGTCGATTCAGGAAGAGTCATCACGGTCGAAAATAGCTCTTTGAGGATCCCCTTTGTGTTGTCGCTATTGTCGCGGTCCGACGACGCGGCAGAGGCGGTGGTTAAGACTTCGAAGTTGTTAACTAGAGATTTCGGCACGAGGGCAGCGAGCTCAGGTGTGGTCTTGAGATGGTGCGTAATCTTGTCTAAAGGGAGAAATCCGCACATCGCCTTGAAAGGCGTCAGCGCAAGGGCCATTTCTGGCTTGTGATTGGGATCTTCAGAAAGTACGTCAGTCATATGGTTGCCTCTCTGGAATTGTGCAGTGCACCTTTGTAGATATCAGGTTGCTCCTTATGCAATATACCAGCCTTCTGCTTGTCGGGGTGCGTCTGAATGCTGAGCGCCTTCTGGATTGAGAGGACCTTGAAAAGGAAGGGGAGGTTCCCCTCCTTCGTGTCATCATCCTTGAACTTCTCGGTGACCTTCTCGCCCATAAGCTCAGGGTGCGTCGCGAGGTATTTGGCTAGTGTTGTGCTTGCATCTGAAGCAAGTACCGAAGGCGACTTTGGGTGCGTTCCCATCCACAGCTACGTCTTCCATCGTCAAGGTGATTTCATGAATATATCTCACCACATACCTCCGCGTATGGCGTCTTGTCGTTCAGCGTGAACCCTGGCACCTTGGCCGCTGCGGCAAGCTGCGCGACCTTCGACGCCTCGCCGACCTTCCCCCAGTCATAGTCCTGTATGGTTGGTATGATCTTGAATATTGGCGCGCCAGACATGATGGTTAAAGACAAGCAGCAACGAAAGTCGTCCGATGGCGCGTCGACTCTGCGAGCAAGTCGGGAGTATCGATCGCGCCTGACACGGGCCGACGATCCGGAATTAAATGACCGGCGATTGCCGAGCAGCGAATGTTGAGCTTTCGCTGCGCCCAGTCACGTCGAAGGTGTTAGAAATCCGACCGTGCCCAGGATAGCAGCGACGTAGCGCCGGCAGTGAATTTTAGGTAGGTTGGTACAGTGCGCTACACTAGATTCGCATTTTTCGACATTTCTTCCGCGGTAAAAGAAGCAAATTCGTCAGATTCAACCCTCCTTCGCCACCTCCTTCACCGCCTCGGCGATGATCTGGCAGCCCTTCGCCATGTCCGCCTCGCTGACGTTGAGGGGCGGGATGATGCGGAGCACTTCGTAGATGCTTGTGGTGAGGATGAGCATTCCCTTCTCGATGCACTTCTTGCCGACGCGGGCGGCGAAGTTCGACGGGCAGCCCTCGACGCCGTTGGTCGCGAGGTCGATCTCAATATCCTTTGGTGGCCGCGCAAACTCAATGGCGGCCATCAAGCCCTGTCCTCGCACATCGAGGAGGTACTTGCCGACCTCGGGGTCGGACTTGAGGGAGTTTAGCGTCGCGAAGAGCTGCTTTGAGCTGGCACGGGCGTTAGACTAGGGTAGCGCGTGCAACTGGCAAGGACTCACCGAGCCTCGACGTTCTCAAGCACCTTCTCCTCCTTGAAAGCGTCGCACACTGCGATGGACGCTGCACACGAGACCGCGTTACCAGCGTACGTGCCGCCCTACAATATGGTCAGTTGGTAGGCGAGATGTATACCACATGTAACACACCATGCATCCCGGCTTGAGCTTGTCGGTCAACTCCTTCCGGCTGACGATTCCACTCAAAGGGAAGCCGTTCGCCAGACCCTGTAACTCATCAACATACGTGATGGGAGGTAAAGGGATCGTGACAGACCTTCGCAAAAGTCATGATATCCGGACGGACGCCGCTGTGCTCGATGCACCACCACTTGCCCGTGCGAGCGAAGCCGCTTTGCACCTCATCGACGATGAGCAGGATTCCATGCTTGTCGCACAGCTCGCGCAGAGCCTTCAGATACGAAGTCGGCGCAGGGACGTAGCCACCCTCGCCTGAGAATCGAAGTCAGCACCACCAAAGCTCTGACAAGGAGGTGACGCAACATACCCAGCAAGGGCTCGATGATGATCGCCGCGACGCTGTCTGGCCGGATCGCCTGCTTGAAGAGCAAGTGCAGCTGGTGCAGAGCCGCGCGCGTGTGCTCTTCGGGCGACGAGCTCGGCGGCAGGCCGAGTTGGTGGAAATAGGGGTACGGCGTCGTGTAGACCATGGGCTGCGGAACGTCGGCCTTCCGGTGTGCAGACGATCAGGGGAAGGCGTACCATCAGCGGGCCAGTCCCCTCCGAGTAGATGGTCTTGCTCTTCGTGACCGCCATAGCACCGTAGGTGCGGCCGTGGTACGCGCCTATAGTGCATCAGCGTTTCGCTCCCTTTCGAACATGGTACCCTCTCGTACCTTGCATGCAGATGAACCCCTTCCTTCCTGTCATCAACCGCGCCATCTTGAGCGCGCCCTCGATCGCCTCCGACCCCGAGTTCCAGAAAAAGAACGAGTCGAGGGACGGGTCGGGCATCGTCGGCAGCAGCCGCTCGATGAGCTCGAGGTACGGGCGGTGGAACGAGATGCTGTTCTGCGCGTGCACGATCTTCATACACTGCTCCGCGGCGGCCTGGCTGACCTTCGGGTGGCAGTGACCTGAGTGGGGAAAGCATGGTGAGAGGGGTGGGGATGGGGGAGGTAAGGAGGGCAAGGCGCACCGAGGTTCGTCACCCCGATCCCGCAGGTGAAGTCGAGCATCCGGCGCCCGTCTTCGTAGGTCACGTACGAGCCCTCGCCCTTCTCCATGATCCCAGGGACGAGGCGCCCCACGCCCTTGTTGACATGCTTCGTGCCGAAGTCGTGCAGCGCGCCGTACGTCGACGCGGAGCGCGTGCTGGGACGATCGGGGTCAGGCTGCTTGCTCTACGTGGGTGAAGGGTACGAGCACACCTCTGACGCGCGACACCGCTCAAGACACTCTTCGTCGTCGCACGCAGCATGGTGGAGGAAGAGGAGAAGAAGGAGAGACACGATGCAGTCTAGTCATCTGGGCGCGTATAAAGCGATCCGCGGACTACATTCTGGCCGGAGGCGAATGATCACGCGCCTATCGCCCGCTGATAAGATACCACGGCGGCGCCCGCAACTTCAAGAATCTCCTTTTGGGGAGAACAAAGGCAATGCAGAATCGGTAGGGGCAAGTTGAATTGTGAGATTCTGACGCTCGTACACGGATGAAGGCGAGACAGAAGATTGCAGAGCGCCATACTGAGTTTGGCGCATGAGAGGGTCAGGCAATCTACGCGGAGCCCCGCATTCGCAGGGCAGCAGCGGCATGGGGCACCTGGCGCGGCAAAGTTGACCCTCGTCGGGTCCGAATCCAGAGCTTTCGGCACCAACGTCTCTTTGTATTCTGCTACCTGTGACGCTGGATGATATGGTACACGACTTGTTCCTTCCCTCTACGTCCCACTGGATCCGATTTCAGCTGTTCATGCGTAGCAGCCCTGGCGAAAGCATCAGTACGAGCTCTTCAAGGGGAGAAGAAGTTCACGTACTCACTTGGCCAGCGGGACGTACTTGTCCAGCCCCAACTCCTCGATAATCTCCTTGCAGGCCTCCTTGATGTGATGCGCCGTCTTCTCGAAGTCCTCCATCTAAAGGACCCTTCAGCCATCTCCTCTACTCATGCGACCAACCCGACTCACCTCAAGCCAGACCTGCCCGCTCAACCTCGTCCACAACCGCCCATTGTGCTCAAACTTCGGGGCCCCCACCTTGCGCTCCTCCAGCACTTTCCGCTGGAATAAATCCTGCGCTTTGTGGCTCAGCTCCTCCTGTCCCTTGCCAAACGGCGGCAGCGGAAGCGCGACGTTAACCATCGAAAGCTCGAAGCCGGTGTCCTCGGGGTACATCATGTCCGTGCCCATGATCTCGGCCATGCGCTTTGTGCCCTCGAAGGCGAGCTTGTGGTTGTAGGCGATGATCGCGTCCTCGCCACCGAGCCAGTTGCGGAACTTGAGGGCGGCGGGAATGCTGAGGTAATTTGCCCAATCGGTGGTACCGTTCCCTGGAACAATATTTGAGCAGAAGACGGAGAGGAGAAGGAGGCTACTCACAGTCGTATTGTACGACGAAGCTCTCGTTCGGAGTCTTCCTGTCCTTGGGTGACTTGTATGTCGCAGACACCGGGAAGGTGGCCTTCACGATGCCTTGGTTGCTGAGCTCGCGGCATTAGCATAACAGGGGTGCGTCTCCCACAAGACGCGCTCACCGTTCCGGTACGTAGAACAATGCGGCGCCCCTCTTCGCAAACAACCATTTGTGTGCGTTCGACACGAAGAAATCCGGGTCCGACTCCGCTATTTTTCCCTTGAGGTTCGGCTCCTGCCCAATGGAATGCGCGGCGTCGATGACGGTGAGCGCGCCGTACTTCTTCGCGATGGTGACCATCTTCTCCCAGGGTAGAAGGATACCGGGGTTCGACGAGATGGAGTCAATGACGGCGACGATCTTGCCGGAGGTCTTGCTGGCGGCGAGATCCTTCACGTGGGTTTCCCAGTCGCTGAGGATCTTCTCCCGCGTGGTGGGGTGGTAGAGGACGAATTGGGAGATGGAGGGGTGGGGGGCCCGATCGTGAAGGTAGGTCACCGTCTTCTCGATTGAGTTGTACGTCGTGGTACCTGAAATGCCGTGTTGAAGTTGTGGACTAGCTGCGCGAGGGGGGAACACTCACAGACGAGGATCGTATCATCTGCTTCCCATTCAATGTTCCAAAGCACGGTGTTGAGACCGTGAGATGCGTTGGGGACAATTACGACCTCGTTCTGCTTCACACCGATGAAGTCCGCGAGCTGCTGTCGGACTTTCGCGAGGAGGGGCGCACAGTCGACGCGCATGAACAGGTCGGGGTTCCCCTCAATCTCCCTGTCGAGATCGAATGCCCACTCAAGCACAGGCTTCGGGCAAGACCCATACGACCCTACCAGTCGAGTCATTCATCACATTCTGCAGCGATGGGGAGCAGAGTACGCACCATGATTGAGGTTCAGATAGTCAGGCCTCGTCAAGAAGTACTTCGCTAGCGCATGGCCAAACGGTGGCGCAGGCTGCTGCTCAAGCTCGTGCAGCGCCGCGTTGGGAATGAGAGCCTGAATTTCTGGATCCATATGAGAGTGAGAAGGAAGAGGTGCAGACATACCGCCGCCCGCATGGAACTTGTCATCATGGTTGCCTATCGCCGCGGCGTGAGATCGCAAACTGACTCGTTCAGAGGGGCAATCCAAGCTCCTGAGGTGCTCTCTCACAAGGAACATGACTCCGATTGTCGGTAGCTATACCGAGGCGACATGAGGTGCGATGGTAAAAGGCGCATGATACGCAAGAACAAAGCCTTCCTGTTTGGGGTGAGGATTCAGACAATCGGAGATGGGTTCGCACGCTTGGTCCCTGTAAAATGTCAACATCGACGACGACGGCGCCGACCGCGTCTACATCAGCGGTCACGACTAGCGAGGCGGAGGCGCTCAAAGCATCTGTCTTCCAGCGCTTGCACCCAAGAATCTACTATGAGCGTTTCCTTGAGGAGCGCGTACGCCCTGACGGGCGCGAATTCGATGCCTGGCGCGATGTCGCGGTCAATGTCGGTGCGTCGAGCGATATAGAGCATGGGAAGGCGTATCTTGACGCGCTTCAGGCTCCATATCTACCGCGGATGGGTCCTCCCTCGTCAGATTGGGCGACACGACCATAGTATGCGGAGTGAAGGCAGAGATCGCTCAGCCTGACTTGGATAGTCCCGAAGACGGTTTTATAGGTGCGTGCATCCCGAACCAACGACTACGCGTACTCACGCGCGCTCTTAAGTCCCGAATGTCGACCTTCCTGCCATCTGTTCGCCGAAATTCAAGCCAGGACCGCCTACAGAAGAAGCGCAGGTCCTGTCCGATCGGTTGAATGAAGTGCTCACGGCGTGAGTTTAATGATCGACCGGCGGCGAACCCTTACTCATGTACACACACAGACACGACGTGCTACCGACTTCCTCCCTCATCATACACCCCGGAAAGGCAGCATGGGTCCTTTACATTGACGCCACCTGCATCAACTACGACGGAAACGCGTTTGACGCGACGTTAATAGCCATGATTGCTGCACTCAAAAGCAGTACGTGCTGCTCATAGTTTGGAGGCTTTCCCACTCATGTGTCCATCGTAGCACGCCTTCCACGAGCGAAGTACGACGAAGACACCGGCAAAGTTACATGCTCCCGACACGATCGGGACCCGCTCACTCTCACCAACCTCCCCATCGCAATGTCTTTCGGTGTCTTCAATGGGTGCGCCACCCATTCACTTCGCAAAGCGGCGTGCTCACGAATTTTCAGCGACACCATCATGTCCGACCTGACCTCTTTCGAGGAGCCCTTGATGGACACTAATGTGACCGTCATTCTCGGCCAAGACGGGGGCGTGCTCTCCGTCACACAGGCCGGTATGGGTGGCGGCGAGTCACTCGTTGATTCATGTATAGCGAGCGCCTCGAAACGGCGATCCTTTCTTGCAGAATATATTTATGAGTGAAGGCTCGTGCGCGCTCCCCTTGCCTGATCTCGGGGTTCTCCCAGTGGCAATACGAACAAACCTCAACTGCGCTGCAACTCTGTTATCGACTCAGTGGCATCACATGAGGCGCTGGGCCGCCGGATTCGTCCAGTTACACCTGGATGCTTTTGGGTTTGCCCGTACGTGTTCAATCGTGCGGGGGGTGGATGAGGGAGAAGATGCGGGAGAGGGACTGTATTTAGTTTTGTTGGCTTCGGAGCTTGGTGGGCTTGGGACGAGTGAGGCCCAGTGGTGATAACTGCAGTTCCGTCTCGTCATTCTGCCTTCTCCTGCGACTACGCTTGCTCTACATTATACCTTCCTTATATTGACTGCTTGCGCAATCCCTTCAAGATGCCACTTCGCCAGTTTTCCCCATACAATCGCCATTTACAGTAATTTATGGACGTGAGATTCATCTCCTATCTGTACACGTGATTTATCGATTCTTATCAATAGCGACTTCGACCCGAACCTGCATCTCTACCTGCCTCTGCGATATCGACGTCTCTGAAGCGCCACCCGCACCATGGTAAAGCTCGACAAGAAAGCAATGGCTGTGCTGCGGAAGGTGCTCGAGCAGCACAAGGACTCGGATGCGGAGACTTTGGGCCCGGAGGGGCACGTCTTATACAATGCAATGGCGGACACTGTATCGAATGGCGGAGATCTCGGCGCTCTCGCAATTGATCCCTTCTTCCTTCCGTCCTCCTCCTGGTATAAGACTCATCCTACCGTGCGCGCGGGGCTCAGTGCTCTCGTGAGCCTCGAGGCAATCCTGACATGGGCCGAAACGTCCAAGTCGTCCCAAGCCACGAACTTGGTGATAGGTTCCCTGCGCGACGGGTGGTTCGACATCATAAACTGGCTAGAATTCGCGCTCCCGGCGAGAGGCCCTCTTCCTCTCAATCGCGCCTACTTTCGCGTCTGCATAAACCTCCTGCGCCATTTCTTCCGCTTGAAGAAGCACCTGGCGGACCTGCTCGAGCGGAGCAGGCAGGTGCATGCGTGGGCTATGACGCTATGGTGTTGCCTGTGGCTGAAGGTCGACGACGAGGAGATGATCTGGGACTACGGTCACTGGATGACGCAGGTGAACGACGCCATCTCGCTGATGGCCAAACCCGTCGCCCAAAAGGGCAACAAAGACGACTACGACCACGATGCCATCTGGGAGGCCCTCGCCGCGGTCGGACACAGGTCTAACCGCGTGCATCGGTTCATCATACTCGGTATCAGGCAGCTCATCGACTTTACCGTGAATAGAGTGTCGAGCGAGGCGCGGGACTTCTTCATGCGGCAGACGCTCAGCGTGATCCAGAAGCAGCTATGTGAGCTGGAGCGCTTCTTCGTAGCGATGGAGGTCACCAAGGTGCGCGAGCGCGACGTAGAGGCACTCGTCGACGTCGTCCGGAAGTTGCATGACATGCCGGGCGGTAACGACGTCGCTTGCTACGCTCTGGACCTGCTTGTGTCCTTCTGGGACTGGGAGCGCCGATCTATCGCCTGGTCCCTCAAGGCTGGCGTGTTTCCTCTGGTCGCGTCTCTGTGGCGACCCGAGGCGAACATATCGTGCGGTGTGAGGGGCAAGCTCATCAAGCTCCTTTTCCTGCTCGGTTCTTGGACTGCATATTTCCCTGTCGCGGTGGCATTCCAGAGGTACCGTGCGGGAGAGTCCTTGGAGACCGCGGGCGTTCTGCAGGACCCATACGTGACGATAATGCCCCAGTGGTACCAGGCTCACGCGGAGTTGATGAAGCGATGCGAGTTAGTCGAGGAGATGTTCAGACCAAAGTGCTTCAACTGGGTATGTGTGCCATTTTCATCGAGATAGCCGCAGATGGTTGAGTATCTTCAAAGCGCTGTCCGGCGAAGGGGCAGCTCGAGGGCGTGCGGGTCAAGTCATGCAAATGCTACGACGCATTCTACTGCTCGGAAGCGTGCCAGAAGCAGCATTGGCCTATGCATAGGTGCTTCTGCCCCCTCATCGACAGATCAGACCGAGAAAACTTCCGAAGGATAGAGCCTGTCATACGGACCGGTAAGCAACCACCGGAAAACTCAACGCAGCTGGTGACTAACGTACCAGGCAGACAGAGGCTTTCTGAACTCCAAGGACGCCCACTTCATCAGGCTCCTTACAAAGAACTTCATCAAGGAGAACGGCCAAAGGCTCCTCGATACCATTCATAAACTCCGCCTCGAGAATCTCTCCGCCGATGGGCCCGCCTACGTCGTCGCACTCTGCGTCCGCTTCGACGGGCAAGTGACCACCTTCCAGATACAACTCTACCCGGGAGTGGAAATGGACAGCGTTGACCCAGAGCGGAGCGAAGAGGAGAACGTACGCATCCATGTGACAGCGCAGGTGGCCCAACCGCGGCGCCGCAAGCGGCCTCTGCCTCTCGTCGAGGTGATGGTGCTGACGATGTGGGAGCTGCGGGATCGAGCAGAGCACTTCAAGACATGTAAAGACCACGCAGCGTGCGTGGCGCGCGTGCAGGGTAGGCCTCCGAGGTGCGAGAAGCTGGAAACGCTGGGCGGGCGGTGTGATCAGTGCCCTGAGGTATACGGGCCTGACGAGGATCCATGGGGAGCTCCGGGGCCGCTGGAGTGTATGCGCGCGACGTACTGAGATCGGGTTTTGGAAGATGTTTGTGAATCCTGTAAAGATTGATCTCACCCTCAGGCGCCTCTCCATCGCGCGTGGATTGTATGCAGATGTGTGCAGCGTCATATAGAGCATCAATCGGGGCTTCAGTACATCACTTATACAGCTCCTTCATAGTGGTAGGAAACTCTAGATCATCCACAAGTCGTTCCTCCTCCGCTGACTTATCGTCGGGGTCAATTTCAATGAAGCCTCAACAAAAGCTAGGAAAACTTACAGTCTATGTTGAGTATGCCCTGGCAAATTCGATGAACGTTGGATAGATGTACATAACATCATCCCACCCCCGCTCACCATAGGAGGACCTGATAAGCATACTTGAAGGGAAATGCATCGCCAGAAAGGCAGCGGCATTGGCCCTCTCCCTGGGCTCGATGGGCGAGTCGAGAAAGTCGATGTCGCGGAGACCGAGATGTACGATATCTGGCTTTTTGGTGGGAAGGACGACGGCGCCGGACTGCAATTTGACGGCGAGTTGTTCGAGATGTGTGCAGTGGTGGGCGAAAGGGAGTAGTCCATCGAGCGTGCACAACGATGTGCTGAGTCTGGTGCCTTCCAGATGAAGCGTGCGGACCTGCGGCCAAGCGCGCGCCATGGCCTCCAGGTCGCCGTTGCTGAGATCCAGACGACAATTCAGGTCCACCCTAACATGGCGTAGGTTAATGAAGTCAAGCAAGGGACGGAGATCCTGCATTGTCACGACAACAGCGTAAGGCACTGAGGATAACTCGTTCCACTGGACGATGAAGTTCTCCAGCTCATCGACGGAGCAGTGGTTCCGCAATTGTTTCCCGAGGTACTCCATGTTTTCTGGGTTCTCGGGCCACACAGTCAGCTCGTGAAGGCGTAGGGGAGGGTCTATGTCGGGGGGCGAGTTCAGCGCGAGGGCCGCCGCTGCATCAGTCATGGTCGGGATGTGTATCTTGGCGGTCCGCAGAGAAGACGACTTTCTCTCCGTCCGACAGAACGGAAGGAATTCGCGAGGGTGGCAGAGGAGTCTTAGGGATTGCAGGAGGGGAAGCGCGTGTATGGCCGCTAATGTTTTCTCGTCGATTTGCCCCATCACTGTCAGCGTCCGCAAACCGTTCCAGCCCGTCAAGATCTCTGCCACTGGCCAAATAGGCATCTCTGGTGGCAGTCGGAGTGAGAGCGCGCTGATGTTTCGCCTCCGGACTTTGGCCATCATCAGAGTGACTACTTCCATAGCAGTGGCAGTAGAGAGACCTGCGTCGTCCAAGTACCACTCGTCTTCTATGTTGAGGTGCAGACTTGTGAGTGAATGCGGTATCAAGGCCGGGAAGCTAGAGAAGTATTCGGAAGGCCCAGTGTAGTCCAGATAACGGAGATAGGGGAAGAGAAAATCTTCATCGAGGGCAACGATGATTTGCTTCAGAGCAGACGGGGACAAGCGACCCGCGGCCGGTAGCAAAGGAAAGGTGAGGCGACGGACAAAGTCGCGGTAGTATCTAATGCGGTCGACGTCCCTGGGAGTGATATACTCGAGCTCGCCCTTCATACAGCTCAGTGTGTGACCTCACAACTCTATGAACGAGACTCACCTCTATTATCCTTTTAGACTCCGGCAAAAGCCTGAAGACGGGCTGGAGGTCGTGCAGCTCGTACCAGAGTACCGCTAGGGCTGACGCAGAGAGCAACTTGCACGATCTGGCGAGGGAAGCAAGTGTGCGCAGGGGAAGCTCCTCGAAGATGAGAGCGCGAAGCTCGGCCGTGCGAAGCGCGGCGTGCATGCCTATCTGACCGGTTGGAAGAGGCAAGACGGAGGAGCGATCCATCGAGTACGGATGACAGTGCATATAACCCAGAGAGGCGAAGAGCGCTGAGCAAGAAAGCGATAAACGAGGTTGATTTGGAGGTGGTGGGCGAAGACAAAGGCACGGAAATACCATACTAGGTAATCGCCTCTGCAGCACGTGAGTTCGTGCATGACTTTTAGGCGCGTGTAATACGGTGTATGCTACTGGATTGGCCCTTGACATGCTTGACATCTACCTGTGGCGCCAGTCGAAGAGGCTGACAGACTGTAGCCAGTAGGTCTCTCGTTCTTTGTTCTTTGTAACATAATGGATACGAACTCGTGTAGCTATGCAGAACTTTCCCATCTATAACTATCCTGACACTGTGTGGTCGAGAGGAACCATGCCCTCCGCACGTCATTCGAGGTTTTGTCACCAACAACCATCCTGTCCAGGCAGTAAGTCCAATGCCATTGGGTACAGACACGAGTCTTACCGTACGAGCTATGTTGAGCAGATCCTGGCATAGCTGACAAGTGTGGGGATGGACTCCATCACTGCGTCCCAGCTGCGTTCGTATGCCGCGTCGCCGATCTCATGTGGCGGACATGCGACTATGCGGCGGAGCTGAGGGAAATGCATCGCGAGGAATACAGCAGCCGCGGTTACTTCGCCAGGATCGATGGGCGAGTTGAGCACGTCGAGGTCGTGAAGAGCGTGATGGGCATCGTCCGGCCTTGCGCGGGGAATGGCGACGGTACTGGAGCTCAATGCGATCGTGATAAGCTCCAAGCGCTTGCAGTTCCGCGCGAGATGGACGAGACCCTCGAGCGTGCAACGTGTCGTGCTAGGGAGTGTGCCCCGCAGACGCAGTGTCCGAATATGCGGCCAGGCCTGCGCCATAGCACGGAGGTCGTTGTCGGCGATGTCCAGCGTCGTGGGCACCGTTATAGTGAGGTTACAGAGCTGATTGAATGCAAGCAGAGGCGCAAAGTCGTCGAGGGTGATGGGGGGATCGGGAAGAGAAAACGGCGGGATCTGTAGAGCCTCCTCTCGCACTCGAATATTATATCCTCCAAAGGGTGGGGGGTACAGCGACTGCACACAATCCGGCAGAATTGCTCGAGTTCGCATGCGTCGTAGTAGCCTTCAACGTGTAGCTTGGACAACTCGAGGCGTGTCCCTCCAGGGAGTGATCCAGGAAAGTTCGAGGCGGAAACGAAGCTATAGACGCACATGTTCAGATGCCTCAGAGGGAGTTCGAGTGACTTGTCGAGCGTATAGTTGAGTTTGGGTAGGCTGTCTTCGGTATGGCAGTGCAACGCGAGAGAGCGTAACTCTGGTAACCTTATCACAGCGTCCAACACATCCCTCTTGATCTGTCCCGTTAATGACAACATCTGCAGGCCGTTCCAGCCAGCCAGTATGTTCGTAACAGGCAGCAGGGCGACTTTCCGGTCTATCGTGAGGGAGAACTCTTTGACGTTGCGAAGCTTTCGTGTCTTCGGCGCAAGCAGAGTGGTGATCTCCGTCCCTAAGTGTTCGTCTGCGTCTGACGCATCAGAGACACTGATCTGAACAGCCAGGCGAAGAAGCGTCGGCGAGATGAGATCGTACAAGTGAGGCGCATACGCCGATGGACCATGATACTGGAGATGTGTCAGTTTGGGAAAGAGGGCGTCCCCGCCCAGTGCAATGATGATTCGCCCCAGGCCCTCGGGAGTGAGGAAGTACGGCTCGGACCCCACAGTAAGACGACGGACGAACGGGCCGTAGTAGCGGATGCGGTCCACGTCTCCAGGTGAGATATGTAGCGAGCTCTTCAGAATGTCAGTAGACTGATCATCTGTTTGATAGAGTACACACCGTGTCTTCGAGCACCGACTGCGGTAAGAGCATCAAGATCGGTCTCAGGTCGTTCAGCTCGTGCCATAGAGTCTCCAAGGCTGCCGTCGAGAATTCCTTGCATGTGCTGGCGAGAGCGGCGAGAGGCCGCGGGGGAAGCTGCTTGAAGATGATAGCGCGGAGCTCAGCCGTACGGAGGGCAGCGTGCATGTTGAGAAATAACTTCGAAGGGGTATCAGCTGTCGAGGAGCGAGGTACCGTGTTAGCGATTCGCGACGCACGGGGATGCAAAGGCAACGCGAGCCAGGGAGTGATATAGGTAGGTGGTCGCCGTCGTGATGGACGGAATCAAGCCGTCTCTTCAGACTTGGACAAAGGCTATCGCGTCAATTAGATCATTGTCACACTTTGAAGTCACAACTTGAGGGTGCGCATGGGTCCTCCCCTTTCACCATGCTTACAATCGCCCAGAAGCTTCCTAGAGGTCTTTGAAGGAGCGTCCATTACACGGTCATGTACAGACGAACTGTCTAGTAAGTAGTAGCGTTTTACGCCGCGAGCGCCCGCCTCCGCGACGTCGGCTTCGTCCGCTTGCGCTTCTTCCCGTTGTCGAACGCGTTCGCGCTCTTCAGGTCGCGGCCCAGCGGGTCTTCCTTCTTGACCTGATAGATGCGGACGATCCAGTTTTCTGAGGTGAAGGCTTCCTCTGTGGGAGATGTTAGCATTGGAAATCGGCACTGTGAAGGGAGCAGGGTACCAAGGTAGTCGAGCGTCGGGCCCTGCTTGGGGATGACTTGTCCACGAACACGGTCTACGGCCTGGTGCGTGCCGAAGAGTTCAGGGAACCTGCGCTCGCGTTAGTACAAGTTGTACAAAGAGGTTAGTTAGACTTGCCTGTAGTAGGTCATCTTGTACATCAAGCTGTTCTTCATCGTCGGCGACGCGCGCTCATCAACGCGGTACTCCCCACGGTCGAAGTAGTTCGGCTCCTGAATCTCCTCCGGCCACACGCCCTGCGCAATGCGCACCATCCACAGGAACTTGTTAATATCATCGCCCGAGTAGCCAATCAAGCCACCGAAGATGATGAGCACGTAGTCCACATCATGCTTCCGCAAAATCGGATACGCGACCTCCTCCGAGCTCGACATCGCCTTGCCCACCGTCGCAATGTGCGTGTTGTTCCACGTGTTGTTGTCGACGAGCGTCGTGCGGTCCGCCATGCCCGCGATCTGGTACCCGTAGTCCCACCAGGACATGACGACGGACTCCTGCGGCGTGTTTTGGCGGAGCCAGTAGTACGCCTCGCGGAAGTCGTCGATGATGTGCTTGCTGCCGTCCTGGTTCTGCGTCGAGAGCACGACGGAGGGTGAAGAGTACGCGTTCGAGGTGACCCACGTGCAGTGCTGGACGAAGAGGAGCAGCATGAGGATGGTGTTCATGATGACGGGCGCGCGCGCGGGGATGCCGACGACGAGGCCAGAGGTGGAGGTGCTAGCCTTCTTGGTGACGTTGATGATGGTGTTGAAGACGCTGCCCTGGTCGGACGACGCAGCAGCGGCGGCCTTCTTCGCCTTTTGCTTGCTCGGGGTACCGTTCGCGGGGGCGCTCTTCGTTGCTGAAGTCACGTCGTCGACGGCTGCGGGGACATCCTCGTCCTCGACGGGGTCCGCCTGCGCCATGTCGAGGTAGACGTCGATGAGCGACGAGAACGCGACGGCGGCAGACACGCAAATGACCGGGGTGAGCGTGAGCATCAGCCGGACCATGACGCCCGCAAAGTAGCTTGCCACGACGGCGTAGATGATGACGAAGACATGCTCGTCACGGAGCGCGCGGAAGCACATGAAGACACCCGCCGGGAAGAGGAAGATGAGCATCTGCTGGTCCATGAAGAACGACGGCCAGGCGGTCGGCTGGTGCTCGGAGACGGACGCGATGATGGGAATGTACTTCTTCGCGTAGCCGGTGTCCCAGAGGGAGTAGAAGCGGCCCGTCCACGGGGCGATCCAGCCCTTGTAGGTGAGGAAGACGAAGGCGCTGGCGCCGAGGACACCCATCGCGACGAGGGAGAAGAAGAGGATGTCCTTGAACTGCTTCGAGGAGACATGCGAGCGGACGAGCTGCGCAAATGCGACGAGTTGAAGGAGACCGAAGACACCCAGCGCACCCATGTGCTCACTGGTTTTGACAGGCTGGAAGCCGACGAAGGGCACCTGCATACTGGCAAGTGTACCGATCGCATACCAGGAGGAGTAGCCGACGTAGAGGCGACTGCTGTAGCGTCCCATGAGGATGAGCGCCAGCGCGTGAAGGGGGATCATGTTGGTGATGAAAGCGTAGCCACCCCACGCGGCTACCATGTAGAAGTAGAACACGGCGGCGAGCGTCCCGAAGAGCGCACTACCCTGCTTCAAGGCCTTGATCCAGCAGTAGAAGGTGAACATGAGAAGGAAGATGGCGATGGCCTCGTTGTCGTACGAGCCGGCGACGGAGCGCGAGATGTAGCCGGGGACAATGCCAATGAAAGCGGCCGCGAGCAGCCCTGCGCTCTCGTCCTTCATCTCCTTCGTGAACCTGAGGGGGAATGAGGCGCGTATCAGGGAGGGTGGAAAGGAGCTCACATGTAGGTCGCCCATGCTGTGAGAGCACTGAAGCCGGGGGCAAGGAGAACACAGATGTTACGGATATCGACGGGGAGGTTTATGGCCTTCAGGAAGTTGTAGATGACGCCGCTAGTCGCCATAAGACCTGGGTACACGGTACCGCCAACGACACGGCCGAGAGGATACCATGCCGTGGGGTCGAACCAATTCCAGAATTCCTGCAAGATATCAGTACAGATGACGATGAGCAACGTGTGACACGCACATAGAAGCCCTTGAAAGCTAGCACCCTGCTCGCCCGGCTGCATACGGTCAGCATCCCGTTACTTCTCCGTTCCCCCACACTCACTAATTGAACCAAGGGTCACTGAAAGCTGTATAAGTGTCTTCTCATTCCCCTCTGCATCAGAACTCACAATTCGTGGATGATACTCTCATAGTTGATGACCGCGAACAAGCGCGAGGCTATAGCCGCGCCCGAGATGAGGGCGAAGGCGACGATGCGCAGCAACGACGCGGTGTTGTTGACCGTCGCCTTCGAGAGGTCGGTAGGGAGCGGAAGTGCGAGCTTGGTCATATCATGGACGTCGCGGTGAACGGTGAGGACAGGATGCGGGACGCGCGCCGCAGCAAAGGGCCGACTTCGGGGACGACGTGGCGGCGGATCGCGGCCCGGACTGTTGAGAAGCTAAACTTGGATGGACCTATAACACCAAAGAGTGGCAAGCAGATGGCCAGTGAGGACAGAAAGGCGCCTTACTATTATCAGGTGTCCCGGTACAATAGAGGTGTATAGCAAGCGTCAGGAAGCACGCATCAGAGATTGAACCTATACAGGTGGACGATTCACGGACACAATGGGCCTATAAGCAACTGCCCAGGGTGATGCAACGTCGTCGGTGTGCGATGTGTAAATGTCTATGAACACCCAACGCCAAATCACAATACGTACAGTACTTTCCTATTGTCCGCCGAAACTGAAAATGCGGTTCTGAGTGAGTTCGCTTCTAATCCGGAGGAATCCGACAAAACAAGTGATCGGCGAGTCTGATTGACTTCCGTCAGTTGAGTTCGCTGACAAATGCTGCCAAACAATGGGCGCCAACCGACTTCACGTGCAGCGCGATTACCTTGTTCGGCGAAGCTGCCTCGCGGTCCTCATTGACGGGCGGGAGCCTTTGTTCCCGGCTCGAGACGCTCCTTTCCTCCGGACACCATCACTAACTAATCCCTTCCCCCCGTCCCGATCTTGTCGCGCTTCTCTGCACCTCGTGAGTCGTCATATTCATCACCTTGTACTCAGTCATTGACTCTGAGTCACTGAACTGGTTCTCCAGACATGCACGCCGCCCTCCGCACGACGGAGCTCCGCGCCATCATCTTTAAGCAGCTGCCATCGTCGACGCTCGTAGCGCTCGCAACATCCTGCAAGGCGCTATCGGCGGCAGCCTTGGAGATCCTTTGGTACGAGTTGAAGGACTTCAAGCCCCTCGCGATGCTTTTGCCCAACTCTAAACGGGGAACGGAAGTGAGTCGCGCGCTAAGCTAATAGTCAACCTACTGAGGCTGTCGGAGGTGGATCCAGGATACATCCTCCCCAAAGACGTCGACCGCATCCGATATTACGGCCCCTTCGTTCGGCGTCTTGCCGTGCCGGCGCTACCTAGTCATCTTTCTCCGTCGACCTTGGAGCAAGTAATCGTCGCGCTGGGGGACGATGACCTCTTTCCCCTCTTGCGTCATCTTGATTACACCGGCCCATCGGTGTACGCGCCTTGCCTACATCGACTGGTACCACATACGCTTCTCTCACTTGCTGTTACTATGGCTGACTCGCACGGCTTGGGCGCAGCGCACCTTGAAAGGAGGGAGATTACCGCTTTGGCGATGCCGAGGACTCGGAACATCACAGAATTCCTACTCGAGCTGTCCGCGACGTCCACGCCATGGCCTGTCGCGGACATATTTGCAGGCTGGGACAGCTTACAAGCGTTGTCACTCACAGGGCAGATCACGAAAGAGGTAGTTGATGCTGCGATGAGGCTGCCTCGTCTACGGGCTCTGTCTCTGCATCGCCTCTTGGGGGAATTGTTGCCAAGGCCCAGCTGGACGCTCGAAAAGCGAACCAAGCTGCCGTTGAGAAACTTGCATCTTCAAAACCTCGATCTATGTGCTGCCAAAAGATTCCTTGACTTACTGCCGACGACAACGCGCGTTGATATGTCTCAGCTGCACGTCGTGACCTACTCTCTCTATGGCGCAACCGATTTCAGTAATTTTTGCCGTGCTGTGCAAAGTCGCTGCGTCACTTACGCTCTGGAGGACCTCGTACTCGAGCCTGACCAGGACGTTCTTATATCGCCCACGTACGAAGCGCGCGGTCCTATCGTCACGCTCAGAGATCTTCAACCTTTGCTCACCTTCGAGCGGCTCTGTCAGTGCACCATAGCAGTCCCTAGAACGCTCGACATCGGGGACAATGATCTGCGAGTCATAGCACAAGCCTGGCCACAGGTCCGGATACTCTGCTTGCGGGGCATTCTCTCCAGTACGACGCGCTGTACACTCGAAGGGCTCGTACATCTCGCCCGGTACTGCAAGCGTCTAGAGCGGCTCGCTATCACGCTGCGAGGAAACGTTATCGCCACTCCTAGAGAAAAGTTCGGTGTTGTTCACCACAACCTCCATCACCTCGACGTCCTCAATTCGCCCATACTGACCGGACAAGAGCCCAGAATTGCCCCCTTCCTCGGCACAGTCTTCCCCTCCATTTCGCGCATCTCATCAACGGCTGGTCCAACATCGTATGTACATGCATGGGGCCAGGTCATGGCGATCTACCGTAGTTTCGTCGACTTTGCACCTTTGGCGCCCTAACTCGATCCCAGCAACGGTACGGCATAACTCAGCTACTATAGTGGGAGCTTCTGTGCTGACTGAAAGCACAGGCCGTATGGAGCATGGGGCAGAAAACGACGAAGGTCCTTTGCGAGAAGGAGAATAAGGATCTCGAATTATTAGACGCTATTTGATTATGAACAATTCCCTCTCATCGTCAAAGGGAGAAAGAGCACCATAAGATTCAGCCAGCTGCATTCGAACTAGCGTGTAATCATTGGCAAACGTCGCAGCAGGTAGCGACGGTCAGCTCGAAAGGGCATGTGTGTACCCACAAGTCTGCGGATGGTTTAAAATCCCCCACCTTCATGAAGGAGCTATATAAGCAATGTAAATAAGCCCCACTGCTTCTTCCTGTGTCGCAGCATACGTCTACGTGCTGATCGACGTGCAATGGAGGGGGCTGGGGAGTGCTCGTGCTTGCGCGGCACGAGTCAATTATATCTGCAACGGGAATTGCCTCCTACAGGCCGGTTAGCTCAGTTGGTTAGAGCGTGGTGCTAATAACGCCAAGGTCGCGGGTTCGACCCCCGTACGGGCCACTCCAGTCCTTTCTTGTTCTTTCTTTTGAGTCGCACGTTTTGTCTTTTTGCCGAACCTTTAGGTGAGGCTCTCATATGTGAAGTCGGACTTTGTCCATCACGTGACGTCCGTTTTTGGAAGGGACATGTAGCACACGGATGCACACCTAAAGGTTCGGCCAACGCCGCTTGCGGCCATACCCCCCAGTCATCCATATAGACGGAAGATAAGGACAGATCATATAAACATTAAAACAAAGAGCGTATGCGAGGTCTACGTATGGCCTTGGCCAGCTCGAGTCAGCAGAGATATGTACAGCATCTTTTCTACACATTGAGGACGGCAGGTGGGGCCGTGAAGGGTGTGGGGGAGTGAGAGGAGCGGGGGTTGAAGAGGAGCAGGTAAACAATGAGTACAATGCGGATAGCGAGCAAGCAAGGAAAGCAAGGAATGAAGGGGTAACATAGCGGAGGTAAAGGAAGAGCCCGTCGAGGATATAATGACGACTGCGATTCTTCTTCCTTTTGCTCGCGATGACCAGATCTAGAGCCAGCGCTGAAACCGGAATCCCATCCCACTACACCATGCTCTGGTCGCTGTTGCCTTCCCGACTGTCGTCCTTCGCGATGGCACGGTCTCCGAAGGCGGGTGATTCGGGCGCCTTGTACGATATCTGGGAACGAGGGGTTAGCGACTTCGAGGGGCAAACAAAGACGTGGAATCCTACCGGCGTCAAGTCCTCCGGCTGCGCGAACGTCAGGTTCGTCTCCACGTCCGTGTCGACCTCCTTCGTCGTGTCGATCTTGATGGAGATGTTCGTCGTTGTCGGGCGGTGCTGTGGGATCGTCAGCGCGTTTTCCAGCTCGTCTTCCGTCCTCGTCCTTCCCCGCCACGTCTCTGCTCGGCCCCGGCCCCGCGCGACGGCCGCGCTGACACGAACCCCCATCTTTCTTCGCGTTCACAACCCAAGTATTCTCACCCTCGACCCCATCGACATCATCCCCTTCGAGAAGATGGACACGTTATTGTCCTCCGAGCTGTACGCGCCGTCCGCCGAGGAGCGGATCGCCTTGCGCGCGTTGAGCGTCGCGAGCAGCGAGTTCGTGTACAGGCGGCCCATGCAGAAGAAGAAGGCGATGTACCAGAAGGTGTTGCCGGCGACGGTGATCTGGGGGGGCGGGTAAGCAGCCAACGACGGGTGCGCACATCCGAGAGGCGTACCGAAATGAGCGACCCAACAGCGCACAGACTGCATAGGTCTTCGTCAGCAAAGAGGTTGCAGTGGATTTCGGAAGGAGAGTAACGCACCTTGTGAGCATGCCCGTGTTGACGGCGAATATAATCTAGATTTCGGTCAGCCGGCGTTGAAGGCGCACTACTTATCCGGAACCGTAGCATACTCACGAGCTTGTTGATGATCGTGTCGGACCTCGAGAAGCCCGTCCGAGACCTATGCAGCAAGGTGCAGAGGATGATCGCAATGAGCACGTCGCCGGCCGCCGCGAGCGCGTTGACGGAGACCGAGAGGCCCTGCGAGGTAGCGTCAGTACATGCGCATATAAAGCGTGCAAGAAAGGGTAGTAGTACGAGCGCATATATGTGCTCGAAAGCGCAAAATGTATGCGCTGCGCTTTGTAGTGAGCAGACTTACCTGTAGCTCTGCCAACTCGGCGAACGTATCCAAATGGAGGCTGTTCGATGATCAACAATCATCGCAGGCGGCCAAAACTAGAGATGACACACGCGAGGGAGGCGAATGCTGGACCACCGGTCAGCAAGGTAACGCGAGCGCATGCAGTCGGAGGACATACCGAGACAGCAGCCTGGCGAAGGCGATCATGAAAGGTGAGTAAATTTTGGCGCCCCGACGAACCCTTCCACTCACAGAACTCTGCGAAGATGAAGACGCACTGTAGATCCGTCAGCAATAACTGCGAATGAGCTTCAAGACACTTACGACGATGGACGTCAACCACACGTTCTTGTTGCTTACTGGGGCGCATATAGTCAGGTAAAGCAAAGCGAGGGGAAAAGGACGAGCGTACATCGCCATATCCTCAGCGCCAGGAATCCTTGCACCAAAAAGCCCGTGAAGCCGTTGAAGTAGACCTCAACTAGGAGACTCCTATGAGGGCAGGAAGGGAGCGTCAGCTTTCTGCTCGATCGCGAAATAGAGGTATGCTCGGTCAGTGAGAGTTCGTTCGGGTCGAGTCCCCGGTGTGGCAGAGGGACTAGTAAAACAGACGCGGGCCTAGCGAAAGAGACACGCACCATACTAGCTCGCCGATGGTGACTGCACTCCCGTAGTTCGCGATCACGTAGTAGTAGACTGTGAGGGGCGTCTATCAGCGTCTATCCTTCCGAACGAAAGTAGGCGCCCGCGCCAACCGATACGTACCCGTATACGAGATGAGCGCCTGGTGTACGGTGTCGAAGAACAGGACTGCCGTCACCTGGGCGATCTTAGTACGGGATCCACGGGTCGACAGACGGCATCCAGGGAGATCCACGACCACCGGCGTTTATCCAGGGAAGTGCACGTACCAGGGAGACGGTGTGCCAGGCGTCACGATGGTGCGTGAAGTAGTACCATGTTTGCACGATGGAGACTGAGGTGGTTGGTTGAGTCAGGGGGTTCAGTGAACGTGGTGAGGGGATGTGAAGCGTACCTCCGTGAAGACTGCAAGGTACGCGTGAGTAGGCTGTCACGAAGGCAAGAGCAAGATACGCACAGCCCGGCGATGATACAGCCAATGAAGGCGGCGCCCATCCTGCAGATTGATTAATCTCCGTATGTCGCCCCACTCTGTAACCCACTCACGTATCATGGAGGGCAAGTTGGATCGCGGCCGACATGATACGCGCTCCCGTGGTCTTGAAAAGAACAAAAAAGAGTGAACGAGGCGAGAGCACGAGCGAAGGGGCGCAGGGGCGAATCAAGCGAGGCTCAAGAGGCTCAAAAGGAATCAAGCGGGGCGCGCAAGGAAAATCGCGCGCGCCGCCATAAATAACGGCACTTAGGCTTGCGCCGTGAGCTTCCTTGGCGACCCGTGCGCTGTCCGCGGTGAGGTAAGGCTGCCTTCCGGGTGGAACGTCGCGCGCGTTCGCGTCCGGGCTCGGTGGTACGGAGGCGATAGAAGGCGCAGGGCTTACGAAAAGATTTGCAAGCGCAGGGGGAGCGTCGCTCGGGTAGATTTGGGAGGGCTTTTGAGCTGGCTTTGAGCTGAACTTTGGACCTACAAGTGAAAGAGGGTAGTCACCGGAGATGAGGACACGGACGCCGCAGGAGTGTCTGTCGAACGGTAGAGCTTGTCGGGCTGGCTGAATAGAGGCGCGTGTATTCAAAAGGTAGACACAAGCTCTGAATACAGGCTAGCCTGATAGCTGTCGCTTTGACTTGCGGAAAAAGTCGCCTGCGTAGCTTGCATGGAGATAGATTTGTCGTATTCGGTGGAGCAGGAGAACGCAGGGCGGATAGGTCATGCCTGTCGTCGGGACGGTACGAGGGCCGCTTTGAGGGCGCTGCTGCCTGTCAAGAAGCTTGAAGGTCCGCTCGACCGGATTCACTCGTTCCGCGGAGTTGGTAGATAGGCAAATCATCGATAGGCGCGTCAAAATTGGGAGGCAGCCTAGTTGCACCGTCAGGAGAGCAGGAAACAAGAGACGAGGGACGAAAAGTCGATCCTGTGGGACGCTGCACGTGTGCGTCGGCAGTTTCCGAGAATGTTTTCTTGGCCGTGTGGCGCTCTTTGGTTCAGCCACGACCATCTCTCGTCCTCCTCGTTCTACACTACGCCGTTCTCGTTCTACGCTGCCCCCGAAAAACATCTATCCCTGTGTCTCTGACTACCCTCAAACCCCACTGTGGCTCACCTAAGGTCCCCTGAACGACTGACTGAATGGCGTCCGCAACATTGAATGGCGATCCGCCACATTGCTAGCTACCCTAGCTCGTGCTATCTGCGGGCCGCTGTCCTCTTACGTCTCTCTGACTTCTGGACTTCTGGTGCTCTGAGTGAGTCTATGACGCAGGATAGGCGACCGATTTTCCCTGAATATCACAGCAACTTCTCGCTCCGGTCTGATTTATTTCGCCTTCCGGTCTTTCGACGCCTTCTCCCTTGCAGCTCGGATTGTTCGTACGCGGAAGAAACAACTATATGCTGAAAAGACACGGAAGAAGTCAGTAGCACGACTTCTGCGTCCTCACCGGAATTACCGTCGCTTGTCAAGCAACGCCAAACATTAAACAAAACTTGCCTAATCAGGAATGTTGACGGCCTATCAGAAAGCGGAAGCAAAGTGTACGCGTCAAGGCACTCTTGTCTCTCGTCTCCTCATCATTTCTCCAAAATTGGCCAATCCACTGATCATGAACACGCTGCTTGCGATCCCTGCCGGACCGTCTTCTCAGGCTCGAACGACTTGACTCGTTTCAGCGCCCAGGCGGACCAATAGAAACATGAATGAGCGGACCGGCACACCAGTTGGACCTGCCGATGGCGGCCTCTATATCACCAGCGCGCAGGCGGCGGCATCGCACTCCATCGTACTTATCGGCGCTCCAGGCACTCCTCCCCGTTGCTCCTTGCGATCTACCTAGACCTCGTAGCCCTCCTCGTCTACGACCTATCGCGCGCAACGAGCATGGCCGCCCCCTCCGAGCTCCGCGTTCCCCTCAGCCCCCTCGACATCAACGGCCCCGACCTGAGCGGCATCACCATGGGCTACGTCCTCCGGCCCGGCATCGACGAAGATGCGCTCCGCTCTGCCCTCTTCCGCGTCGTCGACAAATGGCGCCTCCTCGCCGGGCACCCAGTGTGGGACGACAACGCGCAGAACTGGTACATCAGCGTACCCGCGCCCGCGTACCCGCTTTCCACGTTCCCGCCTCCCTTCCACTTCACCACATCCCACGTCGCGGGCCCGCTCCCCCACGTCCAGCCCGTGCACGACGTGTCCGCGACGCTCCTGCAGAGCCCTCCGATCGCGCACTTCAGGCACCCGGACACGGTGTGGGCGATCAAGGACGTCGCCTCGCGCCGCTTCCCCTTCCTCGCCGTGCACATCACGCACTTTGATGACTGCGACTGCTTGGGGGTGAATGTGCCGCACGCGCTGTTCGATGCGGTGGGCTTGGGGCAGGTGCTGAGCGCGATTGACGCGGAGATGCATGGGAAAGAGTGGGAGGTGCCGCCGATGTATGTGGGGGTGAACCCGGTGACAGAGGCGGTCAGTAAGCTGGAGGAGAGTGAGGCAATGTATGAGGAGGAGCCAGCGACCTTGAAATGTCTGAAGCAGGTGCTGGTGTCGAAGGAGCCGGACGGTATCACGCAATTTATGGACAGGATGGAATGGGAGTGGCAAACGCAAGACGTGGAGTACAGGGCGGTGTACCTAGGGAAGAATGTGGTGAGGAACATGGTATTGAGCGTGAATGAGGGGTTAGCAAAAGAGTCTGGAGGGAAGGAGCGCGCTTCCACGGGCGATGTGCTCCTTGCTTGGTTCCTAAAGGCGCGTGATCAGCATTCACCCGCGAAGTATTCTCTCTGACGCGCTCCAGGCAGCTCACAGCGCCGAAAGTACCGAAAATACCCTTCTCGTCGTTCCCTACACCTCCATGCGCGACGCGCTCTCCGCAGCCGCCGGCCACCCCCTCACCACCTACACCCACAACTGCAAATACCTCTTCGCCCTCCCCCCGCTCACCATCTCCGCCCTCCGCACCGCGCCCCTGTCCCTCCTCGCCGTCACCGCCCGCCGCGCCCTCATCGCCGCGCGCCAGCCCGCCTCTCTTCAAGCCCTCCTCCACTGGCGCGAGCGCACGGGGTCCTTGCTCAACCGCCGCCCGGGCGTGGACTCGTGGCTGGTGTCGAACCAGGGGATCGGGCGGTTCGCAGACGTTGACTTTGGCGTGGAGATGGTGGGCTACTGGAGCTGGACGTCGTCGGTGTTGTCGATGGATCACATTTTGACGATCAATGGGTTCAAGGGCGGGTATGTGTTGCAGGCGCCAATGAGGAGGTCGAGGTGGGAGGCGGTGGAGAGGGGGTTGGAGGGGGTGAGGATAAGATGGTCGCCGGAGGAGGTGATCGATATTGCGGACGCCAAGTTGTGACTATGCTATGGATGATTGGGGCCACAACGAACTTATCCGAGGCGGCGCGAAGTGAACACAGGAAACCCACATTAATTCAGTGACCCGGATATTCTACGCGTAAGTATAGTCCCAAGTTGTGTCCGTGTTTGTTATTGTTATTGTGACCCAACGACCGGATGGCGCATATTGAGACACGACATGCCCTTGAGAGATGTAAGTATACGCGCTCTCCGTCAGAACAAGAAATGCGCACCTTAGCAAGAAGCATCGTTAGCGCTGTCGAGGACGATGAACCATCCGTGGTAGACGCCGTGGTCGTAGTAGGACGTGTTAACCCACTCAAGCGTGTTGAGCCCATCGTACTTCTCGCTGTGAAGGTCTACGTCCCATCGGCCCTTGCCCTCGCCAAACTAAGGAATCGATGTCATTCTGACGCGCACTATCGTGGAAGCCGCAGCCACTCACCGCATTGACCACCTTCGTAAAGTTCTCATTCGAGATCCCCGTCCTATCGTCCGACAGACTCCACCCCCCAAAGATCGTCCTCGCCGGCAAGTCACTGAACGAGTTCACAAACTGAACCTCGTACGCCACGGGGTCCGAGTCCGGCACGGCGACGAGCACGGCCTGGTAGCCCTGGTAGGGGCACGTCATCACGAGCTCGCCGTTCTCGACCTTGGCGGAGATGGTGAGCTGGTCGGTGGCGGCGCCGCCGAGGACGAAGCCGGAGGGGGTGGCCTGGTGGAGGAGCCAGTCACCCTGCTCCTGCCCGTACTCGGAGGTGAAGGCGGAGCGGAGGCCGGTGGCGCTGGCGAGGGTGAGGCCGGAGAGGAGGGCGAGGGCGGGGGCGAACATTGTTGTCGGTAGGAGCTGAAGGCGAATAAGGGACTGATTGTGTGTTGAAATTTAGGGCATTTGTGTGCACCTTATATACGACCTTGTTGAAGTTAGCGAGCGGCCAGCATAGGTGTTCTCATTACCCTCGCTAGTCGGTCCTCCGTTTCATGCCGGCCTTTCGTTCCTGTTGGCGGTGCTGATCACTCTTGTGCGTCCATTGTTTTCTAACCGGTGAATGATCTGCGCGACGTCGAGATCGAGAGATCTGTGGCCGTACCATAGCCGCTATTGAGTACCCGCTATTTGAGCTCGGTGCTTTGTGAGGGTGTGAGCAGTCGCCATGAGACTTGTTGGGGGAAGCAACGATCCCAGCATACTAAGGTATCGTGTGCTTGAAGGTCTGCATTTCAAGCCAAGAGAGCATATACCTCAAGACCAGAAGGTAAAGTGATTGGATACGGATAGTGGAATGGGTAAGCTGGGCCGCAGGATGCAGCAGTCGTTGCACTGAGATTCGTATATCGATGAGAAGAAATTGAAGAGCGCCAGAAAGAAAGCAAGGCTAGCCAGAGTAACGCACGCAGACAAGAGGTGACGGTTGACAGTCGTGGTCGAAACCTCGAAGTCAATTACGCCACATGGCTCGTTCCGACGAATTCACGGAGATTGCCGAGCGCACGCGTCATGTTGAACTTCCCGTTCCGGGTCCCTTTGTTCCCACTTTCATGGCTGTACGAACGACAGGAATCATTATGTGCTCCTGCTCTGGCGCTACTGACTTTGAACTCGCTTGACCTGTGCCCGAGAAGGTGCGAAAGCTAATGAGCCTTAGGCGAAGTCAAGACCAAAGAAAACTGGTGACACCATTGCGAGTGACCATGTCATGTCGTACATGCACTGGCGGCCTTGATCGCCGTGCTCTCGACCTTCAGCCTTGTCTTCTTACGGAGGTCCGGTCATGAAGGCGTCAGGTATGAGCGTGGATGAGTATGGGCTTATCACCGAGGTCGTTTGCATGCCACCGTGTATGAGGATCCTTCCTATTAGTGGTAGGTTCAAATCTCGCAAATTCAGGTATTGTACTGTAGCTCGTTCAGGAGATTCATATTCACGTATCCACATAGTATTCACCCACAGCGCGATGGTTTGCGATGCATGTAACATGCCATATCGGTCGCTGAGCGAGAGACGTTCAACGCGCTCAAACACTCACAAACTGCCGAGCTTCATGAGAAACATGGATCCTCGGCGAGCTCCTGATGTCGACGTCGTGCAGAGCATCCACCCACCTGGATACAATGGACGAGCGCGGGCGACTAACACCGCCAACAGGAACAAAAGGCGGCCGTGAAACGGGAGACTAACCTGCGAAGCTAGCGAGGACACTTCGTTCGACCAGACGCCAACCTCTCCGGTGCTCGTATATAAGGCGTACTCAACTGCCTTCGACTTCAGCACACCTTTCACCCACTCAAAGTCCTACGACCGACTCTCAGCCCTCACCAACGACGATGTTCGCCCCCGCCCTCGCTCTCCTCTCCGGCCTCACCCTCGTCAGCGCCGCCGGCCTCCGTTTCGGCACGACCTCCGAGTACGGGCAGAACCAGGGCGACTGGGCCCTCCACGAAGCGCCCGGCGGCGCCGTCCTCGCTGCGTGGGCTGACAGCCCGACCGTCTCCGCCCACATCCAGAACGGCGAGGTCTACATCGACTGCCCGGCCGCCTACAAGGGCTACCAGGCCGTCCTCGTCCCCATCGCCGACCGCGACCCGGCCGCGTACGAGGTCCGCTTCGTGAACTCGTTCGACAACCTGCCCTCGGGCACGCAGTTCGGGAGCTGGTATCTATCGGACGACCGCCTCGGGCTGGCGAACAGCAATTTCACCAAGGTGGTGAACGCGGTGAGTAATTGGTGGCTTGCGACGGGTGAGGGGTCGGTGGGCTGACGGTGCTCTCCAGTTCGGCGACGAGAAGGGCAGCTATCACGCGGAGAAGCGGGCGGAGTACGACGACCTGTACACGCTCGAGTGGGTGAACAAGTCGTACTACGACCATGGCGTCTACAACGGCTGGTTCCTCGTGCTTGACAGCGCCAACGATGTCTCTTGCTAGACGTATGTGCATCCTCGCATTGGTGTCAGGATTAGGTGCTGATGAAATCTCTCAGGGAAATCTGGCGCCGTGATATAGTCGGACTACTGGTCTTCCTACGTTTGGCTACTATTTACTTAGGAGGACATGGGCACACCTTGGGACTATACTTACGCGTAGAATATCTGGTCGACTGGTCTAATATGGTTTTTGTGTTGCACCTGAAAGCATAGCTGCATTAAAGGAAATTTCCCATGCGTAGCGTGAGCTCAAGCAAGTCGACGGGCTACACTAACATCCTCGGGCTCGTCAGTGACTCCAATCCAGCAGCATAGACGTACTGGATACGACTCATTCAAAGGCAGATGCCGATGGGCAATTCAGGTTAATATGGTCATCGAGAAAGGCGGAGAAGGAGATGGACAAGTTGAGAACAATGGCCGATCTATTTGTGCGTGCTTACCAATGACCTCGCCATAACGGGAACAAGACCCTCGGCGGTCTTCAAAACTTCCCAACATCGTCGGTGGCAACGACGAGCACCCGAACCACGACGACGAAGTGTCGTCCTTTCCTTAGCCCAGGAAGTTGAGAGAGCGCTGCAACTTGTGCGATCTCCTCATCACCTCTATTGCGCTTCCTTTAACAAGGTTCACCGTAGTACTTCTCGTGCAACGCGCGTCGGCGATCTTCAGGAGAGGCATAGGAAATAGGTATGTCGGCTATAACGCGCACAGCAGGCGGATATTGACGCGGAACAGTCGCGCGTACGATAATGGCCAACAAGAAGAACAAGGCTAAGAAGAAGGCCGCCGCTGCCGCCAACGGTAATGGCTCGGCAAACGGTGATGGGTGCGTGGTGTGCCAATTGCTGTAATAACGCGGCCCTGAACGCACGTTTTAGCCCCTCCGAATCAGGGCCGAGCACGCCTCCCCCTCAGTCCCCTTCCTCTCCTCCCGAAGAGATGGAGCCCGCCCCGTCCGAGGACAAGGTCGCGCAGGCCGAGAAAATCAAGGAGCAGGGAAATGCGGCGTTCAAGAACAAACAGTACAAGGAGGCCATCGACCTGTACTCAAAGGCGATCGGTGCGTCGCCAGCCTCGCGCACGCCACCCGTTGCTCACATGCACGCACACCTACAGAGCTCAACCCCTCGGAGCCGGCATACTTGACCAATCGTGCCGCCTCATATATCGCGCTTAAGCGCTTCCGCCCTGCGCTCGCCGACTGCCAGGCCGCAATGAACATCCAGAAGCCCCCACCCGTGAAGACACTGCTGCGGCTAGCACGCTGCCAGGCCGCGCTCGGCGACAGTGGCCCGGCCATGTCGACGATCCGCGCCGCGCTGTCGGAGGAGCCCACGAACGCGCAGGCGCAGCAGCTGCAGACGAAGATCGAGGAGCTCGAGGGCCATCTGGAGAAGTTCGAGCGGGCGCGTAAGCAGTGTGACTGGGGGATGGCACGATTAGCGCTGGACAAGTGCTTGCAGAGCATCGAGGCCGATCCGGCGGAGGTGCCGATAGAATGGCGGCTCTGGCGGGTGGAGCTCGAGCTCGCGAGGGCGAACTGGGACGGGGCGAACGTGGCAGCGAAGTGCGTGTGGAGTGGTCTTGCTGTACGAATCAAAATGCTAATGGTGTGCGAAATTCAGCGATGCGCTCCGGCAGCATTCTTCGTCACCAGATGCGCTCACTGCGCGTGGTCTCGTGCTGTTCCTATGCGGCAAGCTCCCGCAAGCCGTACAACACGTCCAGCAGGCCTTGCGGTTAGATCCTGGGCACGTTAACGCACAAAAGTTGCGAAAGCGTGTCAAGGAGGTCGAGCGGCTCAAGGAGGAGGGCAACACCTTCTTCAAGACCGGGAAGTTCGAGGAGGCGATCGACAAGTATACTGAGGCTCTTGATGTGGGTTGCAAGCATGAAGGCGACTGCTCGTGTGCACTAAACCAAATGTCCAGGTGATCGGCGAGGTTGAGACGGAAGGCAAGGGCGGCCAGATACGATCGACCCTCTTGTCGAACAGAGCAACAACGCTTGTCAAGGTCAGTTGAGTCTAGTGTTCGCGCTACCGCCAGTCGTAATTAATTTCCACCTAGCTCTCGAGACACCAGGAAGCCCTCGAGGACACCGACAACGCGCTCCGCCTCGTGCCCACATCGTACAAAGCCCTGCGAACACGCGCGCGCATCAACCTCGTGCTGGAGAACTACGACGGCGCCGTGCAGGACTTCAAGTCCGCCATCCACGAGGCGAGCGCGGAGGGCTCGACGTCGGAGGCTGAGATCCGGACGCTGAAGACGGAGCTGAAGCAGGCGGAGCTGGACCTGAAGCGCAGCAAGACGAAGGACTACTACAAGATCCTCGGCGTGTCGCGCGACTGCTCGAGCGCGGAGATCAAGAAGGCGTACCGCAAGCAGAGTCTGATGCACCATCCGGACAAGGTGCGTGCGGCGTCTTGTAACCTGTGTTCAACTATATCTGACACCTGCCCAGGGCGGCGACGAAGAGAAGTTCAAGCTCGTCGTCGAGGCGCACGCCGTGCTCTCCGACCCCGCGAAGCGCGAGCGCTACGACCAGGGCGACGACGATGACTCGGGCATGGGCGACGCCGGCTTCGGCGGCATGAACGACGTCAACCTCGCCGAGCTCTTCGCGCAGTTCCACGGCGCGCGCGGAGGCGGGTTCGGCAGCGCTGGTGGCTTCGGTGGTGGAGGCTTTGGTGGCGGCGGCGGGTTTGGCGGAGCGGGCTTTGGGGGCCAGGGCTTCGGCGGCGCAGGGAGCAGGCGGAGCTACTCGCAAGGGTTCCCCTTTTGAGCGCATCCTTCGTGTGCGCTCCTGCTGCGTGTACGCGTATGCCTCTGCTCCGTGTACGTGTACTCGTGCACGCTGCTCTTGTAGTCCGCCTGCCGACAGCGCCAGGCTCCTTGCTTTGTACCAGACATGCTGTCCTGGGCTCGGTGTATGTTTACCTGTACAACATTCCGATGTCCCGCCTGCTGTCCGTGCTACTCATAGTTTATCTACCGTCGACGCGCTCTGTACACTGCTACAACTCATCTTAATGTATCATTTTTTCAATCTTCCCTCCCTTCCTTTCCTCCAAGCTCTGCGTGATGATCTAGTGTCCACCACTATTCTTGGTGAGTCTGAGGCAAGGAACGCGTTTCGAGTCCGGGCTGACGATCCATGTAATCCGGTGATCATTCCAATCTATACCTTGTCTATGACATGCGCCTCTGGTATATCTACGGTCTCTCCTCAACGGAATGCGGGAATTGGAAGACGTTGCCCGGGTCATAGGCGTTCTTCAGCTTAGTGAGCCGTTCGTAGTGTTCGCCGTAATACAACGTTTGCCCTGTGGAGATATGAGCGTCAGTGTGGCACAAAGAAATTGACACTGACAGTTCTCGAGACGGTCGTCAGGATAATTCACGTAGGAACCCCAAGGCCAGTCCGCCGCCTCGTTCGAGAGGATGCTGTCGGCCATGCCTTCGAAGAGGATATAGTGCGCAAGGAGGTAACTCAAGCCCGGATACTCACCATCAACGAAGGCGAAGCCGTCATCAGGGTAGGGCGGCAATTCGTCTTGCGAATACGCGTACAGCTGGAGATTGAACAACTTGTTGCGGTGAACGAATGCTGTATCGTTGACCGGTACAGCACTGATGGCAGAGTTACTACCGCCGTATGTCTCTACCTCGATGAACCACGACTGTGAGGTACCTTTAGTCGTGCCAGCGCCTTGAGATCTGAATGACTCACCAGGTCCGTATCGAAGCCAGTGGTGGAAAGATATTTGGTGAGCGCGTCGATCGCCGACTGGCTTATACCTTCCTTCTCCGGGGTGAAGATAGACTTGACGTAGAATGTATTATGCTGCGGTGGCATCGTGCTCGTGTTCAGGTTTCCAGATGCCCACGCCGCGAAGACAGTAATCCAGTCGCCTTGCGTGATGTTCTTGCTGTCAGGTTCAGGGAAGAGGTCCAAGTAGGGTGCCACCGTCTTGTCGAACGTTGCCGGATCATCTAAATAGACACCGAAGTACTGTACGGCGACATTCCCAAAGGTGGAGCTTTTATTGAGCACGAGCTCACCTCCGAGAGTCGGTGGAATGTCGGTCTGGACGAAGTCTTGGAAAGATGCGATAGCGCGTGCGGCTTCCGCGGCCGTGAAATCCCAGTTGTACCAGAAGGCGGTCCCTTGTGGAGGCGCGGGCTCTGTAGCAAAGACGAAGGAAGTGACGATGCCTAGCGAAGCGCCAGCGCCGCGGAGACCCTGTAAAACCTATCGGTGGAAGGCCGGATGTGATAGCAAGAAAACCTTACCCAGAACAGATCTGCGTTCTCGTCCTTCGACGCTTGAACGACCGATCCGTTTCCGAGGACAACAGTCTCGGACACCACTCGGTCAAGTAGCAGGCCCCACATGCGAGACTGGAAGCCAAATCCACCGCCAGCTAAGTAGGACGTCAGTATGATATCTTGACGACGGCAGGGGAAGCTGACTGGCATGCCCTCCTACCCTGCGAGGAGCATCAACGCAGGTCTTACGCACGGATAATCGGTGAGACGTACCCAACGGTTGTGCAGCGCCCGTGAGGAAGTGCTCTTCCAAAATCATTGAGACGTAGCGCGACGTCACCCAGTCGATTTCCCGCTCCGACTTCGACCGTGTCAGCGACCTCGTCTACCTCGATACTCTTGAAGTTGCTCAAGTCGACGACTACAGCTCCATCTTCCCCGCCAAGCCCCCCTGCGACGTAACTATGCTGTGGGACGTCAGTAATATACTTGTATCCCAAGGGTTAGGGAAATCGGGTACCCCTCCACTGCGTGCCGTGACAGCGTAGTGTTGCGCTGCACCTGCGGCAACGACAGCGCCAACTTGCTCTGGAGTGGTTGGATATGTAATCCCAACGGGGGAGATGGTGTAGCGCAGGTTAACTGGGAGTATACTCAGAACAAAAGGCGCACACAAGAAGGAAGGACTTACATGCCATGCTAGCGTTAGCATACGCTGCATCACCATCAAAAACCGCCTCGACACCAGCAGTCTGGAGAGCCCCTCGCAAGGCACCTATACTTTGAGCTGCCGCCAGAGGCAAGGACAAGAGGAGCCCGAAGGCAATGCCTGTGGAATGTGAAAGGAAGCTTCGGTGCCACATATAGTCCAGGGTGCGCAAGTGTGCTCTCCAGTCTACTAGCTCTCATATATATACGGCGCATGGCTAAGTAAGGTGAAGAAAAGGGTGCTTACGGCGGACGGAAATTCCGTATGTCAAGGGCGTACAGTCAAAATCTCCCTTGTCCGGAAGGCGCGGACGGTTTACGGTGTGAACGATAGCCTTGCTGATAAGTCGTGTATCCAACGAATATATTGAACACCATCTGCTCCGCTCTGCGTAAGCGTAGGAATCCTGATCGAGGGGAATGTCCGGAGCGAAAGGAGGACTTTCTGGGAAAGCGCCTTTGTGCGCCAGATATCTGGCCCTGGAAATAGGATGTCAGCGGAGAATCGAGGGGTATGCGATTCATGACCGGGATTGCTAACCTTGGAAGTAGCGGACCGCGTGCATCCCGGAGGGATGCAGCAGAGGAATGATCCAGGAGAAAAGAATATCAGAGCATAGAAAATCGCGGTCCCCGTATGGCTGCAGGTCATTGAGGTGCCACAGAAGGTCGTCGCAAATGAGCCATTGAAAAGGAAAAGGGCATCCCAATGCGCCGGGTTGGAGCTCAAACCACGAGCACGGCGCCCTGGACGGGGACAGCGATCAGTATGGCCAATGCTTTCACTTAGTCGTTATCTATAGCAACTGCGCTCAAGCTCGAAGCTCACCTGCGCTTCACAGTCCACTATATTTGTGACCATGCCCAGGTGCTCGGTCAACACCCCAGAGCATTGATTCGTGTCAAACCAGGATCTGGCGAAGTTGCGTCGCACTCCGTTATAGGAATGACAAGAACTGAATTGAAGGCATGGAAGTATACTGCCATGTAGGAGTCATAATGCACGACATGGCCTTCCAGTGGCTCCCCGAAGACGGACCTTGGTTGGGAGACTGCATGCTGGTCGAAGGCAACGAGCAGCTTTGTTTGCTCCCGACGTTGGCGGCGCACGGCTAAAGCCGAAGCAACGCCACATATGGAGCTGAATTTTGGTCCCGTCGCGCTGCCAGGGAGCCCTACGTGCTAGCACAGAGCGTCAATGCCCTTCGAAGGACGCGTCTGATTGGTCTATAACGGTCGTGTGCTCGAACTTTCGCAGTATGGGACTGCTTGGATCTATTCTGCCAATGGCTGTATCTGGTCCCCCCGGCGTAAGGTGTCAAGGTAACGTCGTTCGGCGGCACAGCACTTGCGACTTAGTCTTTCCATATGTCGCGAGTAGCTCGATGCGAAGATGCCCAGCGTTGTTTATTGATCATTAAAATCCTACTCGCTACCTATATGCTACCTTACACACTGTACAATGGCTCGGGGGTTATGATGATCTTTCCACCCTAATGGCGGCAGCGCGCTCGTGCCCGAAGAATTCTGCGGTGTCAAAGAATCGCAAGAGGTCGGCGCAACTGAAGGCCATCGAGCGCCTAGGTTGTATTCATTGAGCCCAGCTATATAATCCCCTAGAGTCGCTTACAGAAGGAAGAACATCTTCTACGCTTGCAGCAAGGCAGGGGCCAGCAGCGAAGACTCAAGCCGCTGGATCGCTGAAGAGTTCAACTTGTGACGCGCCTGCGACGCGTCACGCGTCCGATGACGGCAATTGCCGTCATTTGAATCACTGGGTTGCCTTCTACCACCATCATGGTCTAAGCGTTCGACATGGTCGAAGACCGTCGGACGGGAAATAGACACTGCAAAAGCGCACAGTAACGGTGTTCAAAGCACTGGATGCGTGAGCAGTTACCCATGAATGTGATCGGCAACTACACACGCTCGTCGGCGGCGTCCTCGCACTCGGGGAGGGGCTTCGATCAGGGGCCGATCTGCCCCCACGTCCAGCCTACGCCGCTGCAGCAACATTGCTCGCATTCCCACCCACTCGATGGTACCCTCAGTGGGCCCCGCTGGATGCTTTCCACTGAAGGACGTCCTGTACGACTGCGAGTGCATCGGTGCCACCCCGCCCCTATAACTCAAGGGGCAGCACTGCTGCAGCAGTACTTTCCCCTGGCGCTCCGAATGTGCCGTCGTGCCGCCAATCCCTCCCCCACTCTACATTGCTGCCCGCGACGAGCACGCTCGGAGTGTCATTCTCGATGCTCCTGGGGCCCGCATGAGCACGCGCAATCAGCATCTATGCCGTCGGGCGTCCGCGGACACCGCGGATGCTCGCGACAAGGGTGTTCGAGCATTGCGATGCGCAAGCGTTGCTCGCCGGAATCAATCACGCCCGATCCTCGGCGACGTCGAGCGTGGGGGCTTCGATCGGGGATCGCGTCCGTGACGAGGAGAATGTGTGGTGAAGGTGCCCATAGCACGCCACCAGCTTCCCCCCCCCCCCCCCGCCCCTCTATCAGTACGTATGGCTGCCCGAGCCCTCTGGAGATGCACGGTCTCCGTCCCTTCACACAGGCTCGATCACGTACAGCCCAGCTGCCTGCGAAGAAACGTAGGGCTATCCAAAATTCAATGTGCATTATTCCATTCACCATCACTGGTATACCAACCCATCCGTCAACGACCCATCCTTGCCCATCAATTTTACAAGGACCTGCTGCAAGACAGCTCAACGGACATCACCCCTCATGCCTCCCGCGATGCTGGTCGTTGGCGCTCAAGCGCGTCTGGATGGCGCCTGCGTGGCTTTTGCGGAGATGGCATCGAACAAACGGCTGCAACTCCCGGGCTGACTCAATCGCCCTGTCTATGCGCTTCTGGGAAAATGTCGCCGACGTCGACCCCTCTATTTGCGGGTGCTCTCAGTATCCTGTGGCCTGGATTCACGCCCTCTGCGCGCACCCGACGGCTTGCGATACACTGGGAAAGTTTAGATTCAACATCTTACAGCTATTCGGCAGGCATCACACAGTCTCGCTGCCCACATGCGCGTGGGTGCCGGCTTCGGATGGGAAAGGTAACCAGGATGGAGCATTGGAACTCACGGCTTGCGGGAGAGACCAGGAGGCGGCCGAACTCGGGTTGGGTTTGCTACAATGGTAATTCTGTGTGTCGTTCGGCTCCGTAGCGCGTACATCAGCACTGTATGTCGTAGTACGGGCACCCCGTATGTTCCTTAAGGGACCGCTCGGGTAATCCACTCCACTCCACTCCCATCCGCTTCCCCTGAAAACCACTTTTTGTACTTGTTTGTTCGGGAAAGCAGCCCTAATCTCGTGGGTTAGTCAGTGTTGCTCGCTCCGCCTTTCCCTCCCTCGCAAGCTCGGGGGGTCCCTTAGGCGTCGCTCGCAACCAGCAACTCTACTGGAAACAGAAAGCAAAGAATGGCCATAAGGTGCTCGAGTTGGTTTACGGCGCCTTTAGCTCGTGATATCCGCGCGTATCGAAGACACAACACCGTTAAATTCCCACTCTCGACAATGGATCTTCTCAACTGCCTGTCTCATTCGCATCGACGGAGGTCGTCCTGGCGGTTTTGCTTTCCGTCTTCCTAGCCTTGGCCCCTCGGTGGATTTGGAGATGCAACTAGAAACAGCCGCGAGGTACGTGCAAGTGCAGGTCACTGTATTTGGCTACCCGGCCGTCGGTTGACGCTCTTGGACTACTGCATCCTCGTCAAAGGTCAGCCTACTCATTGTCGCCGCAACCATCGACGAAGAGCTGACGACGCACTGTCTCCACTACTTCTCGGTGATCCTCGTTCCAGGGAATTTCCTTGTCTACGACGCTGGCATCATCTCAGCTCGGATAAAGAGGGTACTAGCGCTGGCGACTGAATGCCGGGAATGGGCCTATCGCCCACACGCGTGGCACTCCCGCCAAAGTCGTTGATTCGATGCACTGCCGGGGTTTCAGGTAAGTACAAGAATACAGGGCGTCGTAACTGATCAGCTTTCACTCTAGATTGTCGAGAGGCCAGAGATAAGTTCAGATCTTCGGCGACGGCCTCTTTCGCGTCTTTCGCGCCAACGACTTGAGCGACCACGCAGGCCACCACAGCACAAGTGAATTATCGTTCTCTATAGTGCACAGGGTACATTGTGCTGAACGTAGGTGAGATCTGCTGCTACATACCTCTCCATTGACAAGGATGAGCAGGATCATTGCGCAAGCCTCGGACAAAGCGTGACATCGAACGAGGTCGCTGCTATGTCGCAGCGCGATGGTCGACCCATCGGAACTTTAGCCGGATTGGACGTCGCAACGTTTGCGGGCCAAAATGTGAGCATTGTCTTCAGGTCATGTACTGAGCAACTCTTCAGCATCAGCCAGGAAGCGTCATGAGGAGCAAGCACACAAGCAGAGCGCAGGACTGGTGCTGGAGAGTTCAGCTTGCCAGGACGCGACGGAGAGATTAAGAAGTGATCAAGTCGCTTTCGCATCAGGTACTGACTGTCAAGGACATCTTGGCATGCCAGCGAAGGGCTGCTGTATATAGGACGGTAGAGAAGAGCTGCTACACAGAGACTTTGGCTCATGAAGGACGGGGTAGCCGATGGACGGACCCATACAGCGCGCCATGTTTGAGGGTTATGAAGGATCACGTTGGGGGTCGCGCGCGCTTTGTGCCTTCGACTTCAGGCCGCCGTCGACGTTGATGAACGACATGCGGAATGTGATCAGGGTGATGATGCAAAGACCGGCAACCGCCCACCGCGCCCGCACTATATAAGTACCCGCAGTGACGGGCGCGCGGTCCCTCCCTTCCACAGTCCACAACGGTCTTGACCTCGGTCACCGCACGCTCTTTTCCCGACACACTCCCTCAACGCTTACTGACGCCCACCGCCTCGCCAGACTATCCCCCCAGTCATCCCCCACATCCATCTCACTCACGACGACAATGATCGCTAGCACCCTTGCGCTTCTCTCGACTGCCCTGCTCGCCAGCGCGGGAGGCCTTAAGTCAACCGCCACGCAGACTCCTACTGAGGGGCAGGCCGGTGGCAACTGGACCCTCCAGGAGAGCGAGCACGGCTACAGCCTCGCGGGTTCGCAGCCCATCGACCTCACCATCTCCGCGACCGTTGAGGACGGCGAGCTGAAGATGCTCTGCCCCTACCAGCTCACCGCCGTCCTCATCCCCGCCGAGGGCGCCTCGTACACCGTCGAGTTCGTCAACGCGACCGACGGCCTGCCCGAGGGCACCGTCACCGGCGGGTGGAACACGACGGACGACCGCAGGGGCATCCCGGAGTACGACGAGACGTTCACGAAGGTCATCAACTCGGTGCGTGGATCTGTGCGAGTGGAGTCGGCGGCGATGCTGACCGTGTTCTAGATCGGGCCGGGCAGATTCGATCTCGCGCTGGGCGAAGGCCGCAACGAACTCACCTGGTTCAACCAGTCCGACACCGCGCGGGGCTTCACCGAGTGGTTCCTTGTTCTCGACAGCGCGCAGGACGTTGACTGCTGAATGTGCGTCTCCTTACTGTTCTTACCCTCGCAATTACTGACGGCCCGGAAGGTCAAGCGCCCTATGGGTGTGATATAACGGGCGATGCTGGTTATCTGCTTTAGGTTGTGTTTGCGTCGGACATCTGCCCTCCCCAGTGGACTTGCCTGTTTATACCTTTGGTTTACATATCTGTAATCCAACCTGTCTATTGGTCTGCTCCATGCTCGTCGGACGGCGATTTCATGGACACGGTGGACACGGATCGCTCGGACTGTTCAGAGCTGCGCTATTTGAGCCTCCAATTGATATCGTTGTGTTACCGCATCACTTGAGATGTTGCCGCATTCAGTCATGACTCTGCCAGCGAGATGTTGTAGGCGCCAGCTACAAGCCCTGAACGCCGTCGACAGGCTCAAGTCGATGAAGAAAAGTGGTGGGTCAGCCGTTTCTTCGCCTCGGAATGCCCTGCTGCGTCAAGGGCCGCATCGAAAAGGTTGGGTCAGAGCCGAGATGAGGGCGGAGCCAAGAACAAAAGAATTTCCAAGTGGGGAAAAGGCGCGTCGGCCGCGCGCATCGAAATTCGGGACATCGTTCGATGCAGTTGCCCCCCACTTTCTCTCCGCCACCATCGGCATAAAAGCACGCCGCTTCTCTTCCCCATCCCATACCACCAATCACCTTCCCCTGCCCGCCATGTCGAAGCAAGAACTCCGCGAAAAATTCAACGATGTCTACAAGCTTATTCGCGAGGAGCTTGTTGCGCACATCCGCGCGCAGGGCATGCCCGAGGACGCGGTGGAGTGGTACGCGCGGAACCTGGACTACAACACGCCGGGGGGCAAGCTCAATCGCGGGCTGAGCGTCGTCGATTCGACGAAGATCCTGCTCGGCGACAAGTTCACGGAGGAGCACTACAAGCAGGCGGCGATCCTGGGATGGTGCGTCGAGCTCCTGCAGGCGTTCTTCCTCGTGTCGGACGACATCATGGACTCGTCGATCACGCGGCGCGGGCAGCCGTGCTGGTACCGCACGCCGAACGTGGGGATGATTGCGATCAACGATGCGTTCATGCTCGAGGCGGCGATCTACCACTTGTTGAAGGTGCGTGGCGCGAAGGCGCACTAGTTGCATACTTACGGGCCGCAGGTACACTTCAAGTCGCAGGCGTACTATGTCGAGCTACTCGAGCTCTTCCACGAGACGACGCACCAGACGGAGATGGGCCAGCTCATCGACCTGATCACCGCGCCCGAGGATCACGTCGACCTCAACCGGTTCTCCCTGAAGAAGTGCGTGGCGCGAGTTCCCATCGACGATACCCACTGACCTCGTCCCCGCAGGCACGCGCTCATCGTCCAGTACAAGACTTCCTACTACTCTTTCTACCTCCCCGTCGCGCTCGCATTCCACCTCTGCGGTATCACGTCGCCCAAAGCGTTCGAGACCGCGCTCGAGATCCTCCTCCCCCTCGGCGAGTACTTCCAGATCCAGGACGACTACCTCGACTACCACGCGCCGCCTGAGGTGCTCGGCAAGGTCGGTACCGACATCCTCGACAACAAGTGCTCGTGGTGCATCAACAAGGCGCTCGAGATTGCCACGCCCGCGCAGCGCGCGATTCTGGACGCGAACTACGGGCGGAAGGACGCCGAATGCGAGCGCAAGGTCAAGGCGGTGTACGAGGAGATCGGGCTGCCAAAGATCTACCAGCAGTACGAGGCGGACGTGACGAGCAAGATCAGGAAGGCCATTGATGGGATTGACGAGCGCACGCAGGGCAAGAAGGAGGTGTACCTCAGCTTCTTGTCGAAGATTGAGGGCCGGACGAAGTAGTCGGACCTCTGGTGGCGTGGATTCGGATCTGTTGGGAAGCTAGCTAATGATAATCTACTCACGAATATAGACAGGATAGTATTCTGACTGTGTATCCTTGGCACTCTTGCTCTTCAAATCGCGTACCGGTCGAGTTCGCTGAAGTTCATTAGAATTCAAAGAAGAGATCTCCCCCAATTGGGGGGTTGAGTCCATCAGCATCATCTCAGATGGCGAAGCTCAGGCTGGGAAGGAAGCACGAATCAGTGTTGAGCTCTACCTGATGTACCTATTGACTGTGGGTCCATGGCGGGATGTTCGGTCCGCGCACGTGGTCTGCACAGTACCGCATTGCGCCGCCGGCGTCCGTCTCGTTCTCTTCCCACCACCATCATGATGTCGTGCTCGTCCTCCGAATTCTCTTTCGCGCAACCAATGCCGGCAGCAAAGGCGGAGAGGCTTACAAAATCCCATCCTTGCTCGCTGAACACCACAATCTTGGAATGACCACCTTTGGAGCGCCCGCATCCAACTCCTTTCCGAATACGCACAGGACTCGCAGTAGACGACTGGTGGAAATATCAGGCCAGGGCGCTCGAGCCGCTCTGCCAACGCCACCGCTCGCAGGGGATGGCTCTGCGGAAGCCCCGCGGATTCGGAATACAATGGCATCACGTGTGATGGAACAATAATCGCGACTCGATCACTCACGAATTCCCCCCTTCATAATTGGCCGCTATGCACTCTGGTCTCCCATCTTCCCCACCCCTCTCACTTCGCCCACCATGGGATTCCCGAAACCTCAGGGCGGCGCATCGCTGATGCTCACGTTCAAGCTTGCCAACAAGACGGTTCTGATCGTAGGGGGCGGCACCGTAGCTGCGACCCGTGCGTTCGCAGCGCTCGAGGCGGACTCGTCGGTCGTAGTGGTGGTGAAAGGGGGGAAGGATGCAGCATGCGAGGAACTCAAGTGGCGTGCCGATGAGCGCCAGATCACTCTCCTCGACTGGGACAAGCTCCCCACCAGCTCGACCAGTGAGAACGACGTGCAGGCGCTCGATGCCTACCTGGCTTCCCTCCCCTCCGTCTCCTTCGTCTGCGTCACGGACACCGTCCTCGGGTACTCGCAGCGCTCTAGAGCGTCCGCTGAGCAGATCTACAACGTCTGCCGCGCTCGCAACATTCCTGTCAACACCACCGATATCCCCCAGCTCTGCGACTTCTCCTTCACCGCCACCCATCGCTTCGAGCACCACGAAACAGGCCAGCGCTCCCCCATCCAGATTGGCGTCACCACGAATGGACAAGGCTGCCGACTGGCTGGCCGCGTCAAGCGCGACATCATCGCGAGCATCCCAAAGGAGATCGGCGCCGCGGTGGAGAAGGTTGGCTACATGCGAAGCACCGTCAAGGATGACCTCCCCGAGGAAGACGAGCACGCATGCGAGGACGGCAGTACCTCAACGCCGAACCGTCCTGTCCCTCAGCGTATGCCCTCCGATCCAGAGACGCCCGCCGAGCAGGCGCGTCGGCGCATGAAGTGGGTGGCGCAGGTCAGCGAGTACTGGCCGATCCACAAGCTCGCAGCGATGACGGCACAGGACATGGCAGCCGTCCTTTCCGGTGACTCCCTTACCGTACCACAGACACCACCCACCGAGCCCACCCTTCACACTCTTGACGAACCCGAACGTAAGGGCCGCATCCTCCTCGTCGGATCCGGCCCAGGCCATCCCTCCTTGCTCACCGTCGCCACGCGTGACGCGCTCACCACTCATGCCGACCTTGTCCTCTCCGACAAGCTCGTGCCCGCGGCCGTCCTCGAGCTCATCCCCCCGAACGTCGAGGTGCGCATCGCGCGCAAGTTCCCGGGCAACAACGACGGCGCGCAGAACGAGATGATGGAGCAGGCCGTCGAGGCTGCGCGCGCAGGCCGCACCGTCGTGCGCCTCAAACAGGGCGATCCTGTCGTGTATGGCCGCGCAGGCGAGGAGGTCCTCTACTTCCGCGAGCACGGCTTCGAGCCGGTCGTCATCCCGGGTGTCTCCTCCGCGCTCGCGGGGCCGACCTTCGCGGGCGTGCCGGTCACGCAGCGCGGCGTGGCCGAGTCGCTGATGGTGTGCACGGGCGTGGGGCGGAAGGGGCGGGATGTGCAGCTGCCGGGGTACGAGCGCGCGCGGACGACGGTCATCCTCATGGGCGTCGCGCGCCTGCCGCAGGTCGTCGCGGCGCTGACGGATCCCGCGGAGACCACGCGGCGCGCTGGCCCGGCCTACCCGCTACATACGCCCATCGCCATCGTCGAGCGCGCCTCGATGCCGGACCAGCGCGTCGTGTACTCGACGTTGAAGGATATCGTGCTCGCGATGGAGAGCTCGGGCGAGCAGCGGCCGCCGGGCATGATCGTGCTTGGATGGGCCGTGTTGGCGCTCTGGGAGAAGGGCGACGTGCAGGTGCTCGAGGAAGGCGGCGAAAAGAATGACGAGGAGCGTGTCAAGCGCTGGCTTGGGAAAGATGCAGGGTGGAGAGTGCGTGAAGGGTTAGATGCGCAGTGGGCGGGATTGTAGATGTAATATCTCATAGATGTCTGGATTTGCTGCTGCTTTGTATCGTCGTTTGTGTTGTACTGATCAATTATATATGCTCGTGGCTGCTCCTCACCTGACTTCGTTCACGTCTTGCGACCCTGAATTGCGACCTGCTCCGGCAACCGTATGTATCCGCACTGTCAGATACAACATAACACCGGGTTGGAGGGGACCGTCCGCATCAGGCCCTTCGTTCCTGGCTACGCATCCCACACCGTAAACAATGAATCATGGGATGCACTCGCACACCTCGTTTGGTTAGTCTCCATCTCTGCACGTCGTGCTACGGGCACGAAACCTGATGCACAAGTCTCGTGCGTCCTCTGCAACTCATCCGTACCTTCATTGACTATACGATGTCATTAGTCCGGTTGTAGCGCTCGGGAGTGGATGGTATATAAAGGCGGGGTAGCGTCGCCGTGCTCACGTCCCCCGCCTTGTTGCAGCTAGCAAGAGGTGAAGGATGACAGGCTTACCAAGTCCTGCAACAACGGCGCTCTGGAGTCTGGCGATTGTCTTGCAGGTTCTTCTCCTCGTACGAGCTCAAGATCTGAACGCGCTGCGCGAAGCGCTTGCTCAAGCTGGCGTGCAAGCCGTCTTTCCGGGAGACGAGACGTACGCGAATGCTAGCGCGGCGTGTAAGCGGTTTCCATCGTCAATGCGCTTGATATTCCGCTAAACCTCCCTCAGACAATACGCGCTACACCATCTACCCGGTCGCGGTCACCTACCCATCGACCTCCGAGCAAGTCAGCGCCGTGGTCTCCGCAGGCGCCGCGCAAGGTCTCGATGTCACCACTCGGAGCGGCGGACATAGCTACGTCGCCGGAGGCCTCGGCGGCAAGAACGGATCCCTCGTTGTCGACCTAGGCAGCTTCAAGTCCATCGAGGTTGACGAGGAGACGGATACGGTGACAGTTGGCCCAGGAGCGCGACTCGGGGACGTGGCGCGAATCCTGAACGACTACGGGCGTGCGCTTCCGCATGGGCGGTGTACGACTGTCGGGTGAGCATTCGCCGACGTGGGTCAAGATGAGAGCTTACCAACACTTCGCAGTGTCGGAGGACATGCCAGTAAGCGGATGCGAGATTGCATTCGAGCTGCGCTGATATGTAGTCAGCTGGCGGCGGTTGGGGGCATCACTCTCGGATGTGGGGCCTCTTGCTCGACCGCGCCGTTGCAGAAACCGTGGTCCTCAGCAATGGCAGCATAGTGACCGCGTCCGAGGAAGATAACGCTGACCTCTTCTGGGTGAGAAGCACCCAGGAGAGTCCCTCTCACCGCTGATGTTGACGACAGGGTCTTCGCGGAGCTGGCGCATCCCTCGGCATCGTGACGTCCTTCGTCTTCGCCACCGAGCCTGTCCCGCCGCTAGGTGGCACCACATTCCAGTACAACTGGAACATGACCGCAGCGGAAGCCGCCGCCTCCCTTTCCACGTTCCAGGACTTCGTTCAGAGCGGCATTCCCGCCACCCTCGGCGGCGAACTCATCCTATCCAAGGGCACCGTCCCCGGCAACATCGGCGTACAGTTCATGGGCGTACACTGGGACGATCCGGCCACTTTCAACGACACCATCGCACCGTATATGAGCCTCTTTCGGCAGCCCGATAGCTCGAATGTGACGTCGGGCGACTGGATTACGGTGCTGGCAGCGTGGGCGTTCGGAAATTTGGACACGAGCACGATGGCCCCATACAGCGACGCGTTCTACGCGAAATCGCTTCTGACGCCTGAGAGGGAGGGAATAAGCGGGAAAGCTATCGATGCGTTCGTCAACTACCTTGCGACGGATGGTTTCGATTCGGACGTGGTCAGTGTCTTCGGCGTTGGTGAACTGGGGAGATCGACTGACCATTCTGTGCAGACCTGGTTCGCCGAGATTGAGCTGTATGGAGGAAGTAACTCTGCGCTCAACGCCGTTCCCTTGGACAAGACCGCATTCGCCCATCGCGACAAGCTGTTCAACATGCAATTATACGCGACTACTGTCAGCTGGGAACCTCCCTTCTCAGAAGACGGACTCGCTTTTGTCGATGGTCAGTCAACTTGGTTCTTGATGAGAGAAGTTACTCACCTGGTTCCTTTGAAACGACAGGAATGGCGAATAGCATCATTCAGAATGAGGCGGCAGTGGCCTTACGGCGCATATGTGAACTACCCCGATGACAGATTGGACAATTGTAAGTGCACACGATTGCAGGACCTACTTCTCATTGACGTCTTCGATAGGGCAGGAGCTCTTCTACGGTGATCACTACGAGAGGCTTACTGAGTTGAAACGTACCTATGACCCGCAGAACGTCTTCAACTTCCCTCATTCTGTAGAACTCAGCAGCTGATGATATAATAGTATATTGAGAGTCTGTATGCATCCGCGAGGTAACCGATGCTCTTCATGGACCATCATGATGAAAGAAGGAGACAAGGAGCGCGCATACTTTGTGGCGTCGCCGCCATTGTTTTCAGCAAAGCCGCGGCGTCCGCGGCATCAATCAATAATTCCCCGATCAATAGCTTCGGCGCCATCTCCTCCCCTACCACCATGTTCCAACTATCCATCATTAAGGACACCGTACCAATACACCCCTCCGACTTCGGTGTCCCCGCACAAGAAGCGATTATAACAGAACTAAACAAGAAGTATGCGAATCGCGTACTGCATAATGTCGGGCTGGGGATCTGCGTGTTTGACCTGAGCCAGGCGAGCGAGGGGAAGGTGCGGTATGGGGATGGAATGCTATGGTATAAGGGTGAGCTTGGGTGGACTGGGTGGATGTATCTCATGCGTACTGAATGCAGATGTGTAGTTGTGTTTCGGCTGGTCGTCTTTAGGCCGTTTACTTCAGAGGTCGTCCTCGGCAAGGTCAAGTCTTCGGATGAGGATGGGATACGAGGTGTGTAGTTTTTGTACGTCATTCTTGAATGATACTTACGCGCTGTAGTGAGCTTGAACTTCTTCGACGATGTATACATCCCCGCCATGTACCTGCCACAACCATCCGCATTCGACCCCAACGAACGCGCGCACTTCTGGCTGCCAAATCCCCCAGAAAATCCATCAGGTCCGTCTCCATACTCACACACACTCTCTACTCCACACTCCATCCCTTCTACTCCTCGCTCAATCCCCCCTCCCCCCTACCTACCCTGCCTCCTCTTCTCCTCTCCCACCCATCACTCACCCCACTCCACAGAAACCGAACCACTCTCAGTCCACGTCCTCCTCGACACCCCCACCGACACGCGCATGTACATCGACGCCGGCGAGGTCATCCGCATGCGCGTTGAAGCAGACGAGTTCTACGACGACGAGCCGGGGCCGGTGCAGAAGCCCGAGATCAACGGCCCCGTGAAGGCGGCGCCGACAAGTGAGAATAAGAGGCCGCCGTATACGATTATTGTGAGTACACTTTTGAGTTGCACTTGCTCGGGAAGACATGGGACGTTCGGCGTGGATGTGTGGCGCCCGGCAGGCTGCGTCTAACTGCGAGACGTTGCACTCAGTTGCGAGACGCGGTGCCCTCGAATTGCGCGACGTATTGGCTGACTTTCATCCGTAGTGCTCGATAGGCGAACAGGGGCTGGGCCCGACAGCGTGGTGGAATGCAGAACAAGAAGCTGAAGATGGGATGGAGGAAGGCTGAAGCCAGCGCAATATGGCTCAATCTACGGTACTAGAGGAAGCTCCGGCTACGCCGGCTTCAACCTTGCCTTGAGGCTGCGACCGTGGGCTGGGCTTGGGCACTGGACTCTCGTTGTGCGCGTGTGGCGCGCGTGACTTTAGATTTGTTGTCCAGAGCACCGTTCAAATTGATGGGGTCAACGAAGGGCGGGAGAGACCTTGCAACAGCAGTCGATTGTGCCCAGGTAGTCAGACGCTGCATGGTCGCGATCGTGTGCTCTAATCAACGGTGATTGGACAATATGTAAGGCCTGGAAACATATACTTCTGAAGCACAGAGGGGAGCTAGAAGTATACGAGTCCAGTCACGGAGGTATTAACGGATGAAGTTGCATTGCAGGGTCGTTTGCGTCTTTGTCTTCGAAGTGTTGCATTTGCGCATAAAACATCCCTCTTCCAGTTGTAATTCAGTATCTGAGGGAGGGAGACGTGGATACAAAGGCCATTAAGTGAGTATGTGTGAATTACATCGCTGATGGAGGAAGAGGGAGGGGCAGAGCTTGTGATGGCTGGTCAGCACAGCGATCAAAATGGTTTGATCGATCACCCACGAATAAGCGCTCGTTGTCTCCTGCGTTCACCACGCCCTTGCTGTTCGTTGCTCTCTCCTCTTCCATGCATCGTAGACGCAATGTAGGCTATCTGCGGGGCCGGCTACGGTCAAGGCTGGATGGGTTCTGGCATGGGTTCATGGCGGTTGGTCGGCGGAGGAGGTGCGTGATCGAATATAGTACGTCCGCGCTTGATGTGCTCACCCTCCGTCCTCCAGATCCATCTCTCCTTGTTTCATGCGACCATCAACAAACATCAACGCATGCACAGCTTCCATCTGACGGTCCGAAGCATCATAAAAGCAGAGAATCTTGCCTTCCTTCACCCATCCCATCCCCCCACCGACATCGACATCGACACGGGCGACCTCGACTTCGACGGGGCGACGAATGCGACCAGCAAGTATGGAGTGCGAGGGGCGTGTCGACTGTGGGGGCCGGGCTCGTCGTCATCCCCCATTAGAGCGACGGTAAAGGGAGCGACGATCAGCAGGCGGACCACATTCGCGCGACTTGCTCGTATTTCCTGCGCGCCACCTCACGTGCACAACGTGGTAAGCTTTCTCTTCCACTCGCCATTGTGCATGTACTAACTGCTTTACATTGCCGCGCCACCTGTTGCGCTTCGGGCCAATCGTCGACGCAGGCCATCGACAGCCCCATCGCCGACGACCTGGACGACGGACGAATCCGACTGGGGCTACGACATCGACGAGCGACTTCGGCTTCGATTGCGACATGAGGAGTATGAGCGGAACCTCACCCCGCAGTGGCCGGGTACGCTTTCTCACCTCCATCGGTGGGGGCGGACGGACGATTCGGGCTCTGTTTCGTTCTGGACCTCCGACTACGACTTGCGGCATCGACCCCGGCTTCAGATTTACATTGGGCGCGCGGGCGCTCGGCGGTGTGGTGGCTCGGCCGGGAGCCCGTGCGCGTTCGACTCGCGGCCATATCTTCTTCTTTTCGTTATCTTAGTATTTCGGATGCCATTGTATTACTAGAGGAAGCCCCGGCTTCGCCGGCTGCACACCTTGCTTGAATCTCGCGCGTGAGCCTGAATCCTACTCTCGTCGTCTGGGCCGTACTAAATTGTGGACGAAGGTGTTTGTGCGCTGGCCGTCGATGTCGCCTTGCAAGCAAGGTGACCATAGGAGCTGTTCACTAGGTGTTTGCCGTCACCTTGCACGAAAAGGGTCGTCTTCATCCCATTTGTTACTTACACGACCGTGCGCAACGCTCCGAAACGGGCCGCACACGAGCAGCGCATTCACCTGAGAATGGGCAATCCTTGTTTGCCAAACAAAGCCTTCCCAATTTGGCAAGTATTGGGCCAGGTACATATCACAGAACGGCATATACACAGTCTTGACCTGTGTGGGCTCAGACGGTATCGACGCATCCGCACCAAGATTGAAGATGGCTTAGCATCTATTCAAAAGGTGCTACTCTGTCCCAATAGGATTAGTGTACGGCTCTATGCTACACGCAAGCATGCGATGGCAGGCCCTTGGACAGTCAAGTATTTGTCCGGTCTCTCCATCTTGACCTGGCACGCCAAAAAGCACGCAAAAAGGTTTTCGAAGGGCGCCCGAGGGGCAAACAGCGCATCCTTTGCGGGCGAGCGAAGAACAACAGAGGATATTGGGACGTCTACTCGATCACGCCCAAGTGGTCTTCCTTTATTGTGCCAATCGCGAACTGGGGGAGACGTCAGCTTTATTTTGAGGGCTATGAGGGGGAAGACGCACGATTTCCGTAGCGTCAACACGCGTGCCGACGATCTTTAACCGGACCTTCGTGTTCTTCTCGATGATCTACGGACGGCGTAAGGGGAGCGACGACATGGCGGGTTCATAGGAGGGAGAGCAGTGGGTTTGGTGCGCGACAGATACTCACTGCATCTTCAGAAGCGAAGGATGGTGGATTGGAGTTAGGGTCGAACTTCATGTCCGGGTGGATGAGCTGCACGGCATCCGTTAGCAGGTACAACAGGGGAAACATGCCTCGACGCGAACCTGATGTGACACGAACACCGTCAACGGTCCAACGTCCGCGAAGAATCCCATCTGCCCGCATCATGTCAGCTGCATCGCACGGCAGCCTCGAGCAGCACGGCATGCCTTCGTGACATTGTTGACCACGCCATCCACGACCTCTCCCTTAAACGGCTTGAACACAATGGCCCGATACCGCGTGATGAACTCAGCCTGGGGAATGAAACGCCATGAACAAGGGTGCCATGAACAACAAGCGCTGCCACGCACCTGCCCGCTGCCGCTCATGACCATGCCCTTCCCGATGTCGAGGATGCTGACGACCGCAATGATGTAGCCAAAGCGACCGGAGCAGGTCCCCTCGACGTCCGCGTAGAGCTTCGCCTCCAGGAAGCTCGTCATCTGCGGCCCAAAGAACGAGGGGTGCAAGAGGATCGAGTGCGTGAGTTCTTTCTATGTGGGGCGCGTCGTTGTGGGCCAAAAGTTCGACAAGAGATGGGGGAAGGGTCCTTCAGCGCTCGATCGCGCTCGAGCGCGCGCGACACTCACAATGAAGAACATGTTGACGCGACTCCCTCAACCAACCGTGTGCAGAAAACGTGTGGGATCCTGCCCTGAGGCTGCTGATACTGCTCCTCAAGGGGGCGCTCAGCAAGGGGATGATATGAGAGGACCTGGGCGGTCGTGCAGGCGACAGGACGCGTCGTCGCCGTTGAACGTGATGGCAGAAAGCAAGCCCATTTTTGGATTGCCTAATGGGTCTTATCCCTTGTGCGTTCGGTGACAGGCGGGCCATCATTCAGTCACGGTCGTTTCGTCACGCGCCTCACTCTTGTCTTTGTCCATCACGGTCCATGGGTCGTATCTAGCAATGAAATATGTCTCTCTGAGGAGACTTGACTGACCTCAGCTGAAAGCACGGCTCTGATGAAGCTTTTGTACCAGGCCACACCCTATGCCGCGTGCCACGCCAAAAACAGGTGGCGTCGCGCGCAGTTCATGAATGTTGGCCAATGTGTCGATCACAGTCACAAAACGCTGGCCCAACCATGTATAAAATGAAAGTAAGCGCCCTGCCTCTTACACTCATCACCCAGCCACTCTTGAACTCAGCCACCCTCGCCGGCCCTCACCAATGACCGTGCCGTCAAAGACTCCGGGGCGTCGTCATCGGAACAGATATAGGAGGACGTCCAGGATAATCAATTCCAACTCATCGGAGTCCAGTTCCCTAGAACACGCCCCGCCACCGTCAACCTACGAAAGCCACCCGACCAGGCTACTATTTTGGGGGCCACACCATAACCATGTTCTACGGTGGACGCAGGGCCCGGGCAGCACCCTTAGCACGCTCATCCTCCGCAACTTGATGGTCAACTTCAGCGATCACGACCGAAAGGGGCTCTACCGCACGAAGGTCGGCGCGCTGAATCTGCAGGCCGACGCTGGGCCCTTTCTGACCTCAGATCCGGGGCACGAGGAAGAGGACCCGCACAGGTGGGCGCCCGCGCGGTTAGCGGCCATGGTCAACTGGCTCCTCGACCGTCGCTGCGCCTACGACGTTACTCGGGCGCAGCGTCTCATAGTCAGGTGCTGTGGAATCCAACCGCCCCCTTCTGGTGACGCACCGGGCACCGACGCCCTCAAAAGGTTGCTCTTGCACATGTCAAAATCACTCACCTTCGTCGAGCTCGCTTCGCCATGGCTCACATCAAATGGAACGCTGGCTGCGAATCCTCTTGTCCTGGCGGAGAACCTGACGCAAGTCTTCATCAAGTTCGAGCGGGCAATTGACAAGTGCTTCGTCCCAATCGCCCTCGAGCACCTCATCGGCGACATCCAGTCCTCCGTTCCTCTGCGGGGCCTCGACGTCGAGCTCACCGTGCCAACCTACGCTGAGGATGCTCACGTCGCCGCTCGCTGGATGGCCGTTGACAAAATTCTCGCTGAGAAGATAGCGGACGGCCTGCTTCCGCAATCTCAGAAGCTTCGCCTCTGGGTCCGCGCCGCGAAGGGTGGACAACAAGTCGTCAAGTCAAGCATGCACCGGTTGCGCGAGCTAGGACGCGTCGAGGTCCTGCGTGCTACGAAATTTAGCCTGGGCTCGTCTGCGAGAATCGACGTCGATGGCTTCATTTACACCTACAAAATGGATACCTGTTCAGCGTGATTCGCGATTTGGGACACGCGCATATCATATGAACACCGTTATAGAGCATCTACCATACGCTATATCGAATTGTACCTAATTTTTATGCCCCCTCGTTTGCTCAGACCTTCAATCTTCATTGGCTCGCAGTCGGGCAACGCTCAATAATGTGAAAGGACTCGGTCTGAAGCTATCTGAAGTCGTGAAAGCGTCTAGTGGGTTCTCGGCAAGTGCCGAACTGGTTTGCCTCTGGACCACCATCACTCGCGCGCACTCTCGCTCTGTGAAAGATCCCTCTACTATGTCTCTGGCCGTCCACATTTACGTGACTGACGATTATGTTCGAATGCCAGAGCGATTGGTATGCCACATAGCTGGTCCTGCCCGACAAAATTCCAAAAGCATGAGCATGAGTCGCTTTTTAGTGCAGGTCACCGAGCCAAGGCCTAAACCATTTGCCCGATGTTCTCAAGGTGAAGTGGCTCCTGTACCACAGCGCCGTACTGCCGTCAGTCTCTGAGCTGATTCGTCAAACCGCCCTGGACCCACAGTAAATGAGGGTGGAATATACTGAGGTGTGTACCGTCGATCTCTGTCAGTTTCCTCCCAGGACACAATTTATGGATCCACAGAACGTCGCACAGGAACGAGAACAATAGGCACGCCGTATTGCTTTCTACGTCCTTCTATCATGCCCTATCACAAGGCTTCAACGCTTCTCAACGCTTCCTCGCAAGCGCCCTCGAGCGCCTACAGCACCCCGCCAATAGCAAGCCCTCGCCGTGACATACGCGGCCAGCCGCGAAGCGCCAATTTTGGGGCGGGCCTAGTCGTCGCCCGCCGCAGCGAAGCGCCCTCCGAGTTCCTCGGCCCCGCCGATGACGCGTCCGCGCGACGACCGTGACCTGCACGAGGCGCCCGCGCACATGCGGCTAGAGCTTCATAACGGACTATCTCACACTTCGACCGCCACCACGACATACCCTCCGCCCAACGTCTGCCGTGCCGAGAAACGCACCGTAACTTGAACGCGACCGCCATCTTCACCATCCATCGATTGCTATCGACCACCATCGCGATGAATCCAGCGACGAGTAGCCAGGAGCTGGATACGCTGATACCATGCTTTGGGGAAACTGAGGGTACGTACGATGGGGCGGTGCGCGATACCGGGAGCTTATACGTCCTGGTAGAGGAGGATCTACTTCCTCTGGACCTCATCAGCCTCGATAGAATGCGACGCCCCAGCCACCGTGCGAGGCAAATTGATTTGGAAATCGAGCAAGAAACACCAGTGATGGGCTTGGGTCTCCTGGGAGTCGAGGAGCGACATACGCTCGATCCACTCCCCTGCGACCCGGTCATGAGCCTCACATCCACGATGGCGACAGTGACCATCGAGAGCAGGGGACAAGTTGACTGGGGTGCGCCTTTCATCTTTAGCGTTTCGCACACCTTTAGTGCTGACGCAGCTACAGCGAGCGGCTCAGGCAAGCACCGCGCATCCAAGCAGCGGCGCCACCACCGACGGCTATCGCGCTCTCACCCCTACTCCCCCGAACGCCCTCTCGCAAAACCCCTTCTCACCAACCTGCCGCCAATAGAAGGCCTTCTGGCCGGAGAAGACGACCTTGCGGCCGCGCCACTGAGCCCGCTAGTGCTTCCCGCCACCTGGCCGTCCCCCATCGGCTCCTGCCGCTCATCCGCGAGGCCTGGCTCCGCCTCGCGCAGCACGTCCATCGCGCGCTCGCGCTACTCGAGCTCGTCGCCCGCGCGCAGCGTGCTCGCTCACGCGCCCATGGTCCTCCCCGAGGAGCCATGCCAGGCGTCATGGGCCGTACCAGGCTGATGCCTCAACGCCCCCATGAGGCTTCGAGCTTCATACGCAGCAGCAGCTGACGCACTTCTGACGCACTCGGCCTCCTCGAGGCGCCTCGATACCCCTCGATAGCAAGTTTGCTGACCTTCTTCTCCACCATCTGTATCATCTAGTCTTGTTTTCGGCATGGGCCTCAGGCTGTGGATCGCTTCGTTATGTATTGCTTTGCGTGCCAGATTGTACTACCTACCGTCTCGTCGTTGTGCTTTGTAAGTATGGATTCTGTCCTAGTGTGTTCCAACTTCCAAGTACTGTAGTTTGGCCCTCAAATCGGCCCTGTCGGGGAGCTCTGTAATGTTTGCTTTACGAGGCCGGTTAGCTCAGTTGGTTAGAGCGTGGTGCTAATAACGCCAAGGTCGCGGGTTCGACCCCCGTACGGGCCACTGGGAAGCTCCGTTCCAATACCACTTTTTCTTACTCATATCCCCCTTACTACAACAAACATCGTTGCCATGCTTGATAAGGTGCAGCTGTGGGCATACGTGCAGCTTGCTTGCACCGAGTTCCTTGCGCCTTCGAGCAACAAGAATTCGTGAAAGCGATGCAGGTGCAACTCGATACACCTAGCGATTACAGGACTGCCCTAATCCATATCCTACGAAGGGGATAAATACAGCGATAGCGTTAGCATGAAGCAGTCAATCGAGTTGTTTTTATAGCAGTCACAATGCGATGGTACATATGTCACCCACCAATCCTACTTGCAAGCCTCTCCTGGCTCTCAGACCTTGCCGCACATGGCTCCCACACTGAGCCTCACATAGCTCTAGTCCTCGTCCTCAAATCTCAATATCTGTGCGTCTTCATCGATCGGCACATTTCTGTATCCTCTTCTTGACCGGTAGCCGTCGAAGAAGCCCTCCACGCGGCTGGCAGCCCATTCGTACGCGATGCCGGTTATGCCGATGATGAACCATGGTACGCTGGCCAGGGTGTCGAGCACTGATGAGTCGTTCCCGAACGACGGCGCACTCAGCCCACGTCCGTCGCCCGGTAAGCGAATGGTTCTGAAGGAAAGATCAGTCAAGCTGTGCGGATGGTAGGTACAGTCGACGTACCCTCTCATCATCCCGCTGCGCTTGTAGAACCAGTACGCAATCAGTGCGGTGAAGGCGAATGGGAGGACGATGATCGACATCCAGAACAACGCTCCGTGAGCGCGGAAGCCAGGGCATATATGCCTGAGCCCACGGTCTGGCCGCTCGCCGCCTTCACAGGAGCTGGAGGAATCGTAAGCTACGGGGATATCGCCGAAGAAAGTTGACAAATTACCTGTAAGGGATCTTGCGATAGGCCGTGCGTTCGTACCAATACTCGTCGCCAGCACGGCAAACGCTATCATCATCCGGCAGCGGCTGCGTGCCAGGGACCAGGACACACTCGCCTGCGTCGTTGCGCATGTAGTTGAACTCACTACACCATAATCAGCATTACCGACACCGCTGTAAATGCATGCAACGTACCACTCGAAGTCGCTAGCAGTGCACAAACAATTCTTTTGGACACGCTCCTCCGCCTTGGGTTGCTTGCCCACGACGCAGTTCGTGTCGCGCACGCGTCGGTGGTACAGGGTCTGCGCAACAGGTCAGTCGCGTCTCCACAATTCAGCACAGTCGAAATCACTTGACGGCCGAAGAGGCATCGCTCCGTGCGCTCCTCGCTGGGGCTCCAGAGCTCAAAGTCGTCGTGGCCAGGATCCTCGATGCTCAGTACGCCTGAACGATGCAGTCAATAACATGATTCCCGTTTGACCAGACTACACTCACATTGCTTCTTTGTCAGCGCCGAAAAGTCCAGATGAATAGCGTAGCTGTTCGTCTCGCGCGGGCCATGGGCGATGAGGATGAACCGCCGGCTCGTATCGCTCGGTACGGTGACGATCTGCCGCACGCGCAGCTTCCCGCCTTCGACAAACTTGTACTCGCGCCAGGACTTGCCCTCGTTAGTGGAGAACAGGACATGATCTGTCGGCTCCTCGTCGTTCGCCATGACAAGGACGCTGCCGGAGTCGCCGAATTCCCAGAGGTGGGCGTCCTGAAGGGCGTCAGTACTAATACAAAGGGGTTCGGAAGAGTGCAAGAACCTTGTGCACCTCCTCCCAGGTGAAGCCCGCATCGCGGCTGAGGAAGGTGTCCGACTCCGTGTACGGCAGCAGATGCTCGCCGACGTTGCCAACAGCCATGAGCAATCCGACGATGGATGGCGAGGAGTATGTCGCACGCGGGTCGAGACGCTCGGTGTACCCGTGGATGTGCAACGCGCAGTTCTACTCGTGCATTGTCAGGACCACTCCGCGAATTAGGGCAAAAAGTCTGCGCACTGTACTCTGGCACTCGTACTTGTTGCCGAAAGAGTCAACAGGTGGTGGGTTGAGAGGCTTCCATGTTCCACCGTCGTTATGAGTGATGCGCGACTGCAGCGCTTTGTGACCTGTCAAGACCGCCTCGTCCGCGTTGCCGACAATGTTGATGAGCGCAATGCCGTCCAGTCCGATCATCTGGGAGCAACACATTAGGACTCAACAGAACTCGAAGAGTACGCCGACAACTCGCCTTCTCGAAGTCCACATAACCCCTCTCATCGCGGTTAACATGCTCTGCGCTGACACCGAAGTATGTTCCGTTCGAGTTGCTCTTCAGGATGTTGCCCCAGTATGGACTGGGTGGCTCGGACATTGTCATATGCAGAAACAGCGAGTTAGTGGATGACTCGAGGACGGTGTAGGCCTGTAAGCGATCAGCGTCACCGTCATGATACCACTAGACGACTTCTCACATGCGTCTCCGGATGCATGCTCGGCGGGAAGCGACCCTCGGCGAAGTTCGCGCCGTCAAGCGACACTTGCAGCTGCAAGGAGCGCGACTTGGGATCCATGGCAGCGACGACGAGGTATTCGCTGAACTTCGCAAAGCCAACGACGTGCTCAAACATGCGGCGTTTCTGTTGAAAAGACATTGTCAGTATTGAGAAGGCAATGGATGTCTGCTCTTCAAGCTCACCTTAGTGTAATAATTACCACCAACGACCAACTCCAGTGGGTTCTCTCCGCCAAACATCCGTTGGCTGCCCTTCTTATCCCGGAAGCTCTCGCAAAGGATCTCATTGGGGTCCGCTGCCAATCGCGCATCGCGCGCCCATGCACAATTCTGCACGTACTCGTCGATAGTCGTCCATCTTCGACCGTTGTCTCGGGAATACGCTGCGCAAAAGAGCTCTGATGAGCATCCAACATCACCTTCAAGGCGAGCTGACACTCACACGCAACAGCCCGGCACTTCTCGCCCTGGCCCTCGCAGTCCTTGTTGCCCACCCAAATCAAGTAGTCCGACGTCGGATGGAAGCGCAGCACTTGTGCGCGGAACGTATTCGGCGGGTTGGGGGCCTCTTGCGGGTACCAGTTGCGCCCAGCATCTGTCGTGTAGTAGAAGCGCGCGTTTGGAGTGACGAGGTACGCGCGGTCTCCGGTGTACTTGTGATGGTAGAAACCGAGAAATCTGACAGAAAAAGGCAACTAAGTCAGCTTTTTTCATAGCGGTCTGTCGATGAGCTTGCTCACCGCTCTTCGGGGAAAAGCTGCGTCCATGTGTACCCTTCGTTCGCGCTTTGCCATATTGTATGGTCCGTGAGGCGTACAAGGATAGTCTGGTGTGACGTGGTCAGTTCATGAGTTTGAACCCACATGGATGAAGCAGCCTACCGGGGAGTCCTTGAAGTACGCATGCTGCGCCACCACGGCCGGGAACTCAAATGTTTGATGAACCACTGCACCCTCAGCCGGCTCCGCCTGACTGCACTGCTTCTCCACAGGTGCGTCCTTCGCTATACCGCCCTCGCAGATGTCGCCAGGGATCTTGCGGTATCCACTGGAGCCCCGGTATGTCTCGTCCGGCCTGCCAGTCGTGCATGTTCTGGAGAGCATCAACTGAGTACTTGAGTCGCACAGGAAGACTGCGAGCTTACCCTGCTGGTACGGGCTCTGGTCCCACAGGTACACAGTCGGCGCCTTGGCGGACGAAGTTGTAGTCACTGCGCCCGAGTTCTCAGCGCCTCGTCTCAGGACAAGGATGATAAACAACCCACCACTCGTAGTCGCTCTCTCCGCACTCGCATGGCTCGTCGTGCTCCACGGGCTCGTTGAATTTCTCGCCAACATAGCAATCCGCGTTAGGCTTTCTGCGGCGGTACCATTGCTGGAAGTATAGTGTAAGTCCAAGTCATGCACGGTTGGAAGACCGTCAAACGTACCTTGTGTCCTAGCAAGCACTCAGTCTCTCCGGAGCGCGCATACCACTTCTCGAAGTCGTTGTCACCGCACTTGCGGTCGCGCGTGTCTGGTCCAAGCTGTAAATCATGTTGCGGGCAAAGCCTCTGATTGACATACCCGCGAAGTCCAACCATTGCACTACGTAGGGCCCCACCTTCTTGTCGCTCTGATCCCTGCGTGCGACTTGGCCTGCGCAAGAGTGTCAACGATCAGGATGCAGATCACAGTCTCAAGGAAGCAGACTCACCCAACACCAAGAACTTCCGACTCGTACTATCCGGCACCGTCACCAGCGCCCTCGCCCTCAACCGCTGCCCAAAATCATACGTTTCCCACGTTCTTCCCCCGTCCCCCGACCACTTCACCTCGCTCGTCGCCTCTTCGTCGTCGATCAGCACCAGCAGCGACCCCGCGTCCCCGAACTCGTACTTGTGCGCGCCCTCGGCGATGCGGGTCCAGGTGAGGCCGGCGTCGGAGGACAAGTAAGTGTCGGAGTCCTCGTAGGGGGCGAGGGCGGGTCCTACGGAGCCGACGGCCATAACGTAGCCGGGGGCGGGGCTCGAGAAGACGCGCCCGAAGTTGTGGGGGGTGGTCACGGAGTGGAGGTGGAGAGCGCAGCTTGGGAATCGAAGTTAGTATAGGTGGATGGTTAGAGATGCAAAAGGTGCGCGTAATGATTAAAGGGCATGAGTCAACTCACTTCTCGATGTCCCTCGTATCGCAGTTGCTGCCCTCGGGTGCGCGGATAGGGGACCATCGTCTGCCGTCGTCGAAAGTGATCATGGTGCGCAATCGCTTGGTGACACCCGGGGTACCAGCTTGGTCTGCGTTCGCCACGACATTGGCAAGGCCGACACCGTCTACGCCGTAAATATGTTCATAATCGACATAACTGCGCGCCGCGTCAGTAGGGGTTAAACATAGGGCAATTGCCACGTACCCCGCCGAGTTCCTGTTCGTATCCGCAAGGCTCTCCACAAAGTACGTCCCGTTCGAGTTGCTCACGAAGAGTGTGCCAGTCGCGCCGTCATTGTCGCCGCGAACGACATCAACCGCCAGGGAGTGGAGGGTACTTTCGACGATGGTATACGCGTTCTCCTTGAGCAGCGCGGATGAAGATTGGGGGAACTCTGCATGAGCCCAGTTCTGCGCATCGGTCGAGACGTAGAGGCGCGTGTCTGCATGGGTGATGTCGCGAAGTGCGACCACAGCGAACTTGGACACGATAGCGAGAGCGAGGACGCCCTTGGCGGCCTTTCCGATCCCAAGATCTTCGATCCGCACGTCGTTCTGCGCAGCATGTCAGCAGAGAAGTATCGTGCAGGCCTAGGCACGCACCTCGAAGAAATCCGTGCTCGCGAACAATCTACTGCTCTCGATGGCGTGCGCCCCCGCGACCGCGTCCGCGTCAAAGGCCACGCAGAACACGAGATCGCGATGCGCATCGTGCTTGAACTCCTTCGTCGAGTGCGCGAACGCGCAGCGGGACGTGTCCGCGCGCATGAAGCGCATCTCCGTCGAGAACGCGTCCGTCGTGTAGTACGTCTCGTCCCGGCACACCACGCCCCAGCCGATCTTGCGCGGCTCGCAGTGCGTGACCTGGAAGAGAACATGCCCCGGCTGATCGACGTGGAAGGCGAGGGGCTTCGAGATGAGCGCGGGCGCCGCGGGGGAGGAGAAGCGCTGCCAGCTGCGCCCGCGGTCGGCCGTCCGGTAGTGCGTCGTCCCCCTGCCGATAGCGAAGGCGTAGTTGCGGTCAAAGGGGTGCTCGACGACGGTCTGCACGCCCTCGATGCCTGCATCGGCCCAAGTCTTCCCCTCATCACTGGAGACGAAGACAGTGCCATCAACCGAATCCACGAATACCGCGTCTGTCGAGTCGTCGAAGAAAAATATGTTGGAGGGGAGGTTTGGGAAGGACGTCAGCTGCGACGACGGTAGTCCCGCCGCCGCCGCAAGCCCCGCGAGGAGCAGCCACGTCCATAACATGGTCGTAGAGAGCAAAGCCGGTCGTTCGCCGCCAGCGATGTCGGCGCAGCGCGCTTGTCCAGTTACATCACGTGCGGTGACGTGTACACCGTAACGGTTGAGTTTATGGCCAACTACTCAGCGAAGGGCAAAGTGCAAGATACATTGGCTACAGCCAGTGCAGCACATATATAGCAGAGTATGCGAGGGTATATACATTGTGCAGCGACAAGCAAGCCTGTCGAGGTCAAGGTAGTAAAGAGGAACAGTCCGCGGAAGGTCGGAGTCAGGGGCACTCTAAATCGTCTTCAAAAGACTCGAGAGGGTCTGCGGAGGGTAGCAAGTGTCCAATCAACGGTGACGAGCGACATGCGATGGATGAATAGATAGGAGTTGGAGAGGCGCGCATGGGATGTAAGCCACCGGGAGCCCTAAAATGAAACGGAGAAACCACAACGATAATGGTGATGCCACAAGTACGACAGGAGGTGAAACGGAAGGGTTGATTAAGCAATAAAGGACTTGATGAAAGAGGATGTTGCCATGATTAAAGTATATAGGCGATTAAATGCAGCGCATACAGATAATTAGATGCAGTGCACATGGCGGATGGTACGGGTGTCGGGCATTGATTCGTCGCGCACGGGCGTCGCGCGCGGTCGTAGCGATGCGTGAGGGGTCGTAGACGTGGCAGCGGCACGACCGCACGACGCGACACGACGCGCCGCACATTAGTTTTCCTTGATGTCCTCGTGAATGGGCTCGCACGAGCTCGCGGTGCTGGCGATGGAGTACGACCGGTCCCGCGTGCGACCAGCGCTGCAGAGCTGGTGGTCGGAGGCGGAGGATTGCTGCACGCCTTTGACGCTGAGCGTGGGGATCGAAGCGGAGTGGCTTGACGACGTGCGCGTCACAAGGGGCGGACGCGACGACAGGACGTTCGGGTTTGGGAGCGCGGGCAACGGCTGCGACGGAGGCGGATGCATAGCAGGGACACGACGGCCGGCACGCCTGGGATATGGGTTGTTAGCGCATGCGATTGAGAAAGGGACGAAAGAAGCGCACTTGAGGACAGTGCCCATGCTCCCGCTCCTCCTACGCGCAACGCGGTCCATCATACTGGTCGCCGCGGCGCATGCGGCCTGGTCAAGGCTACCACTGCGGGAACGCGAACGCTGCCATGCGTCGCCCGCGCTCCGGACGGGGCTCTTGATGGAGTTCATCGGGGACATGCCGAGCGTCAAGCTCGACCGACGTCTGCGCATGCGCGGCGCAGGGCTCGGGGACGAGGGTGTCGGGGCAGACGAGCCCGTGCCCGGCGCCTGCGGGGTGGTGTCCATGCTACGGTCGTCGTCGGACAGGTCGATGTCGCTGTGCGTCGGGGTCGTGGGCTGGGAGTTCGCCGGGTACGTGGAGTGCAAAGGAGGAGCCATAAGGCCCGAGGAAAAGAAAGACGAGTAGGACATGATGCGCGACGTCGCAGTCGGTGGTGGTGGGAGGTGATGGTGGTGGCGAAAGGCAAAACTGAGAAAAGGAAGAGCGACCCGAGAAATTTCGATTTCCGCATCTCCTGATGCCGACGTTCCGAAGTTGAACGATCACGTGCTGGTCATATTCTCACCGGAGTCTATTCCGCCATGCCCAGGGTTTTCCGAAATGGAAGGAGGTTCCCACCCTTGGTCTCACGTGCAACCAACTTGGTCGCACGTGAGACCAACTTGGTCCGGCCACGAGGCGACGCCACATTGCGGCGACGCAGGCGCCCGCGATCAAGCCTGACACCAACCACCATCCAGTGCACGATCGCAGACGCGAGAAGGTTGTACGACCATAGGCGGACGCCCGGAGAACCTTTCAGGAGAAGGAGCAGGATTTTGCCATGCAGGAGGGAGCAGAGGAGGATCAAGCCGCCGTCTCAAGCGGAATAGGGGCGGGGCGAGCGCGCTACCCGCGGGCGGTAGCGGCCGCTCTCGAGGTTCAATCCCACGATACGGTGAGCGCGCTACCGAATTCCTTTGCTGCTAACAGCTCCGCAGCGCGCTGAACGAGTGGAGTGACGATGGACGAACAGGTGTCGTATTGGGCCGCGCCGCCCCGAGTAGTACCGACAAGCCTCCTTCAAGCAGCCATGCCCATAACGACTGCGACGAGCATACACCGCGGGCGCATTCCCTGCCACCGCTCCCCCTTCCCTCCTCCTCGCGAGTCAAATCTCGCTCGCCTCCCTTCCCCCTATCCGATCGAGCAGCATCCCCCGGAACCCCAATGCTGGCTAAACAACTGCATGCGCACGTCCACCTACTTCCGACGATTGCGCTGAGCTGCCACGGTGCGGTACGGTTGCTCCTGGTCTCCCCCTTATGCCTCCCCCTATCTTGACTCGGCGAGTTGTCTTCAATTGTCCTCCACTCCTCTTTTTCCCCTCTGCAATGACCTGTCTACTAGGTAACTGGCCCTAGGGCATGTACGAGACCTGCGCTAGAGTTGAGAATTTTGTTTCAGATCTCAGTATACTCAAAAATGCACTCTGGAGATCTCTGCAGTATGGTAGCAGCACCCGGATTTGAACACGGAACTTGGTGCTGACCTCACACACTGCTCGCGGGTGCGGGATCTTTAGCCTTGTGGGACGGCCTGGCTCATCGCGCAGGACTTGGGGCTGCTAGAGTCGTTGGCTCGCAGGTGGCTCGAGGGCACCGACCGCCGCGCTCGCGGACAATCCCGCAGAGCGCGCTGGCTTTTCGGGTTCATCTCCGACGTTGCGCTGCATGCCGCCGTGCTCGCCCTCGCTGCCACACGCGGCGCGCGCCCGCCACCTAAAAAAGTAGAAAAAATCATATATATCATGTATGCATTGTAATACATGTTTGAAATGTAAAGCGATGCGATACACGCTCGGTGCTATTGCCAGGCACGTGCACGAAGGAGGGACAAGAGGCAGGGCGCGCGCGCGCGACGTGTATTCGCGTCCTGAGACGCGAAATATCGCCCTAACGCATGAAAATACAAGGCGAGGGGAAGGGGGCAGGGAGGGGGAAGCGAAAAGGGCAGTAGCGCGAGCGCGACGAGCTATGCTCGCGTGCGATCGGCCTCGCTCAACTCCTGCGCGAGCTCGTCGCCGATGCAGATGCAATTAGGGAGGAATGGGTTTCAGCCGCCCTCTATGTCCGCGCACAATGGGAGACTGAACATAGGTCATGCGAGAGCGGCCAAGCGCTCGCGGCTCCCGGCGTCGCCGAGGGCGCAGTTGTCGCTGGCGTGTCTTTGGCGGGCCATGGTGCCCTTCCTGAGCGACCACCGCATCTTGCAATGCGCACGACACTGCCTGAACAGTAAATCGTGCGAGTGGTGATGGGGTTGTGCCGGGGAAAGAGGTGGCCCAAGTGGGGGTGATGGGGGAGGGGGGGCAGGCGTCCGCTAGAGCAAGCGCCGCTCAGGACGCGTAGAGTGTATTGAGCGGAGGGCCCGCGCCCTCAGACTTCGTCTGCGGGTGGACATGGCGAGGGAAGGTGGATCATCGCCATCGCATACAATGGCAGCGGCCTTCGCCCCCTCCTCCCCTCTACTCCAGACCCATCGTAAAGTACCAGTCATCAGTATCATTCTAGCGCGCAGGATGCGCGTACGCACCTGCGTGTCCTTCCCTCGCGCCCCGTATTGTTGTGTCTCTACTCGGCTCGCGTGTCATTCTTTTTGGCAAGGCAATCGTGATCGTTGGGTATGCTTGTCGTGTCAAGGGGCGGTAAGCGTTTGGAATAGATTGTACGGGCGGTGAGGAGCGGGAGGGGGAGGGAGGCGAGGAGCATGGTGGTCGAGGTTGAGAGACGCGCGTCCGGACGCGTCCGATGACCGGTCCGGACGATCGGTCCGCCCTCCGAGCATCATCGTCGACGACGTTGTGCGACTTGAGGCGGGACGGACTTGTGAGAACAAGTGGGATCGTCGACACGGCGGCGCGCGCAGTGGAATATTGACTTCACCGAGATGGTCGCATCATAGCGCTCATGCGTTGATGAGCAGCCACTGACGCGGGGCACCTTCGCCAGCAGTGTCTTCAGCTGGCTCGGCTTCTGAGCCTCCCAAACTTCGTGCACCCATTCGCGTCCAGAGACGTGTCTGCAGTGGTCACGTAGCAAGGTGGGTGGGAGAGGGGGGTGAAGGGGGGACTATGAGCTCCTGGTCTGAAAGGGCATAGGGGACATGAGGGCGAGGGCATCACCGAAAGGTGAGAGCGCACCCATGCACGAGGTCGCCCGCGACCTTGAGCACTGAACCCCACCGCCATATCCGCGCGTCGCCAAGGCGCGAATAGAAGCAGGGAAAAAGACCCCCTACCCCTCAGCCCCTTCCCAAACAAGGGCTGAACGGGTGGGCTCGAGCGTGTGCGCAGAACACGCCGAGCTGGCAAAGCAAGCTGTGGCGCATCTGCGCGCGCGGCATGCCGAGCTCAATAATTGGTAGCACCGAGCGCAGCCCATGCAGCGTAGAAGATCACCGCGAAGGCGATTCTCCACGACTGCAGGAAAGGGGGAGTGAGAGGATAAGCGCTACCCACCGCCCGTGCCGATCGCGTTGAGCGGGGGTGAGCAACAGCCACAGGGCTGTCAAGGGCTCGTCTATAGCACTTTAAGTGTCATGAGCAGGGCCCTCGCACCCTCAGGCGTAGTCTGAGGGCGAATATAACGGGAAAGCGGGGCAATGTTCGCCCTGCTTCCTCCGCCCCCTCTTGCTTTCGCTCCTCCCCCCGCTCCCCCTCCACGCCGCAAAAGAAGAGTGTTGAGCAATATAATTGAGTGTGGAGGGCATTCACGCACCCGGAACACCCTTCCTCGTCCGGCTCGTGGCCGCTGTCATTGCCAAGTTTCCTCGATTCGTGGGACGTGATTGAGACCGAGCACCTTGGAGGGAGTTTTTTCGAGGTGTTGAGAAGGAAAGGGAGTGTGAGAGGGGTGCCTGGAAGGGATGAAGCTTCGAGGAAGAGGCGAGGTGGGTGACGTGGTGGTGGGTGATAACGAGGAACGCCTGTCGCAAGCGCTGGACTTTGCGACCTTCGGGGATAAGTCGACCGTGGGAAATTCATAACAAGCGGGAGCCCGGCTTCAAGTCCAGATTCCTCGACATCCATGGGCAGTGTAACCACATATGCCCGCATGTCTGCTATTTGGAGGTCAAGATACATATATGGACCAAAATATGAACGAAAGCAACCGACGAATGGTAGGAAAAGACCCTGTCGAATTATGTGGCGGTGCACCTCGTCGGAATATCCCGAGCACGTGGAGAAGAGCTGTCGATAGCTTCGACAACGTACCGAGTTCCCACCCAAAAACTTCAAAGAGCTATACAAAAGCATCGAACGGATACAGACGAATTTTTCTGAAGCATGAAAATGAGAGGAAGGGTAAGAAAATACCAGCGCCACATATTCATCCCGATTTGGAACATGCCGCTTGGACGTCGAATGGTGATGAATTCCACCGTTGTAAGACGATTCCTGCAAGCAGGTCTCGTAAATCACCGTAGTGATACGCCCTGCGGCTGAAAAACGCGGAAAAACATACATAAACAAGCGATATATAGTCGACTTGGTCTAGATTGTATGGGCGGATCCGTATATACTGCACCGACGTCGCGACTGTACAACGGGCGCGTCGGGGGTATTTTATGACACAGAAAACCAGGAGCGCCACGCTTCCTAACCTTCAATACAACTAGTCCGCAGCATTATCCGTCTGCAATGACTGACCAAGGATAGTAGCGAGCTCTTCGGCGCCTGATCACGAGTCTGCGCGTCGTCGATGACATCCTGCGAGTCCTTTGGCGGGCCCTACTTAATCAAGTAGCCGCGCTATACGCGCCTCAAGCCTTCAGTCCTCTTGCCCTGCTGTGTCAAGAGAATCTAGATTATTGTTGGGGCTCGGACAAGCCTTCCTGCTGTTCGCCGTCATGCGGAGACACGCAGAGCACCGCGCAAGCGGAACTCGAACCATCAACGTGACTACACGTGACTTCGGGTCCGAGACCGGAACTTCGGGTCCGAGCTCGTGATCTCGGACATCGCCGAGTTGAACTCCGAACCGAGCGTCGGCGCCGCCAAGCGCTGTCCGCCCCGGCAAGGGCTTCACTCCCCGCGTATCGACAGTCTAGGCTGTACGCTCCCCGCCGCGCAGGCCTCTGAGCCGCGTCGCGCACAAGGGAACCGGTGGAAACCAGGCCGGCCTTGCCTTGGTAAACATCAACAAGTGTGGAATCGCGCCCGGCATCGCGGCGCAGGAGGATACCCGACCAGTCAACCGCTCTACCGCCAGGAACCGCAGTCATTGCGCGATTATTCGGACAGGGGAACGCGCGGATAGGCGTTATAGTTGGATTTTGACTCAGAGATAGGCATTGTGTGTTGCCGCGCGGTCTGGACGGCCGAGGCGGCGCGTTCGAGTTATATACCGAGACCTACATACGATTCGGGGACTTTTCCCGCCCCGCGCAGAGAAGCCCTAGTACCTACACACCACACCAAATAAACACAACCGCGTTAACCCGCACTTTACACATCATAAAAAGCCTGAACTTCCGAGCGCATTAAACCGCCTTGTGAACTTCAATCCAACCCGAAAGCGCTCGTCAGAACGCCGAGACGTCCGATTGCCCCACTCGACTTCTCGCTTCAGTCCAGCTCGTCTGGAACTGGCATAAACAACACAATCTATCCCCAAGTAATATAAATACTCGGACTCGCCCGCTCTCGTAGCGCCTCCAGTCTAGCGTGTTCATTGCTATCGTGGTTGTTGGTGTTTGGTTGTGTGGATCGTCTAGCTAGACTGTACTTCGCGTCTTTCGTGAGCGTACGATCCCATCATCTGGAGCCCACCGCGAGGGGATATTTCTGTGTTAGCCAGCAAATTACTAGCTGCTGAGCGAACTTCGAGAGTCATATTAAGGCCCTCTCCAATTCTACTTGTGTTTTCGGGTACCGTCACGACGGCTCCTGGACAAAAATCCAGCCTCTCGGCTCTAAGACCGGACTGGGATAGCTCTACATCTGAGCGATCCAAGAGAAAGGCCAAAGAGCGAGCGCGTCTAGCGAAACAAGCCAGTCGCCCATCGCGATCAGCATCACCCCGGAAATCCGTTACCCAACGTCCGGTAGAAACATCCAAAGCGGACGACACCCTACCAGGTGCTTTCCCTGAGGACACAGAACCGAACCCTCCTTCTCCTACTTCTCTCTCGGTCGCCAACGACCTCTCTGCTTCATTCTCTCGTCTTTCCATCGAGCCCGAACCGGCCGCGACACAGGGCCCACGCGCTTCATCCCCCTTGAGCTCTCTGTCCGACGACTCGACTCCGTCTCTCTCTGAATTATTTCCGACTCGCGACCGTACCGAACCAGCCTCGACCGAAGAACCGACTCCGACTTCAGCTTCCAGAATCATTCCGACTCCGAATCCGACTCGTATATCCCGTCCCGTTCCTTCTATTCCGACTTCGACTTCTACTTCTCTTCCCAAACCAATGTCTACCGCTCGCTACTCTCATACGGCGTCTGACGCCCCTCGCTTCGACGAGGATGATATGAGTGGCTTGCCTTTGTTCCTACGAGATCTTGATACAT